GAAGAAATGAAAATTTTACGAGTGAGTCCGATTATAATCTTAAAATAACAGAATAGAGTATACAGTACTTCCTGGATCTAAATGGATCTGGATCTTATCACAGTTTGTGAAGAACACCCTCTTCGAAACTAAGGACATCAAAGTAAATTATATCCACAAATATATGTTACTAATAAGTAGGCTATAACTTAAAATTAAATATGTAATGTATGAATTTTATGGATGCACTGGTACTGTATTTGCAGATATAAGTTTAATTTGAAGAGTATTCGTCTTGAATAACATAATTATGACTGACTAGTTCCTACGTAATTTCCCCAAAGTTTCAGAGAGGAAACATGTTTGATGAAGTCCGACCATGTCAAGAATTAATCATTTATCTACGAACGGGTATTGAACAAATATTGTACTATATCAAATTGAAAATTTGAACCACTGGATTGTAATTCAGTCATCTAATGATAAAACATTTAGCATAAGATCTAAAGGTTTGAATGCTAAATGTACTAAACTAAACTGAAGCTAATATGCAGTGATCATTCTTTATGTGTGGTGTTATTCAATGTTGAAAAGCCAACTTATTTGAGGAATGGTACTGACAACTGCTCTGTAGTCAAACCATCTGACATAAAGAATTTAATGCCTTAAAAAATTTCCCCCCATAATTAGATTTATTAATTATCTCAACATATACTTTTGTAATAGTCATTTTGCTTACTGTATAAACTACATCCTGACAATGATGATGCAATCTTTAGTTTTGACAACCAGTCATCTTTTTTCTCAAATAATCACAACAAGATACTGAATCTGAACAACCTGTTACATGTTCTTATTTCTATTAAAGCTGATAATTATTGTTCATCATCATCATGATATCTATTTTAGATTTGGTTTTATAGTTATTCTAAAACACCGTTGATTAAAAATTTCATTTAAGTAAAGCAGTATGGAAGTTCAATGTTGATTTTTATGTTGAATATATACAAATATTGCTACAGTAATATTTAAGCCACTTAAATTAGTTAGCATTTTAAAATCATAATAATATAAACTTAACTCACTATAAGAAAGATCATTGTTTATTACTATCCAAATAATGAGAAATATGAAGTTGAAAAGAAAAACACTGACTAAGTGTTCATGCTACCCGGAAAACAATTATTAACTGAATAAAAAGATATTGGCAAAAGTAACAAATTAATAGGCAATAATGAAAGAAACATTCATATAGATAGGGAAATCCAAAGCAAGTGTTTCGCTTTACTTGAAACTCATCAGCCGGATAAATTTCCATTCCAGTAGTGATTTTCATGGAGGATCTAGATAGGATCAAGATATACAGATTCTAGTCAAGAGTGATCAATTGCGGTTGTTAACCTTAATTATAAGCAGATGTAAACCATTTTCAATTGACTGTTAACACATTACATAACTAAGTTCGTCAACGACATCAAAATCCAGAACGATATCTTATTTATATAATGATGCTATTCAAAACATAATTATTTAACTAAAAATCTCTTTTCACTCCAAAATTCATTCTAATGTTAAATAAATGATGAAATTTATATGAACATAATTAAATTATATTTAGATAGTTGGTTTGGTTGCATCTAACCAGAAAAAAAAACAACAACTTTATTACGAAATAAAATCCAAACATTGGTCTATACCGAAACAAATATATAAACATCATATTAGAAAAAATTTAGAGTAGTGTCAAATTACAAGGGCACAATGAAATTTGAAAGGAATTTATACAACTATTTGTTCAACTCTTTAAAATAATCATAATGACTAATTCATTATGATATCTATATAATATATATATATATATATATAATATATTTAATCATAAACTCTACTGATACCAGCCAGACCTAGTGATATTTTATGAGGTTATGAAAATTAAACATTCTCTTAGTCTACTAATAATAAAAATTAATTTCACATTTGCAATCTGTAGATTAATTCTGGTAACAGAAATACTGTTATATATACTAGTTGACATATTATACTAATCATTTGTTTGTAAATCTTTTTTTTCTTTCTTATTTAAGGTAGATTAAAATGTCTTTTTTTTCTTTTTCATATATTGATTTTATAATTAATCAGTCTTATATAGAGTTAAGCATTATAAACCAAGTCGAAATATTGCTGTTTAGAAACTAGATGTATCTATTTGATTTCTTCATAATCTATTTAAAGCTGAAATTATCGGTTTTCGGTCGTACTTGTTATCAGCAGTATTTTAGTTAAATTATGCGGCGTCGGTATGAAAAGTCACAGATTCACTCCAGTTAATACTATTGACATTATTTTAATTACAATAAGCTGAATCAGTTATAATTATTTAAGTATGGCATTATATATCAGAATTATTTAATCTGACATTCAGTAAATTCACACCAGCCAGTTCATGAACATTGTAATTTATTTTCAGTTAACTTTGGACCATAATTTCGGTTGATAAAATGTTCCAATTAACCTGTGGATTCCAGTAGGCATGCATAATAATGATTATGTTAGGATATTCATCAAATACCTAAGAGAATTATTTTTGTAAGTCTATTTCTATTGGTCGATTACTATGGGTCAATATTAAGGTCGTTCTAGCTGTCAATATCACAAACTTAAATGTTGGTTCTGTAACGGAGTCAAAATCACTATGTAGATGTTGCTAATCCATCCTGTTTTCTTTCTATTTCAGGGCGATCAAACACTAACGCTTTGGAAGCAGAAGAACAAGCCCTGAATGCTCTGAGCTTACAGGAGGACTCATAAGACCTTGGCACACCGCCCACACTATTTCTGTAGAAACCCCGCGTGTTTAATTTTAAAAATAAAGATTGCCTTGGCGACGACTTCGTGTTCTCTCTCTTGGTGTGAAGTGTTGAGATAACTCTGTGTGTTGCGATTTTAGATCGGACCCGCTGTTCGGTGACTGCTGTAAACGCGTGTTACAGTTCCTATTCGACCTAACTGTATAAATACGCATTATCTGTAACGTTTAATAACCCGGACTTCGATCCCTAATGCGGTATCCTAATCCTTTTCTGGACTTGGACCTCGTACTTTCTGGATGCTTGTAGAATACAGGTTCTACTTCATATCAAGTCTTCTTCTTTTACTCATTAGGACACTCGGATTAGAGTAGCATGTCGTGTCGCCGGATCCTCGCTCTCGTTTTCCAACTAAGGTAAACTCGTAATAGTTCAGGCATATCAAATGACGTGTTGACGTGCATGTGTAACAGACTACCTAATTCAATACTATATGTCTGATTACAGTGAGTAATTTTCAGCAAAATTTGTAATAATTCAATAAATTAGCAGCCAGTTTACTCTGTTAAGTTTTCATAAGAACGTTTGAGTGTAATCAAATGGATTACTACCAATCATTGGTCAGTTAAAACGAGATTAATGAATTGTAATATTTGTATAGTTGAAGAAGAGGTGATCCTGGAAATACGAGGATAAAAGATTTTCTAAAATTAACCACACTATGATTAGCATCTACAGTGGATACATTAGTAAGCTACGACGTAACAATAATCAAATCCATATTTCTAATCGACGCAATATGGCAATCGATACTATTATAGCTAACATTAACATAAATATGCACATTTATTAAAAAAACCTTATTCTCACATATTTCCATGCTGAATATAAAATTCACTGTGCAAATTTTGAACTTCTTGTTCAGTCTAGAAGACTGACTTATGAACTGAGTGAAATATATAACTGAGATTAGTAAAAGTATAATCTAGAGATGAACCAATAAGAATTGAGGATCCAACTTTTACGCGAAGTTCAAATTTCACATATGACAATCAGTAGAAATATCTTTTTATACTACTCAAAACGTTTAAAATGATTGCAAAAAATGACATTTTGTCACTATAAAGTGAAAATAATAATGTTGGACATAGTAGGTACTCGATTCGTTTTATGTAGATTGTATATAGTCGGCTAACTGATACTTTACCCAAATACCTAAACCTGACATAACTCTATTGTACGAACCATCTTTAATTATATAGTACCTCTTGCATTTTTGTACTGTAGAGCATTCCTGTATTGTAGCTTATTTCAGTTTGTAATGAAAACTCTAATCCTAGATCGTTGATTCTTACTCTAAATACCGAGCCCTAACCAAGAATAATAAAAGAAACTGTTAAGAATTTTAGTTTGAGTCCTTCTAAGGGTTAGTGAAAAAGAATAAACTCGATTTGTAGGACATATTTTTATATTGTTTACAGAAAAATCAACCTGTAGAAGACTACAATAGATTCAATAAACATGTAAAATCTGTCTAAAGGTTATAAAATGTTATTATTTTCTTTTAAATTAACCATTTATTTTCAAAGGATGTTTTCTAATTGGCTAAGCAAATGCATGGTGAATTAGTAACAGTTGCCTTAAGTTCCTTCCTGCACTATACTCTCACCGATAATTTAACATGGAGAAACTTTTATTACCTTTTATTATCCTTCTATTAACCTTAAATTAATGACCAGGAAGTGAATTCAATTTAACTTTCTCCTATTTCAGTATTAAAACACTTGTGGGCGGCCTATGCTCCATTGGGGGTAACAGGCATAAGTAAGAATATGAAATAATGACCTTGAAATGAAAATAGTTTTTTTTCTCAAGTGACTAAGGTAAATAGACTGGAAATCAATACAAATTGGACTCTATGTTACAAATAATATTGACCATTATACTATTAGATTGAATGTGAAATTTTGTTCATATTTACTTTCTACAATCATTATGATAGTTTAATATACGGCGGATATATGAGATGCAATTAAAACAATATATTATAATAACAACATATTATGGGTGTTTGAAATTAAATTTATTGAAATGTCAATGTCAATGATTGGGATTATCTGATTGAAAGAATTAGCAATCAGAATGTTCACTAATAATAAGATATAGTTGAAGATAGTAAAAGTAAAGTATTTATTCAGAATACAAACTTTATCATGCATAATGCTTTTCATATAGAACGCCTATAAAACTAGTCAACTCAACAATTTTTCGAGTTTTTACTAAAATAGGACATAGAATAAATGTATCCTATTAGATTTTCTAACGGAAAAGTGTTTTTTATTTCAAACATTACAATCTCCTAATGGTAGCCACTGAATGAGAAAGCTGACACATTTAATTTGAATTGAAGTTAGTAGGATCAAAAAAAGATCTGACCGGTAGGATTTTCGACCTCTTCAGGTACTAAAAAAAGAATTACAAATTGTATTAAGCTTTTAAAGCTGTATATTACTAAAGTTTTCTTTCTGTTGATCATTAGTGCATAAGTATTCAATAAACTACGTAAGTGGGTAGGTGATTTTTTCTATTTTGGTGCATTGTCGGAATCGATTGGTTCAGTTTCGGAAATACAATATTTTTTTCGTCAACATTATAATTCTATTGATTTTAAAATTCAGTTGTCTAGTTAAACAAAAATCAAAACCTGAAACATTAGCGAATTTACAATGTGCATGATGAGTGAGAGTGATTCACGCACGAAATAAAAGGTTGAAACCATTTGATTTATTAAACATATACACTTATATCAATAAATTGAAAATTGAGGCGTATTCCAATGACAAAAAAAGCTGTTTTTTTTTACTTTACTAGAATAAACAGAATTCGATTTTATTAACAGGAAAAACTGATTACAGTAGACAATATTATTATTTACTCAATTCACATTGTAAAACCTCATAATTTTTTTCTCTCTACCTCTCTCTTTTAAATATTGAATTTTAGTAAATAATTAACAGATCACTAACTGATCGCATATACATGTAAAACATGTTTACACTTGAAAAGTAAATCAACAGATGAAATATATTTTTGTCCAATCAAAAAACAACAAGTTCTTACAAATAAAATAACTAAAAAAAAATTATTCAATATTCTTAATATGAACTGCTGTACACATACAATGAAATATTCACAAAATATTGATCGTAACAGAGTTATTGAATGAGTTCTTTCTTGATCGGTTAGATTGTTGTTCAATGATTAAACGGTGAAAAAGTAGTTTATACATACAATTAGAAAATTTTAGTAGAAATGATGATGATCATTCTGACAGAAACATTAGAATTGAACATTTGGACAAATAATAATCAAAAGAAAAAGATCATTTCAACTGAAACTTTTTCATGATTCAGAAGAAAATATATAATTCCACACACAAAAGGCATAAACCATTCAGTGATGATATTCGCTTTGAACTTTTAGAATGTTCATTAAATATGTAGAAAAATTATAAGGAGTTATATTGTTATAGTGTAGAAATTTTAATAGAACATTAAATAGGAAAGTTTAATTGTTCCAGTAATTGTATATAACAATCATGTTAAAACAATATTTCAATATACATTAAAAAGAAAATATGTATTATACAACCATGTGTATAGAATTTATAAAAATAAATTGTATACAATCCATTTATTCATGGATAAACATAGAACAAGTAAACTTGTTCCAAGCAAATCACCTGCACCAGTAGTTACAGCAATAGAGGAGAAATCAAGTGATGCTAACGAGACTACGTTATCATGAGAATTCAATTGTTTTGTAAAATGTAAATATTTCCAAAGTTGAAGGACAATAAATTTTGCAAATTTAAGAAGTATACATATCTAAAATTAATAGTACAAAAAAAATTAAAAATATTTTTTTGAAATATAATACACTAATTATTAATCTATTAAAACACTTACAAATGAAACTAATTAAAAGCCTAGCTGTAATACATACGAGAATAAATTAGAGCCTATAAGCTGTGAGAATTGTGTCATCTCTAGTAACATATCTGGATCGATTGAAGCAACTGCATCAAATGTTACATAATTCAAGTTACCTGATGTGTAATGATAACCAAGTTAAAATTGTTTCAGAAAACAATTAAAGACGAATATTTTGAGATGATAGAAAATAATTATAGTTGAGAGAGAGAGAGAGAGCTGTTGTGTGTGTTCTGAACTGGACGGTTTAGTTGAGAACATATAAAGACATAGTATATTAGTTTATCAATAAAGCATTGATTGTTAGTCTGGTTTGAGTAGATGGGTGTAAACATCAATAATGAAGTTCTGGAGACAATACAAACTAGTAACCAGAAATCATAGGTAACACGGTTGTGGACTAAATTCAACGATTGAAATGTTATGACTTTTTTCTTCTTCTTTTGCAAACTTTTAATATTTTGTCCTAGTTTATTCAAGTTCATCCTAGAAATGTGATTTAAAAGTATTCAGAAAATGATAGAAGCTATGTATTTTTATATTACACTAAAGATTATGGCAAATTCAATCAACAACTGGTTAGTCATATAAGAGTTTGATCAAGAGTTACATCACAGACACTACCTTTATATGTATATGAACTAGGTCCAGTATTGGCAGCTATGTAGACTGATGAACTGATTAGGTTTTCTTAAAAAGTTATCTGACAATGTTACCTGGTTATCTAATTCAATTTAATGATCAGAAGACAGCAAAAAATATATAATGAGAGCGGTAGTATTTCGTTCTCTGAGCTGGATGGTTTGGTTGTGGAGCTTTCATTGTTCTTCTGAACAACAACATCAGCACGAACTTCAGACAGAAGTGAAGCATTCGAATTTCTTCACGTTTGACTCGTAGATTGTTCTGTTAACCTCGATCTTCATTGGTTGTTATTGACCTTAAATCTGTTGTTGCTTGCACCTTTGTTTTGATTGTATACCCCTTTGATCTGTTCGTTAATCCTATGTCATCTATGATTTTTCCGATTGGCTCATAAATTGGGTCAACGTTTACGTGTTTTTTAATCACTGATTGACCTGAGTGCCAAGCTTCTAAAAGTTCTCTAGTGTTCTTTGTGCTCCCATATCCAGTATTTTCACATTGTTCCAGTCGAACGTATGTCCATAGTTGTCCGTATGTATTCAGATAAGGGAAGAAATGTCGTGGCGTTTGACTGCTAATTGGTGTTCACGCAAACGAAGCTGAAGAGGACGTCCACTTTGTCCTATGTAGTGTTTTTAACAATCTGAGCAATTTATTTTGTAGATGATATTTGGCTTTTCTTCCCCTGTCATTTTGTCCTTTGGTCTACATAGGATTGATTGAAGTGATTCTGTTGGGTTGTGTGCTACAACTATTCCAAGTGGTTTCAGTAGTCCTGCTGAAAGTTCCGATATGTCTTTTATGTATGGTAGGATGATCTGTTTATTGGTTCCTGTACTTGATTTCGCTTCTGTTGACGATTTCAGTTGATGTTTTCTGATGAAGTTGCGTGGATAGCTGTTCTTTTGGAAGATGGTCATAAGATGCTTTTCCTCGTGCTGCAATGTGTCTTCGCTCTCTTGAACTACGTTTGTATGCAGTTGATTTTGTGAGTTTTCGGGTTATTGCTGCTGCAGTTAAGAATTAGGTCTGTGTGGGCTGGCCTCTAAAATACTTAGGTCTCCAGTTTCCCTGAGTCAGTTCTGGTAATTAGTACATCCAGGAGCGATAGACTGCTGTTTGTTTCTTTTCCCATCGTAAATTTTATGTCATTGAAGATGTTTTTGATTCCATTGTAGATGTTGTCCCGCTCGTTCCTTTTACAGTTGTTTGATAATGATCTCCATGTTACTTTTTCAGTGGATTCGCATGTAATGGATCTTCATTATTATTGACCCTCTTTCATAACCTTAAGTATTTCAGTGTAATTATCTTTATATTCATAAATTAGCGATTCCACAGAGTTTACTAACAATTTATAGAAATAAATAACAGTACTTGGGATTCAAAATAATGATAGCACTGATAGTATTTTTATAATCAGATATTTTTTGATGCTTGTCACGACAAGTTTTAGCCAAAAATATGTCTAGAAAACTTGATTCAATAAAAAATAGACTAAGTTCTAGTTTTCTATGTCTTACAGACTTACAAATAAAAGAAACATGAGGTAAGCTGAATAAAAGCATATATATATATATAATATGATGGATCATCAGTAAGTAATATGGAAAATAGTTTACCTGTATGAACCCAGCAAAGAGATAAGGAATTAAAATGTCAAACTGTAGAGGTGATGTTGTAATCTTTGAAGCATCATCCCCTTTCAAATAATAATTGACAGTTACACTGACTATACTTAAGATAAAATGTAACGGGACACACAGGAATCTGATGAGTTTGGATACCTGTGAAACATCAGTATGAATTTCACGTAGTTTTCTACAAGATTTTAATGTTTCCAGTGATTGAGATGATGTGTGGGAATGTGAATTATTAGTTGATGTTAATTTTTTATCAGAATCGTCAGGGTTGACTTTTTCAACTTTGACTAGAGTAGTTGTTGAAGAAACGAAGAACAATTTCTTCATAGGAAGTTTTTTCGAACAAGTTATAGAATATAGACGTGTTGTCATTCTACTAATTAGCATTGAAGCAAAAATCCCCCCTACACCTAGATGAAAAAGTAATAAAGGCATGGTGAAATATGCGAGAATATAAAATTGATAGAAATTAGTAGTTTATTTAGTTCTATCATGAACCGTAAAAAAGCATAGTCGACGATCCTGTTCTTCGAAATTCGATTTCCTATACCTCTAAACTAAATGGTTAAATCAATCAGTATTAGATAAATTTCTACATAAAATAACTGGACAGATAAATTACACTACAAATATATTCGAAAAAAATTGCTGCACTTACGACAAATCCATCGATAATTGAGTTGATACAGAACAATTATAATTTACATTATTCTAACTATTTTTCCCTTTTTTTTCATTTCAATACATCATCATGTGATACATATATTTACAAAGTGCATTGATAAACAAGTAAAAATTAATATCTTCAAGAGAAGTCACATCATGACGACTACCTTATGTAGACTGTTAAGATTAGATGTTTCGGGCATTAAGTATTGATTGGTATGGTTAAGTTAATCGTGTTATTTTAGATGCAAAGTACTTTTATAAGATCAGAGAGAAACATACATTTAGTTTTGAGTTTGATGCAAGAAGTTATTAGGAGTTTTAAATACCGAACTACAATGTATTAAGTACCTTTGTGTATATAAAGAAGGTACTATTTCAGCTTTATGATAAACGTAACAGATTTTGCACAATATGTGGTCAAAACAAGTTCAAAGTTAGTTTACATAAAAATAAATGTAAAATGAGTTACCATTTATTGGGACTTGAAGGCGAGCAATAATGGGCCAATCAATCAGAAATCGGGCAGATATGTTTCCACAAATGCTAGTAAAGTTGAAAATTTCATTCATAAAGAACATGCATTGTTTGATATTATATAATACAATAATTTAAAAAATACTATAAACGAATGGATGAGAGAAAACAGTTATACCCCAGTTACTAGTATCGACCATTAGAAATTAATGTTTGGAAACAAACAAATCACTGTGTAACTTTCAAGAAAAATCCCAGTTATAAAGTTGGGAAATTTATGACTTAATATCAAAAGTAGTTTTTCGATAACATGAGATATTTTGATACCACTTTATGAACATACTTTATATTACATTCGAATAATGCAATAAATTATTCATGAAAACAAAACAGAAAATGTGTGAAATTAGAACAGAACCTATAGCTGTAAAAGGCAGGGTAAAATGTTTGCCTTAAGAAGTTTAGTGTTAGGTAACGGTTCAATATAGATCATACTGGAGTAAATGCATTCAATTCTCATTTCACAGATATTGAGTTTGAATATTATTACGGGGTTGTGAAGATTGTTAAGTTACACATTTTTTTGAAACCATGAATCGATCAATGCTAGACCACCATTAGAAACCTGGAAGCACTGGACGGCCGTTTCGTCCAGTGATCTAACGGTTAGGGCGTTCGCGAACAATACCGAAGGTCGTGGGTTCGAATCCTGCAGGGTGCAGGAGTCATGGATGCGCACTGCTGAGGAGTCCCATACCAGGACGAAACGGCCGTCCAGTGCTTCCAGGTTTCTAATGGTGGTCTAACATTGATCGATTAATGGTTTCGAAAAATGTGTAATTTAAATATTATCACAGACTCTGTTCCGTAAATTCACTTCTTTTCGAAATAATATTTTATATTTAACATTTTCATTCACATACCCACTACTATCACATCAATTCCTTTTTGGTATGCTGCTTGTTAATGTCATCTCGTTGTAGTAATATAGAGCAGCACTTAGACTCAATTACAACTGCATTTTTTACAAATATTTAAAAGTTTTATGAATCTTAAATTTATAATAACTATTAAGAAATGTCTTTTCATTTCTGAGAATATACTATATTACCTACATCCATCTAGTAATGAATATTATTTACGTAGTCAGTAGGTTAACAACATATTAAACGAAACCATGTAAATTGGATTGATAGAACAACTACAAAATCCTCTACATCATAAAACACCATACATAGCATAACTTTTCAAGCAATATTTTACTTTTGACTTACCTACTCATGATAACTGCAAGAGTTAAAGGAATGATGGTTTCTTTAAAAGTATTAGGTGTAATAATAAGACTACGCAGATCACCAGACACGTTGATATTTGACTGATACAATAAATAAGATATACTCAAAATAGAAACGGCAAAAATCATGCACACAGCAACGGTGAATGTCAAAGTTGGATCTACATAAATATTACCAAAAATAAATTAAAAGTAAAAATGAAAAAAATATTTTGATGGATTCTCTAATCTAATAATATGCATGATAAACAAATGACACCATATATGGTTGAAAAATGTGTCAAATGTCGGAACACTACCTTTATACGCGTAACAAGCACTAAACCGTGTAATTAGCTATTATTCGTACATTTTGTGTGATATATATATATGGTGAGGTTATTATGCTAAATCAAAACTAAGGGGATAAAATATGACCCTGAAACAACCATTAAGTTACTTTCCTCTTTATTCGTTAATTTGAGCAGTCGAGATATTTTTATCAATATGTTTAGTAAGTAGTTGGCGAAATATACCAGCCGATAGACTTAACGAAACGTAAACAATTGTTAAGGAGGATGCGGTGAATGAGTCATCCTTGGTGCTTAGTGAGAAATCGTGGTGGTGGTAGAAGTTTGTGCTGATGTTGTTCAGATGAACAGTGAAAACTCCACAACCAAAACATCCAGCTCAGAGAACCAAACACCACCACCACAATCATCCACCTGAGCTACAAATCTTCTCCAACATCTTAGTGAGAAATCGGCTGCCACAAAGCCAGAAGTTAATGTCATGAAATCTTCCAATAAGGATATACAGAATATGCCTTTCGAATAGACAGGTAGATAGCGAATTCGTATTTGTTACTATAATCCCGATAAAAAAGTAGTAGAATGTTTTGGTTACTTATCCGAATATACTAGCTGTAATATCCATACCAATATGAAAATCTATGACAGAGATTTGAACGATACGTTTAGTTTCAAAACAGGTGCATCTGGCATTAGTTTTGATCATACTTTTCAGACAGCAACAATTTAGCAAATTAAAACTACTTGAGACAACATATGAATTCTGGTGAGTCCTGAGTGAGTTAAGAGTTAAAATCTACCTGTGAACTTTATTTGTAAGATTTTCATATATCAGAAAAGTGAGGCATACTCTCTGGTAAGTGATTCAACATCTGAAGTCATTGACGGTGAAAGCAGTATCTGATGATTATTAACTGCATATGAGGTATTCTTTGATATTTACTCAACGTATTTAAAAGATCCTGTATCTTTCTGAAGTCTTTATCTGACATAATTATGTTGTCTATCGACTCCAGGTCAATCAAGAAATCGTTAGTCCATAGACTAGTCACCGAAAAAGTCAGAGGCAAACAACGTTACACTGATCAGTGTGTATACAACAAATTTTAACGGAAACGGAAACAGTCAGTGTTATTGACAAACAACACCTATCATTTTCCTCTCGTATGACATCTTTTTATAGATTCTTGAATGCAACTAATATTTCGGTCCCAATGGAAATTTATTAAAAACATAATACACTTGTTTAATGCTTCATTGCGAATCGGGTGTTACCACTAAGTATCTCTTCTGATAGAACGAGACGCAGATTTCATAAAAAGGAAGGCAACAGGTAAAGTTCTGGTATGTTCGTATACCAAGAACTTACGTAAGATGAACGATGGGTTACTAAAGTCATCATGAGAGCTGAAAACGGGACTAGAGTTTGCCATTTTTGGCTCAAGATTAGAACTAAGATTACAGGCTCTTGATGTTTAGGGGACAATTTAGTCAAGTTAATTTTTGTGTGGTTTTCCTGAAATGTTATGTACTTGAATGATCAACGACCGAGATTAGTTTGAAGAATTTATTACTAATTTCCATATGGTATTTAGTGCTTCAAATGATATAACTGGTAACTCCTTGAAAAGTGATGTAGGCTGACAGATTTTGCTGCTTCGACTTACTTTATATTTGTTACAGCCTCAACTTTAGCAGAAGTCGAATCACTGGGAACTAGAAAGTTAGGACAAGCCAGATAAACCGTTCTTGAATGTTTCACACGACATTCTGATTATCTTAGCCCAAAATAAATGGAATACGGCTAATAGTGGAAACCAGGACGCGTGTTTCATCCTACTTGGGAATCATCAGCTGGATTTGCCTGCGTCCCATAAACAGCGAGATATTCCAAACCATCCCAAAACGAAACAAATTTCAGTTATCTGTCCCGCGAGTGTGAATTTTTTATTTTCATGACATTAGTAACAGCGCTTCTAATATGAGTTGTAGATTAATTTATTACAACACTATTCTGTATTCCCATAACTTCAATCATAGATTAATAAGTTGTTAGGCCAAAGAGTTATATTTATTCAATTCTACCTATTGATATTATATATTTTGTAGTATATATATATATATATATATATATATATATATATATATATATGTACAAAGCAAACCTGTATTCGGTGGCAATTAACATTGAATAAATGTTATGGAATAAAGCTATCTGTTGCTGTTTTGCCTTTGGTTAACGATAAAGAGTGATGTTCAGATACCCGAACATTTAGTTTTGCAAGATTAAATCTTCTTCTTTTGAGCCATTTGAAATTGGGTTCAGAAAATAAACATAAACTGGCCAGTTTGACTACTCACATATGTACATACCATTCCAACCAGTCCTGTCGAGCCAGTCATATTGAGAGAATACCTAGGCGATTGTCTCGACGGTAGCTGCTACCTTGACGTGGTGGTCGGGCATGATTATCGTGATGACCCAACCAAGCTATATTGGCTGGAACATAAGTTCCTGAAGGTTCTACCATACCAGGAAGGTCGATTGGAGAAGGATGAGACTAAAAGCAGCTACTCATGGTCTGAGGGCGAAGTCATACTGCTGACTGCAGAGGGGTGTGACAGCAATAAGGTCTTTCCCTCGGACAACCAGCATCTGCAGCGATGCTTCCTTCTCACAAGGAAGGAAGGGTTAGGAAAGGTCGACCCTGAAAATGTCACACCTCACCCTACCTCAAGGATTTCCGTCTCCGCCGGTAAGGGCTACCCACTAATGGCTTTCAAGAGCGGAGCTAATACTCAAAAATCCTTTCGTAAAAAGGCCGTGCGTAACCGGCATCAAGCAGTTGTCCTTTGGGCTCTGCAGTCACGCTCCCAGGTCTCTACGATCAACACTAATCTACCTTCTTTTCCAGGTTCCTCGAGAAACACGGTGTGGGCAGCCGGGAAGTGACAACCGCCCTCATACCCGTAACAGCACGCGAGACCGAATTGGTCATGATCAAATCCTTCCTCCACCCCCTAACATCCCTCTTATCTTCATGACTAACTCTTCTCCCATTCCTTTATCACCCCACACCGCTAATGCAAACGATTTGAGTTCAATAAAAGTTATTCCTGGTCTCCTAAAACCGCGTTCCAAATTACATGTTGGAGCTTTTAATGTCCGTGCATTGTGCCAAATAGGTCAACAGGCTTCATTAACTAGGATTTTAGAATCTCGCTCAATCGATGTATGCTGCGTCTCGGAAACGAGCATACAGGATCCGAGTAGCGTGATTTACTTGACCTAGCCATGTCAAGATAAAGAAGCAACTCGATTTACTCTTCGTGTATCTGGAAGCCCTGATGCTGCTTCTCGGGGTGTCGGTGGTGTAGGTATAGCATTGAGTCCTACGGCAGAACTAGAGCTCCATGAATGGATCCCAGTATACAGTCACTTGTGCGCTGTCCGACTGAACGGGACAGTAAGGACTCAGAAAGATAGGGACACTCGCCGTTGCCTACTCGTCGTATCTGCCTAAGCCCCCAATGAATGCAGCTCAGACGATGTGAAAGATGAGTTCTGCAGAAAGCTTTCGGGCATGTGTTACGAATGTCCAAACACCGACTGCCTCGACGAGCTTTGTTTTGTGGTGTAGGAGTAGGTTGGAAGAAAGTGAGGGGCGGCCAGAAAAAAACGTGGCACAAATCATTAAAGTCACTGACAAGTGGACTGAGTCATGTTGGTAGATGTAGGCTACCTGGTTGGGGTCCGCGAGATGATAATAATCGATGGTTAGAGACCCTGAATGACACGGCTCAAAATCGCTTGGAACTTTCTGGATATATAAAACTATCACCACTTTCATAAAGTGAATTTTACAGGAAGCTGTTGTCATTTATTAAGCAATACTTTCAATTTTTAAGTATAAAGTGGAAAATCTCCCCTTAAGTAAACCTTTGGTGATCGAATACAAGTTATAAACTTTTCACGTGTCCAGAATAAAATATTATATAGCATGGTTAGTAAGACTAGATTATTTGAGTGAAACATACAGATAAAAAACTTACGTGTTATAAAGTAATAGTTAACATGTGCCAGAATTAGAACAGTTACAAGATCTCCCAAAGCAGCCGCTACAGGTGGAGCAACATTATCAGGATTTGCTCCGCAAAAGACACAGGCACATACTATTACGTAGACGGCAGTGCCTTCGGAAATATCCAGAAATAAAAATTGGACACTTACTTATAAAACATGTGGCACAAATGCAAGTCATTGATGAGATGCAGGTAAGATGAACAAGATCGACAGAGGAGTCAGATGAACTTGACGATTTATGCAAAGTTACTATAACTAAAGGTATTATCGTGCTTGCAAAAACAGCAAGAACCTATTAAGATTACACATCAGAAATATGAAAACTCAACAAGTATAAAAGCCAGTGTGGTTGTGAATAACCAGAATGAAAGTTCGTTAAACTTTCTTCGCAAATGAACCTAAAAATTTTAGAGTAAATACTGTCCAACAAACCACTGTAGCCAATCGAGAGGAAAGAGCAACTTCCAAATTCCCTTTGAGCCCAAGAATGGGTGGTATGATTTCGAAAATACTTTCCCCTTTCAAAGTTAACGTACCCTACAAAAGTGTAAATTATGAATGTAGATCATACAGTGGACTTCAGCATATCAACATAACATCCTGCAACTACCATTCCAACACCTGCCAAGAGGCAGGCGGGAAATATTTCACGAGCGACATAAGAAATGTGTCGAGAAGAAGACATTGTGAAATAAGTGTTTAGACAATGAGAACATTTTGGAGATTCCTCTGACTTTGACCAGGGAGTATCGGCAGCGTCTACAATACAACAAACGTTGGGTAAGACTTACTTACTTTGCTTGCCAAACATTCTCCATGTGAGTTTGGAGTAGTATTATCAAAATATTTTAATCCTCGTCCGTCAGTAGATCGATTTGAACTTAGCTAAGAACAAAATGAGATCAGGAATGAAACGTGCGTTGAAACTCTGAACAATATTAATAAATAAAGTTCGAATCAGTCGGCTATTTCGAAGATGGATATTTTATCAATTAAATCAGAGGGCTCATGTCTTGCATTTAAATGTACTAGGCAAAATAACATCTGGTTATTTGATGAAACATTTTTATAAACAATAGCAATTACCTAGGTTCATCAGATGAGTGGTTTATAAACAGAAAATATAGAACCGAGCCGAAAATATTCATTAAGGAATTACGGAAGAAATATTTTTTTGATAAGGAGAACTTTAAACAGTACATAAATAGGATAATGATCTTAGGAAAAGACACAATGAAGTATTTGTGAATAAAGTTGCCTGACATCCGATTGCACAAATTATTTACTGGCTATACAATCAAATAGGCATTAATGTAATTGGTTTGACTAACACCTGATCTGCATATATAGCATAAATCAAAAAATAAAGACAAATACGATCAATTCTACGGTCAAGATTCAATTAAATTAATTTAGGCAAGCCTTTTATATCGCATACACAATCTCACAAGTTTTGGGAAACTTCCATTGTAAACTTTTGAGAGATGCGTGAAAAACCCCCGAAATCCCCTTGGCATGGAGTTTCTTCTCCTGTGTCTGAAGGAAATCACAGATTTCCAAATGATGTTGCGGTAAACCCCGAAATTACCACAAAGTCGGGAGATTAGATGGTGTTACATAGTTGTAAAATGGGCGGAAAATATTAATATGCGGTATGAGACCATCTGTTTCGATTAGTCATTACCCGCCAATCACTGAAAGGTTTTCTCATTCATGTTACATCGAATACCTGCATATATACAAGTCTTATGAGAGTCTAATGAAATAAGTCTGGTTTATGAAATTATGTCAAAGATAAAGGAGTGACTAATATTGTTAGCTTTTTTGCACAGACTGGATTTAAATGCAAGCACAAGTGTCGAGATTTCTGTGTGTCAGTATGGGTTTAAAAAACCTGGTTTAATAATTCACCTCAAAAATTTCTTGATTCTCAGTGAAACCTTTATTAAGCCGGCGATTGTACTCAGGAGCAACGAATATAAGTAAACATCGTAGCAGTCAAAATAAGAAGTAGGGACGACGCTAAAACCGCGATGACTGCAGACGAAGTACCGCCAATTTGAAAACGGGCTGAAAAATCAAAACACTAACTTCACGCTTTTCGTGGTAGATATTACATACTCTCTGTTTCTTAGGAACTGAGTTTTGATAGTTGTTGAGGATTCTTAGTCACGGAAAGACACATTTTCGAGTACGCTACATTGACCATAGCCTATGATTAGAAGTCGGATTCGATCGGAAACTTTTCAATACATAGATCCTTATTCAAACGGATTTTTATTTCAAGATATTAGAATGACTTCCAATATCCAGTACCTCCAATATCTGTTTCACCAGCCAGGATTTCTTTGAGTTCTTTGAGCTCCTTTCTTGTTCTTTCGGTACGGTTCCAGGTGTTTGGTGGTGTCCCATGAATGGGGACTTCGTTGGAACATGATGATCATTTGCTATATTTTTCTGTAACTTGCCTGATTGTTCATATTTAATTTCTCACTCGGAACAACTTTGTTCTTTTTCTACATCTCAGTAAATAGGAAACTCTTTTTTTCTCAACTATTCTTATGATCTACAATAAATGTTTACATTGGATTCAGAGCGTCTTAAATATAGTACTGTCTGTTTATATCCCCTTTTAAAGTCATAGCTATAAAACCCTTATGCATACTTCTAGAAACTAACCTAGTATATTTCCACACTTTTCAGAACTTGTAAAAATAATGTGGATGTTACGTAGATGTTATAAAAACTATTGTTTACAAATACGTTTGCGACAAGAACTTGAATGATCTTGAAAAACTCACGAGTAAGCTTTATAGGAATAAAAATAATAACGCTCCTCAAGAAAGCTGTGCTCTTAAAGTGGAGGAATGTAATAAGGGAGTTTTTCCAAATGACCTCTTAAGTGAACCGTAGAGTATTTCGAAAGTCAGGTATTTTTGAAAGAAACCCTAAGATATTACTTTTTTGATTGAAGAATAACAATTAGATGAAAATTGAGGAAGCCTAGGCCTTCGATCAAAATTAGCCGCAAAGGAGAGGGTAGACATCACTACTACGCCTCAAACTATCAATCTAAATTCTGTGGTCTTAAGAAGAAGACAGATCCTGACACTGCAGTCACTGCAGTTCCCAATAATACTGGCTCAAAACATACTACATCAAACAAGTTAAACCACCAACTCAGAGTTATGAAGTTGATTGATAATATAAAGTCTAGTTTCAGTGTGGTCGTGTCAATCGGCTTTGCTGAGAGAAAATCATCTGATGTTGCAACTGCGTACACAATGATAAACTCATTGTCTGCCTAGCACATGTGTTACTCTTAACAAGCAGTCAGTCGCGCAATCTTACTATAACCTAGAATTAGGAATGAGTAAGTATTACGAATTCCTAATAGAAGTTTGATACCTATGCACAAGGTTGCCATTAAGTATGGGTACAAGGGGTGTAACTGCTCGGTTACCTAAAGGTACAGTCTAAAATTATTGCAAAAGTAACTGGGATAAAAATTAGAATAAAGATATAGTACCTATCAATGAACATGAAGTTCATGGTCATGAAGCGTTAAGTACTAAACCTATGGGTAGAAATGCTTTAAATTATTCAGAAAAGAGTCGTATGATTAGGTATGATACTTAGGAATGAAAATAATACTGCGAACACTGCGTTAGCTGAAACATTTTTAATTTGTCCATAATATCTAAAATAATAACCAAATTTCTACAGTATCGTACATTATAGTACTGTTCGGTTTTTAACAAACGTAAATTTATTGGGACTGAAGTGAATATGACGGTTACTTCAATATCTTCAGCATTAAAAACAAAAAGAATGAATGGTTTTTTGCATTATAAAGAAGCCATTTCATATCTTATTGACTTTCATTGAATAGTTTATTTAGATTACGTAGTGGAGAGATAACTGGAGTCACTTAACAGTAGGAATAATTTTGATTTAATGATCGAAATGTAGCAGATAAAAGTAGTTGTCATATGCCAAGGTATGTAAACTGACTTCAGCTTTTGCGCTAACTTTCATAAACTGTTAAATATTATGAATCGTTTTGTGAAGTGGTTAAGCGTATAACTAACGTTGATGATAAATTTGTCGATGAATGGTGAGTTTGTGAAGGCAGTAAAAGGTTATATTATGATGGGCGGACAGATGGTTAAACACCCAGTTATTCGCTTCCAACGCCCAGATAAAACACAAGATAACGTTTGGTATTGTCAAACTCTACATTATCATGGTGGAGTAGGAGGTATGGAATTTGTTGTGTGTACAGTACAGTTACATAGTACTTATATACTCTATATACTGTCAATTTGAGTTTTGAGTCTTGCATTCTCCATAGGTTGCTCAAGTGACCTGTCTCTTTGAAACTTGCGGTTGCTATTGCGTACTCTTCGTCGTGTCGAATGGAAGTATCTTAACTGCTTCAGGTGTGATAGCTCAACAGATCCAAGGAAAAAAAGAATATTGTGCTACATATTCTGCCTGTAACGTCGTCGTAGTAGGTCATTATTCGGGTCTTGTTCATCAGCTCAGTGGGCGGGGAGTTGCGATTAAAACAAACAGGTCTGTCAACACTCAAAATACGGTGATATAAAAAATAACAATAACATAATGCAAGGAAGTAATTAACCACTTTAAGTATAATGTTTCGATTGTGACTTACGTATTTGGCTAGCTCGCGACTATCCAACCTAGGCTGTTATATCAGCATCCTAGAATCAGTTTCCGATGGAATGTCGGTTAGATCCGTTCACGGAACAAAAATATGGCGGTTTTAGGTTTAGTGTAAGAACAGGAAACACTATAACTCGTAAAACTCTATAAGTCATGGGCAAGGACGTTAGACAAAATTCACTGAATTTATTTTATGCACCAGTGTCGGAGAGTAGCTCACAGGAAAGTAGAACTGCCTTGGCCAAACTATGCCCTTATTTCAAGGTTCAGAACGTCGTTATAGGGGAGGTTCCTCCGCTTAGAGTAATGTTAAACTTGGAACAAGTTGCCGAAAAAGTCCTTCCGACATCTTGGAGACCACTGGTTTAACTATCCTTCCAGATCCGAGTTAGGCACGACGAAAGCTGGTCAGTACGATCAACTGCCAGGAAATCAAAAGGTAGCCAATAACAGACCAGTATGGTAATTCACAGCGTGCCTGATGTGATCAGTTTCAGCTTGGATGGAGCTCATGCTCATTACATGCGATAATGGCGATGGTTTTCAAGTAGCATAGGCGTTAATACCTTCATGGCAATCAGCATTTGTTGGGTTCCTCATTCGTCACACCTTACCATCACTAAGTCTCCGCGTCTAATAGCTGTGGACTTCAGAAGTACAGAAGACCTAACTGAGGCGCATCAGGTTTCGGACAGCATGAAGAACTATCTCTTGAGCCATATCCGATGCTGCGAGAGCCGATCTAGATCTATGAGACAACGACAGGGAGGAATATACCACACGAGAAAAGCACCTGCAGAGGCAGATGCTTACGGATCTGGCCAACTCGGTTTGAATAACTTGTTTGAAATTCCAACAAGGGCTGTTATAGCAGAGGTGCATTACATGATGAAATAAACCACCAAGTATTTCTACATCAACATAAGAGGAATAAGGGTAAACTTTTAGAAATCAGGAATATGTTCTCAGTTGGATCTGAAGATCATAATCGTAACTGAAACACGTCTTTGCTCTGACAGTGCAGAGAATGAAGTGAGCTACACGGCATCCAACTTACTGCTGTGATGAAATGAGGCTGGTTTTGCTTCAACATAAATGGCACAACATAAACGGCCCACCTAAAGTACTGAAGCTCAGAAAGATACTAAAACTGCCACTCCTTAGGTTTTAATCAAATAATCTTAATTGAATATTTCAACATTCCGTCTGTAAATCTTAGCAAACGGGGAACAACTTCCATAACTTGGATTATTTGTTTTCAAACGATCAGCCTCCGTTTAAGGACGTTCACGTCCATAAACCAATAGGAGGTAGTTACCATGGTGTAGTGATGTTTAACAAGGTCATAAACGCGACACTCAGGCGGGACGAAAACGAACCCTACCTTTGATACACCTGAGCACATAACACGACCATTAGAGATCATCTTATATATGCCCCATGGCCACGGAAATGGTGGAGGTTATTAGTATATGGTCACTGGTAAATAGTGAGAGACACAATCCAGAATGTTGTCCTAGACATTGTGCCCCAGGCACACCGAGCGGAAGGTCACTTGGAAGGATTCCGACCATAGTTCTTGCTTGGCATTGAGAAACAGATTCAATGCCAAGGTTTGAAGTGATAGACGACTATTCCGAATAAAGCTAGCTTTTAAATGAAGTGAAACTTGACGGCTTAGTCACCTTGTGATCATTCCGTCCACTGTAACATAAAAGGCTTATATCCTCAATAGAAGTCCGCCCCATAATGTCTCCACAGTGCGCAATCCCGGTTCGGTAACGACAGAAAGCCCAAAAGCTAGTACGAACTAAACAGAGGACGCAGTGAAGTCTTAAGCAACTCTTGATTTTATGCGAAGACTAGCTATTGCTATCACCCTGGAATTATTCCTAATGTTGTTTAAAACATACATACTCGCACATCTTGAGGTTCACAACGCCGTCGCATCCCCTCTCCTTAAAAACAGACATTAATTTTTTGGATTGAGTTCAGAACCAAGCGACGAAATGGGTGATAGTGTTGAAGAATAAACCATACGAAGGTAGACTCTCTCACTTAGGATTATTCTCTCATAGCTGGAGGAGAATCATAAACGGTCTGATAATGGGGTGCAACATATGAAGCGCGCTAAATCATTCTCACATGAAGATCTGGCCGAAGCATTCGGACTACTTCCCTTAAAACGATTCTATAAAAATTGAGCATCAAAGAGAGAACATCCAGGTTCGTGCACACTTTGTCCCATTGACAGTCGTTGCTACTTGGGATGCTGTCGCAGCCGAGATGACCACAACAAACTCAATGGATGGCTACAAGAAGAGACTTGATACACCCGTTATCACATACGGGTTATCATATCCCTCTTGGATCAGCTATGTCTGATGCATGTTTTCAGACTTTATAGCTGTTCTTATTGCTGTTTCCTCATATCACTAACTTAATCTGTCTCGCCTGTTATCTCTGTTTCCTTAACCTCTCTTACAATGCGGTCCTCTCGCACAATTTTCATCACCAACTAATTAACTAAATTATCCATTAGAATTTTCCCCTTATTACGCTCCACACTGAAACTAACTGATTTCTATCCTGATAGTGTGGTAACCGCTGGTATCCAGAAACCCTACTGCCCTGAAACAAACGTATTTGTTCTAACCAAGTAACCTACAATCTCACAAACAACTGCCAACGGACTAGAATTGGACACTACAAAACACCTGGAACCGTACCAAAGGAACAAGAATGGAGCGCAAAGAAATCAATTGGTTTATATTAGCTCATGAAAAAATATTGGAAATTGGATATCCATTATTCAGACGTTTTCAAGTGTCATTAGCAGTCAAGACATGGCAGTAACTGCACATTGTCTTGAAGGAGTCTTAAAAGGTCTGGATGCTTTTTGGCTAATAAGTATTGCAAGCAAATAGATTTTACAGTTCCAAAGTGAATTTGAGTCGATTCCCGCAGTAACCTTGAAATCTTTCCGTTTATCCACTTGGGGAAGCCAAGTTTTGACCTTAAGGTCACACATAAGGGTTCACTACATGGAACCTCAGATAGTACCATTATTGAAGCTTACAACACTAGACAACCCTCCTAAGTTCTTAATAGTAAATCGAATTATGTGGAAAACTCATATTCGTTTCTAGCCTTTACAGTCTGCTGGAAAGTTTGTCAAGAAGTTAAGAGAATCTGATGCAAATGTTGTGGACTCACAGGTACACTAATGTTTATGTATTATACATCCGTCTAGGCCAATCGTTCTGGTTCTGAGGAGGACCAGAGAGCATTGCAAGCTGGTCTGTTATATCTGGCTCTCACTGAACCAGATCCCAGGCACTCATTTTGTACGGATATAGTGTTAACCTCTCGTGACAATTTAACTTATGTCTTGTCAGAAATGACTCGCTTAGTCGCAGAAACGTGGCCAAAAATGACACAAAGTGTCCGAGCCAACCTTATATCATTGTTGGGGGAGTTTATATCGACGAAGACTGCTAGCGTTGAGGTGTTGATGCTCCACGTGTATCGAAGAATGACAAGTAACTCACATTATTTGTATTGAGTTTCTTGGTAGCTGGTGATATTTCTTCTCAAAACCTGTGGCTTATAGATAGCATGACAGACCTGCTGGAGAAAAACAAGTAGTTCGTTTATACTCATGAATTATATTCAATAGAGATTGGTTAGGTAGTTTGGAAAGGCAACCATTTTTGCTCCCCCTAACTGTATATACCTTACTTCGGCTTATCCCAGATCATCATTTATCTCCTCAACAGACGTCACTAGTTACTCCTACAAATCCTGTGAATTTATCCAAGTTACGACAGAAAGAATTGACTCTGGTTGAAGATCTTATTCGAAAGAATGTGAGTTACTAGATAAGTTACAGTCTCACTGTTTGGTTGTATTTCTTGTATTTAATTAAAACAACACTGAGTGATTCTAAATGTCCTTTCAAAGGCAATAGGAAGTTTGTATCTGAAATTTGTTGAACTGTCTTCTCTAAACATAATTCTTACCGTACCTACGTATTGGTTTACTTTATCGTCGTTTGTAATAAATATTACTGTTGTATGGCTTGTTCCTGTCTATTTCTGTATGCTGGACAGTTCTTTGGAGTTAGAAACCCCACTGGAATCTGCGATATCTGTAATAACTAGCAGATATTACTACCTTGATGTGTGCATTTAATTAAACTAAGTTGATCCTAATAACCAGTCCACTCAAAGCAATTTTATGGTATTTTATGCAAAATTCAGCCCGAAAACAAGACAATGAGAATTTGGAACAACTGTATTTATCTGTATAAATACATAGTGTTTCACTTTTTAGCACTTCAGTCTTTATTCATGTAAATGTTTCCGTAACAGTGTTTTTAAGCATTTATTCGTAGAAGTCAGTACATCTTATAATACGTTTCTTGGTTTGCTGGTACGCATCACGTGGAAGTCAGGACTTCAGTGCCTTTAAATTTGACAGTGTATAACAAATGCAGTTTTTGTTGCTACTATTAGAGCTGAGTCGAAAATGGAAGGGAGTGTAAGCGTAAGCATAAGATCTCTGTAATGGTACAAACCATACTGAGAATATTCGCGTTGTACTTAATGTTTGTACATTAAAGTAATAAAGTTATTCAAATAACTTTAGTTACGACATTGAGACATCTCGGATGTTTCATTTATTTGGGTTGTATGTTTGTGGCTCATAATTCGATATATGGTAGTATAGTTCACTGCCCTGGTTGCCAGTAAATAACTCGTTAAAGGCTGCGAGGTTTACATGTTTATGACATTATTTAGGTCAAGTTCATCACTCTCTTATTATTTCTATTATTGGAATCAATTATCATTGCTGCTTTTACTTTACACTCTTCACTGATAGTCTGAACTCAGCCAAGCAACTCACATCGACATAGGAATATAAGATGTTGGTCGAAAATTATGGTGTCTTTTGTGTTCGTATTGTCGAACTAATTTTTTCACCTTTACCATAGGCCCTAATAATTCCGTAAATTGTTTCTCAGTGAAATATGCAGTCATCGAACTCAACATATTTGACTGTGGCTGATTCCTTACATTCTGTCCCGTATGTTTGGCATTGACGATCCTAGCTATTTACTATTCGTAAAGCTGATATATGACTCCTGTTGTTGGTTGAAGTAAGCCGTACCGTGAAAGATCATTAGGCATTAATAAGATGTCCTGCTACATCTTTGAATATCAGTGACGTATAGTTTTCCCGAAGTGTTATATTATCGTTCCGTGATTTTGATTACACTTAGTTTTGTGTCTTTTAAAGTGCTCAGCATCGAGACTTTGATAAACGGATCTTCATCAGATATATTCCAAATAAGTTCAAGTCCACAAAATTCCATTGAGAAAGAAGAGACGAAAAGTTGTTGCTTTTTATTTATCTCCTTTCAGAAAACAGCTGTTAACATAATGTAGGATATTAAGGTGCAACAGAAATGTTACGGAGAGACTAAATACTGTAGCTCTGTTCGGTTTCCAAAGATTAGGGTTTTGTTTCTTGTTTTGATTGTATGGGTAGATATTTATAGGTGTTCGAAATATATCCCACTTCAAAATAGACAGTAAGCTGATCAGTAAATTACCGTCGTAAATTTTGAACCACACAACTTTACAATTAGTCAAGTCAAAACCATAATTCCAACAACCTAACGAAGCTTTTTTGTGGAAATAAGTAAGTTTAGTATTTCATTGTCCGAAATTTTACCACGCAGTAATAATGTTATGACGTTTGCAAGTGCTTTCAATATTCATGATCTCAGTCAGCCGGTCATCATCAACATTAAAGCCTAGCGCATATGCCTTGTCACAAGTTGCCATACCATGTTAAAACAGTGAAATAAAATCAGCTCAATTAATAACAAAAGCGATCAAAATAACACTATAAAGGACAGAAAATGGGGTTCAAAAAACTATAAAATGTATGTTTGAAGGATCAGTGGAATTCAAGATCAGGGGGAAGATGAAGAGCGAATTCACCTGCGCTATTATGGCAAACCTTTAGCAATAAGGTTATCATTTTTTTTTCAAATTAGCTCATGCTTCATTGCAGTATCCATGTTGAAACTATATTCAAATATTGTCTTGCAAATTATTATTATTAGGTTGTTTACTGTTTTTAGCAATACTTACGGGTTCGTCTGTTGTTAGCTAATCAATACGGAACTATTCCTGTAGTCATCTTCACTTTACTAAATAGTTTTCTCGTGATCTTTAGTCAGAAGTATTAATTAATTCCACCTAAATATTTATTTTTCTAATACTTTTTGTTGCAAAGGGAAAGCTATTGGGAATAATTTTGTCTCGACTTTGTACGTTCAGATTTGACCGAAGACTTCTTTGTTAATATCGCTTCATTGCGATCTAAGCTTATTTTTACATAATTAGAACTTGTGATCTGCCAGGTATTTTCGATAAATTCTTTGCCAATTTTTGTTACAGTTTGACCGTTGTGCCCAAATCGGCCGCGATTTCATTCGTCTCCTACATGGCGTCGCACGTTTGGAACCGATGAAGCGTTTGTGGGATGATTTACTACAGAACATTTCTTCTTTGTCATCCCATTTTTCAAGTAATATTAGTCATTTCTTTCCTTATTCAACCCAATATATTTATGCGATTGTATCGTTTTATTTTATCCTGCATTGATTTATCCAGCATTAATCCACTCCTAGTATTAATATTAGACATACATAGCTGATAAAGAAGACAGTTATATTACGTACATTTTCATTATGTCTCAGGTCTTTCTGAAATTTTGGAAATCACGACACCCCAGTGTTTTACGCAGACCCTTATACCACATGAAATGGAACAATGGGTTCGCTGGATGATGAAAAATGTTCATTGTGTCCCGAGAGTTCCTGTTCATCGTTATCAAGACTTTTTTCAAGTGAGTTCAGACTCAACTAATCCATGTTTTTTTCAGTGTAATTTGTTGTATCGTCTTTTCACTTAGTTCGAACCAGCCATGGTCTCGATTTTTTGACCACATTTTCTTGAATTTCCTACTTATTTAAATCTTATTTCAGAGAAAATTCTTTTCGACTCCTGAAAGTCAAAGTCTTCGTGTGTGCCTTTTGCGTTACGTTGTAACCTACTTTTATCCTGACAACGAAATGTTGGCCTCCACCTTAATACCACGATGGAATGTGGTTACTTGGATTTTATCTCAATCTACAGTAAGTGTTTTGTTTGTATCATAATCTACTACAACTTTTTTCATCCGGCTTTTTGGAATAGTGATGTTAAGTATGATTATTTAAAATATGGTACTTTTTTCCCCTTAAAGTTAGTTTTAAGTTTTCAGTGATTCTCTTTATTGAAGGTTTGTAAAAGCGAAATTCACTAAAATAATTTACTTTATAATCTCTGATCATGTCCTCCTAAACGGGTACATATCTAGGACAAAAGAACCACTTAGGCGTTCATATGCCCGGTATTTTTTCGTATGGTTAATGATCGTGATTTTTTTCACTTATGACTTACATTAAATACAGCTTACTAGAGATACAATATCTGAATTGAGACAGTGAGTTGAACAATGCTGTCTCATTAACCTTTCATGATTTTCAGTCAAGTAAAACAACGCAATAGTATTGTTGCTCGACTGAACTTTTTTATAGTTTATTCCGAATTCAAACGTAACAATTCGTATAGAAAGGTTTATTTTCAGGTTTTTTAAATACAGAACATTAAGTTATTCGGGCTTATTAACGCTGTGTAAAGTTGCTGTATATTTTCAGTTAAGTACTTTTGAAATCTCACTTTTAGAGATGCTTTATGTCGTGTTCATGACTGATTGTACTAAAAATTGAAGTAGTTGATTTAGTAGTCATCTTAATTCAGGATAAAAATGCACCGATTCTGTTACTAAAGTAGTATCCTGGTCAAAGTTGAGAGACAAGATTTATCATGTATCATGTGACTACATGTACTGAAAACTTAATTGTGTGGGTTGTGATCGAAGAATATTATATCAAAACTATCTTCATATTTTTATAGTATACGTAAGTGCACTAAGTATATTTCTCCTTTGTGGGTAACAAGTATTATCTGCCGGATGCATTTTATTCCGATCTGATATTTTGCTGGATATTATTCTCATTAGGTTATTGTCCTTGAATATTTGTCTTTTTCTAGTGTCCTGTTGCTACTGTTAATGCCAAATTGGCTCTATTTTACGATTGGCTGTTTTTCAAACCAAATGATTGCATAATGAATTTGGGTACGTTTGCATGTCATTTTTACTTCTGATTTACAAAACATAATTCCAAGTTTTCCTATCTTGTTAGGCATAATCAAATTAAACTTCGATACTTTGTACAGGCTTACCATAGTTGTTTTTTATCCTGTATCTCAGTGCAACTTACGTTGTTTTGTTGAAATGTAGTTGTTAGGTGGGAAATTGGTAAATGATTAGTTTACTAACAATAGTTCTTATTTTTAGTTTATTCCAATGTTTCAACTGAATCAATTCAAACGAAAACTGCCAACCTAAAAAGTTGGTTTTTCAGTTCGTATTAAACACGCATCAACTCATAGGTTTGCAGATTTTAATAAATATCAATAAATATTTCGTTTAAAATAGTCTTGATTGCTGTATCAGTAATCCTCTTTGTTACGCACCAATGTTGCCGAATAATTTTCATGACTGATTTGTTTTCCTTCATATTCAACTATATCCCAAACAAAATAGTTGCTTTTAATAGAACTGTGATTTGTGGAAGGATCAGAATACAAATCTAGGAATTAAACCATACTTAGTAAGACTTTTTTTACGGACTTGTTTATTAAGAGGTAATGTAGATGATTATATTCGACTAGTTCCTTGCGAATATTGTCTGGTTTAGTTTAGTATTCTTGTTTTATGTACACTGATGAACTGGAACTTCATGCTTTATGTATGTTCAACTTGCAAATACATGGTCAAAATGTCACTTCATATCTTGAAACCTGTTATTTTCTTCGTATCATCTACGAAGTTTAATTCGTTTGGGTTCACGTAATTTATCGAGAACTTGCAACTAAAAACAGATTTTCTGATTATGAGAAAACTGTAATTCACAGTACCTAGTAATTTGTAGAAATTTCAGTAAAATTGAATTGTAGTTGAGTTTCCCAAGACTCATACAATCATAAAATCTTTAAGTCAGGCAAGCGTCCATTGGACAGAAGGTACGTTGTGCGTAGGGAGAACGTGTAAAGTATTGTATCTAAGATAATCTAGAAAAAAAACAAGGGAAAAAACATGTTTACAACTCAGGAAGCACATAGACTGCGCTCGCATTTAATGATGATAGCATTCGATTATAATTAACAATAACACAATTGTAAGGCTTGATAATTGAAACCAGGAGTTGATAGTGTAATGTTTGGAATGTATTATAAACTCTTACATACTGGGTTATGAATAGCTGGTGAAATTCGGCACAACTGTTCATGATTGATTAAACATATTTTTTTGGTTATAGATCCTTATATTTCATTGAAACTATTTGTTGTTGTTAAGTTCATTTCATTTTTCGTTACCAAAAATTGTTCTTAATCCCATATTTTACAGAACCTGCTTTATTAGCCATTATGAATCATCTTAATCCGCGTTCACAGCTGATCGCGTTTTCACTCGTTGATTTCTTGACTAAAGTAAGTAAACATCACATTACATGAGTGCATTTATTTTGTTACGTTTGAAAAAAAATGAAAACATAGTTCAGAAAACAAAGTATTTACAGTTTATCTCCTATATTACTTTACATTTTATTTCAGTTAGTTTAATTAGATAGGAATTGTTAAATTCGTTCAACATTTTGCTGAATACATTGTTATTCTTTAAGCATAATGTTCTATTTATTTGCTTATTTTTATTTCAGTGTTTTTGTTTATATGATTATCAAAACTTTATACCTGATGTTTATTTTTAGTTGTTTATCTCATTTAGATAAGAAATTTTCATCACATCACGTAGATAAAAGTTGTAAAATAGCCTTTGGCAGTTGTACTTTTCAATAATACTAGGTTATATATATCATGACAATGATTGAATCTTCAATATGAAAGCATTTAAATCTCACACTACTGATTTTTGATTTACACTAAATTGCGGTTTAGATTAAGACTGAAATGTTTTTTGGTTCAGTATAGACAATATATATCTAACTACCTTGTGATATGAACTTATTGTCAAATTCATAGTATATATGTAGCTGCTATAAAATACTATTTAATGCAGTTAAGTTTTATCTACCGAATTCAGTGTTTGATACGCATACTTAGATTCTGGTTGAAATGAAAACATCATATATAATTCAATCTAACTGGCTTCGACTTAATGTATACGCCTCTTAATATCTACGTGATTATTGTGTATTTTGTTTAATGAATTTTCTTTACAAATCATTTTAATATTGTACTCTAGATCGTTGGAACCTATTATCCTCCAATGACTGAAAGAATCGTGATGGGTGTTCGTTCTGGTTTGGAAGAAATGATCCGTTTGGGTGTTGTAAAGTAAGAAGAAGTTGCATATATTTCATAATACTTACTTACTTACTTACGCCTGTTACCCCCAATGGAGCATAGGTCTTCCACCAGTTTTCTCCAACCAACTCTGTCCTGGGCTTCCCTTCCTAGTTCTTTCTAGTTTTCGTTCATTCTTCTCATATCTTTATTTCTCGGCGTAATGCGTTCCTTCCTTTGTATTGAAAATCCTGATTTTGGTGTTGATTGATATTTGTTTGGAGTTCCAGATATTTTTTAACTGTAGGAATGCAGCCCTTACTTTGCCGATCCGCGCCCTCACATCTGCATCGGATCCACCTTGGTTGTCAGTGATGCTGCCCAGATATGTAAAGGTGTTAACGTCCTCTAAGGCATCTCCATGAAGAGTGATTTGGTTGTTGCATGTTGTGTTGCATCGGAGAATTTTGCTTTTTCCTTTATGAATGTTGAGGCCTGCTGCTACACTGGTCGTCTTCTCTTGCATTTGTTGTTGCGTGTGCGATAGAAGAGCCAGGTCATCTGCGAAGTCCAGATCATCCATCTGCATCCTAGCTGTCCATTGGATACCGGGCTTCCCTCCAGTTGTTGACGTCTTCATAATCCAGTCGATCACCAGGAGAAAGAGAAAGGGTGAGAGTAAGCAACCTTGCCTGACACCGGTCTTCACCTCGAAAGAGTCTGTCAGCTGACCTCCGTGCACGATTTTGCAGTTGAATCCATCATAAGAATTCCGTATGATGTTGATTATCTTCTCAAGCATGCCGTAGTGTCGAAGAAGTCTCCATAGTGCTTTCCTGTCCACGCTATCGAATGCTTTCTCGTAGTCGATGAAATTGATGTAGATTGGTGAGTTCCATTCAATCGATTGTTCCACAATGATCCGTAATGTTGCAACTTGGTCAGTACACGATCGATCCTTACGAAATCCAGCCTGTTGTTCTCGAAGTTGGGCGTCTACGAAGTCCCTCATTCTGTTTAACAATACCCTGTTGAAGACTTTGCCTGTATTGAGGGAAGAGTGATGCCTGTGTAGTTCCCACACTTTCTGAGATTGCCTTTGGTATTTTGATCAGCTATCCTTCTGATTGTACTCGTTCTTCATCTCAAATCTTGTTGAAGAGAATGTGAAATATTTTTGCAGTTGCTGGCACGTCTACTTTCATTGTCTCTGCTGGAATGTTGTCTGGTCCTGCTGATTTGCCGCTCTTGATTTTTCTGATGGCCATGCTGATCTCTTCAATTGTTGGTGGTCCCACATTGAGTGGGAGGCCCGTGGATGCTGCTTCGGTGTTGGGTGGGTTGAGTGAGGATGGTCGATTAAAGAGTTCCTAAAAGTGCTCTCTCCACCTGTTTCGCTCTTTTTCAATGTTGCTGATTACTTTGCCTTCCTTACTTTTCACTGGTCGTTCTGGTTTACGATAGTTCCCGGCGAGCTTTTTTGTTGTTTCGTACAATTGTCTCAAGTTTCCTTCTCTTGCAGCCTTTTCCACCGTCATTGCTAGATCTTCCACATATTTTCGTTTGTCAGCTCTGATACTTTTCCTCACTTCCCTGTTTGCTTCTGTGTATTCAGCTTGTGCCTTAACTTTCACTGCTCTTGTTTGGCTGACATTGATTGCTGCCTTCTTGTTCCTCCTTTCTTCAGTTTTTGTAAGAGTACCAACAGACATCCAATCCTTTTGATGATACTTCTTGTGACCCAGAACTTCGTGACATGTTGATGTGATTGCCTCCTTGATCCCTTTCCAATTGTTCTCCAAGGTTGCTTCCTCTCCATTGAGTAGATCCTGCAAGGCCTGGAACCTATTGGTGAGGGCTATCTTGAATTCGTTGAGTTTTACGGTATCCCGAAGAAAGGCTGTATTAAACTTGTGAGATGTTGTCTGCCCCGTTGTCCAGTGTTTCTTGAGTTTCAGTTTCATTTTAGTGAACAGCAAGTGGTGATCTGAGGCTATGTCAACTCCTCTCTTGGTTCTCACATCCTTCATGGTTCTTCCGAACTTTTTATTGATACAGATATGGTCGATTTGGATCTGAGTAGTGTGATCCGGTGAAATCCATGTGGCTTTTTGTATGCGCTTGTGTGGGGATATTGTGCCACCGATGACCAGTTTGTTGAAGGCACATAGGTTTGCAAATCTCTCACTGTTTTCGTTCCTTTCTCCTAGTCGATGTCGTCCCATGATGACTTCATATCCAGTGTTGTCCATTCCAACCTTGGCATTTAGGTCTTCCATTGAAATCGTCAAATCCTTTGGTGAGCACCTGTCGACGATTGACTGCAGCCTTTCGTAGAATTGATCTTTGTCGTCGTCATTGTAGTCGTTGGTAGGTGCCTAGCGTTGGGTGACGTTCATTGTAATGTCCTCTTTCTTTGTTTTGAAAGATGCTTTGATGATCCTGGGTCCATGAGATTCCCATTCTATCAGTGCCTTTTGTGCATGTTTTGACAGCATCAGTGTGACTCCTTGTATGTGAAGCATTTTCCTCTTCATGACCAGAGTATAACAGCAGTTTCCCTGAAGCTAGTCTCAGTTATCCCGCCTGGGTCCAATGTGTTTCACTGATTTCAAGTACTTTCAGGTCGTATCTTTTCATTTCTGTAGCAACTTGAAATAATCTTCCAGTGTCCCACAATGTTCGACCGTTCCATGTACCTAAAAGAATGATTGCTCTAGTTGTCAGATGAGGTATCGGCCTCGTGACTTCCGAGGGAACTCGGCTTTCATCACGAGACGTCATAATTCTTTCTCCAACTCCCAGGGCAGAGTTAAAATAGTTTAAATAATTAGTTCTGGTTAGCATTTTTTTAGCGAGTTAGTTTGTTGGCGGGATGGGGTCGCCAACCCCATTCCCAACCCTCCTCTTTTATCCCGGCTTGGGACCGGCAGTTCTACGGGCGGAGTTATACTTCATAACAACACATTGGTAAGTATAGACTAAAGTAACTCTACCAAAAAATCGATCAAGTAGTTGTAATACTGTCACGTTATATATACATTCTTTTGAGATTAGCTATTAAATAATGAAACTACTTTGGCTAAACGTAGATTTAAACCGTATTGCTCAATGGATGGACGATTTGTCAAGTCTATTCCTAATTCTGTTCTCCGTGTTATAGTTCAGTTGATGAAGCCACCATTGTTCACTTTCCATAAATAACGACAAGTCTAATATAACTTGTCCTAACATTTTGTGTTGTACATGGCACAGCAGTCGAGTTTCACGACTATCAGTTATTGTGTCTCGAGTTTAAACCACTTTAATTTACTTAAATCTATATAATCAAGTAGTATCATGTTATATTTTGCATTCTTAACATCATGTATTACACGACTCAGCATTCTGCATAAGGTTATTAACACTGAGTTTCATTAATTATGGATTTAGTTTGTTCAATATTCTTTTCGATGGTGTTGAGTAACTAAAGAATGCGGATTCCAGCTGTCTATTTGGCTGATTTAATGAACACAGTTGCTCTAGTCTTAAAAGATTATACAAATAGTAGTTTCTTTTTTTATTAAACTGTTTAGTACTATGGAGAAAAGTGTAGAAAAATTAAGTCGTTTGATGGTTTAGTTGAACGAAGGAGTTTTTGCGTTAAAGAAGTATAATCTATTTAAAATAATGTGTTCCAGTCATCGAATTCAAACTACCTTTACGGAAGACTCAATCATTTCTTCCTAGGACTATACCACTTTTCTTCCACTATAGGAATAATCTAAGTCCAGATGGAATATATTCAATGAAAACCCAGACTGCTAGTATATTATGTACATTTAGTGTTCAATCATTCATTTACATCTGTTTGTGTTCTTCAGTCCAAGATAGCTATAAACTGTCTTGCCTAGCTTTTCTCCTGGTCTCCAAATATTCTGATCACACCGTGAACTCCAATCTACTGAAACCCTTCTCTTCGGTGGCAACTTCCACGCGACGCCCCGCTGCATACTACTAATGCAGTCTTGTGAGTAGCGTCTACCACATTAGTATTCTGTCAAAAATATCTTCTATGTTTTCCTCGTGTATGGTAGAATCAAAGTTAAGCTTAGTCCACTATGTAGAAGTAACAATTCAGTTGATAAAGCTGTATTCCTTCATCAACTCAGGTAATTAACAACTATTTCACGTATATGTAGCCAGTTCTAGCCTTCATGTTCAGCAGTGGTTAGTCTGAGTGCAAGTTGAAATAAGGCTATACAAATTTATTTCCCTGAATTACATTTCTTGAATAATATCTTCGAACCCTCTATTACCACTAATACTTCTATTGCTATGGGTTCGAATTGACAATTGCATCTCTGTGTTAATGTGGTGTTGCAACTTAAACCGATGTACGTGTGTACGAAGTTCTATGTTGTAGTTGATTGACTGACTGAAATAAGGTTAGAGAGAGAGAGCCGAACAAACATCAATACATAAAGTCAGTGACTCAGTAGCCTTCGTCTTGTTGTATTGTATGGCGACGTTAACCAATACACAGTTGTTTCAGGTCTGACATTGTTTGTGCATTAGGATATCTATCGGTAGTTAATAAAGCTTCGTTCTGTTTCTTTATAGAAGCATCGCTCCTCTATTCGAGTTTTTACATCGTTCCTCTTCTTTGGATTTGTTGCGATCACTTCGTATTTTGTTGGGTCTTGAGCCTAATACCGCTTTGACAAGTATCGCAATTCCTCCTTTGGAAAGTCCAAGTCGTCCAATACCTGAGAAATGGCCGGGACCAGGAGATACTCCAGTAGTGAGTACGAATTCGAGCTCTGTTACAAATACCACCGTTGTTTCTCGAAATCAAACTACCACATCCTTAACAGTCACAAGGTCTTTGTCACCAGGTAAATTAATCGTTTTCTTTTTATACCTAAATTGTCAATCATTACTTCACGATTACAGACAAACATTTTAATCGTTTTATTCGATTAAAATTTTTGTTTGAAGCCTTTTATTATGCAAACTTATTTAGAGCAACATAAATGGGATGGAGACAAATTAATGCACACTTATTAATGTTTTGTCGGCACGTAAGATGGATTTATAAATCTTAATAGCTTGTAATATACGGATTGATGAATAACTACGTGATGTTTTATTGTTTACATTTTTACTAACATAGCTTGCTGGTTGTATTATGTTTTTAATCACATGTATTCCAAATTATCTTTATTTTTTGTGCCAATATTTATACATTCAAACGCGAGAATTGTGTTTTGCAATTAGGTTTAGATATATTTTAAGTTTGTCAGTATAAATATTGGATGAGATCAATAGATTTGTCGATTCTGAATTCCTTGTTAACCTTCTGATTTATTACTGTCATTGTGATCATATTCAAATAAGTTTTTGTATGCTATTTCAAGATAGTTTTCGTGATATGAAGTAATGGCTTACTATTTTTTTTACCTTTTTAAAATATTCATGTTCTCATGTATAAAAATTCACCGGGTTTGGTTTCCCAAGCTGGAAGATAAAATATCCTTGTTGTATTGTTGGATTATTTTCATATTTCAACTTTGTGTATTAGTGATGCCATTCAGGTATTCTAGTTATTGGTGTATTTGAATACTATTGACTAACAGTGGTAAACGTAGTGAGTGAATAAACCATCTATGTTTATCTGTTGAAAATAAAGGCGCGGATTTTATATCCATGTTTTATTCTTTATATTATAGATAAGTATCAACAAATATAAATTAACTTATTCACCAGATACTTCGGTATGTGATTCGCACTTTTGGTGTGTCGGTTAATGATTTGGTTACTCAGACCAAAGTATGTGGAGCCGAGTTCGAATCTGAAACTCAGTCGTCGGAAATCAAACGCCTTAATTACAAAGTTACAGCTGCAGATATATTGTAAATAGATTAGACGTTATTAAAGTTATTTTAATGAAAAGTGTTATTTTCACAATGAAAAACTGTCTGTAGAAGCAATTAGTTTACAGATGTGTGAATTTAAAGCTTTGGCACTTTCGGCCATAGTTGTGGCATCAGTTCTAATTGTTACTTAAGAATTTTCATATCATTTCGGAGGAAACGTACTTTGACATGTTTACTTCCATTTTTATTTTATAATGTATCATTTTATTTCTTCACCACTTTTCGTCAGCTCATTCTCTTGTTTCTTGTTCGCTTCATTACTGACAGATAGTGGGCCACCAACAGACCCTCGTCTGACACGGGGTCATGCTGCTATTCTCGCTGGAGCTGTTCCCCCAAATTTGAATCCCACTCAAACTGAAAACCTGCCTAAACCTGTTTTAACGACCTCTGAAGTAATTCCAAGTCTTCAGCCAAACATACCGAATACTTTACAGCAAAATCCACTACCATTCACCGTGTCACAGGATGATTCAAAAACTCCGATTGTCCCTGCACGTAGTACGTTACCTGTATTGCCATCCTTACCACGTAGTTCTCAACAATTAACGGAAGTTCAAATAACTGATGACTTGGATATAATGGAGATTAATATTTTGGAAAATAAACAGGCGCTTACAAGAACTGCTACCTGGAGTCCACCACCAATAGAAAGCCGGCATGTCATCAAGAAATCTGCTGACCACGAACCAGATACTCCTGATTCACTAGAGCTCAAAATTGGTAAGTGTTTCACTGTCAAACAGTTTTCAGTTACTTTGATAACACTAGTAGTCGATGGCGCCTAAACACAACATCATTTAGACTAATCATTTTCGAGTTACCTAAAATAGCAGCCAGTTCTAACTGTACATACCGGCTTCCTCTATTTATTGTTTCTGTCTTGAACAACTTATGTTATGAGTTCATGTGTGTTTTAATATGTAAGTTAGCCTTTATCTCAACAAAAATTTCTATGACAAAACTCCCACAATCCTAACTACTCTTCTTCTAGGAATTGTTTATGGTTGACTTCGTTTCATACGTTTATTAGTTGTACAAGATGTATTCCATCCGATGTTGGTACTGTAAGTTTCTTACTGCTGAATAAGTTGAAGAAAGGTTTTTACACTCCTTACGTACGCAAATGAAGAATAGCATTTCTTTTCGTATGTATCTTATCATTCCTTGTTATGTGTATTGATCCTGGATTAAGGATAATTGCAAATCTTTATTGTTAACACCAATCAACTGCTGTAGGTGTGTGATTTTACACAATTTATAAGGGTAGATTTCCTGTTGCTTCTACTTTATCTCTACTGGTTGAAAAGCTGTGTAACAAACTGTTCATTGAAATGTGTTCATCATTTTCAGATAGTCTCCGGCGTCGATTTCAAGATTATCAACTTAGATTTCACTACTTTGTGGAATCTGTTGATGTAAACCCATTGATTAAACAACTTGATGGACCCATACGTACAGCATTAGAACAGTTTCGTGATGTGGCTAAACAAGTTGGTTTAATACGGAATTCTTCAATTGGTTTGTGTGCTTCGCAAAATTTGGATGATTTAGATAATGGTTGCTATGATCAGGAAACAAATTCCTCAGGTAATTTTTTGCATATATATGAGTTATCATTAAATATTCCACCTCAGAGAACAAAACTCAAAAACTAAAACCTAAAATGAATAAATAAATCAAATGTTGCGAAGCTGCACATTAAAGATTATTTATTTTCTCCGTTGTCTTTAGTTGCAGAACTGAATTTTATGAGCACCATATATTGCTCTATGTTCAAATACTATTAGTGACAAGTCTTCAATTGAAAGAATTCAATCGTCCCTACACCCATTACTTTTACAGTTAGTCAAATGAAGTTTCATAATTTTAAGAGCTTTGTTGATTAATCATATTTTTGGGCAGATACAACAACAGATTTGAGCTTGTGGACTTTTTTCTATTGGTTTTAGCCTTTATGAGATTTGGTAGTATAGTATTTGTTTTATTTACCTATATTTGAAGGAGAACTACATACAATCCCAAGTTATTTCTGCATAAAGTTTCATCTTTAGTAACAGTTTAGCATGTTTTTTCTACGACAAAAAAAACAAAACGAAAAGATACAACGCAGAACTTCGTACGTATGTACATAAGTTCATGTTGCCATACCACATTAGCACAGAGACGCAAATGTCAAATCAAATCCCATAGTGATAAAGATAGTAGAGGTATAAATGGTAATGAAGAAGACTAGGGTTTGAAGATATTATTCAAGAAGTATAATTCAGTGAGATAAGGTTAGAAAGACAAAGGTAGAGGTGCTGACGATTCCAGAAGATTAGGATTTGAGAGAGCACAACGAATGGATGCATTTGCGCCATTGCAAACGATTTTGAGCCATGTCGTACAAGGTCTCTAACCATTTGTGACTTTCGTCTCGCGGACCCTAACCAGGTAGTCTACATCTACCAACATGACTCAGTCCACTTGTCAGTGACTTCATGGATTTCTGTCATGTTTTGGTCTGGCCGCCCCTAGCTTTCTTCCAACCTACTCCTACACCACAAAACATAGCTCGTCAAGGCAGTCGGTGGTTAGGCATTCGTAACACATGTCTTAACCATCTCAACTGATAAAGTTTCATTACTTCATCTATTGATCTGCCATCCTTACCTAGAACTCGATTCCTAACGACAGCATTGCTTACTCGGTTGTCCCACGATATACGAGCAATGCTTCGAAGACATCTATGATCGAATACTAGCAACCTACGAACATCTACTCTTAACGGCCATGTTTCGCATCCGTATAGGAGAACGGAGCGAACTGCCGCGCAATACACCCTTCCTTTGGTTAACGAACGGATATCTTGCCTACGACATAAAGGACGTTAATTGGCAAAAGCAAATCGAGCTTTCTGTATCCGCGTTGAGATTTCGTCAGTCGCCAGGCTATCAGCGCTGATGAGATTCCCCAGATAAGTGAAGCGATCAACCTGTTTGACTCTGCATTTTGTCAGCGTCTTCACCAAATAGAACTATGTCATCGGTGTATTCTAGGTCAGTAAGCGATTTTCCTGGTAGAAAGTCAACTCCCGAAAAGTCGGACGAGGATAATGTTGTATCTAGGAGCATGTCTATGATAAAATTAAACAAGAATGGGGGGAGTGGACATCCCTGACAGACACCACTTGATGTGGAGAATTCCGGTGACAGTTCGCCATAAGCTCTCACTCGACCAGTGGTGTTCGAGTAGAGAGCTTGTATGAGGTTAATGTACTTCTTCGGTGTACACCTTTCAATGACAGACACTGCCACAGAACCTCACGATCCCCAGAGTCAAACGCCGCCTTAAGGTCCAGGAAGACAACTGTTGTAGGACGCCCAAATGTGTGTCTGTGTTCCAGGACCTGTCTTAGTATGAAGATGTGGTCTATACAACCACGTCCAGGTCTGAGACCAGACACACCCGTGTTTTTGTAGCTCAAACGATTATCATTTTCATTATAGTGTACTAGGAAATCCTTTTCCCACTCCGTACTTATCAGATATTGCTCAATCAGATGGTTGTTGTAAACCACTCAAACGACATAAAATCTTCATGTACATTGTTTATTCTCGACAAATTGTCTTCTAAATGAGTTTCTGTCTTATTTTTCTTGATAGATTTCGTTTATTGAGTTTCTTGAACGTATTTATCATTCAAATATGTACAATAAATAGCTATTTCTAATCACAAATATTTTTCATTCAAAATTACTTCAGATTGCAGATCAAAGCATAGATTTTGTAAGCTCAGCCCACTTATGCGAAAGAATGGTTTGTACGTTTTTAACGTCTCTTTGTGAAAAAGAATTGAGAGCTACCATAGTGTACTAAGGCTGCTTATTTCAGTAAGAGCTTATTGAAAGCTCAGTGCTTAACTTTACCAAATAAATGGTGATTGATTTTCGTTAAGTTTCTTACTGATACGCAGATTTGAACATGTGATTACTTTGTAAACATTTAGTTTGTATTCCTATTTGTTTCTGATTACTTTCGATCCTATTATGTGATGTTACTACTTTGTTGTGTTCCAAACTTCTTTTGCTGTAGTATACCTTCGCTCTGCCTCTGTCCTCAATGATTTGTGCGAGTCAATGGAGGCTCTAATTCAAGCTGTACTTGTTGAAGATAGCTTCGATGATTTAGAGATCGCTGGACGAACAGCAGCTGTTGTATGTGAATTACTGTTCTGTTTATTTGCACAACGTTTAATGCCTGTCGGAGTTGAGTGGTCTGAAGAGTAAGTTTCTTTTTACATAAAATCTCACACATTTCTTTATGCAGTATTTCATCGTTCCAATCTTTAGCAATTTAGATGATTTTCTCTGTTAACTGATAAACACCGGGAAACCGCCGACAAGGAAGGAAGAAAGAAACATAGGTTGCATTCTAATCCTTAGCAACATATACCCACGACCACACAATGGATTGGATCATCATGGGCGGGGATCAGTACATTCCCCTTCGGAGACTAAATTATATTTTTGAATGTTGTCATTAAGTGCATCTAATATAACTTGTTTTCCAGTCGTAATTACTTTGCATTGTTGCTTAAATAATTTAAATCCATATAGTACACTAATTTCTATTCCATTACATTTTATTCTTTTTAATACAAGACATTTGGAAGATTGCTTAGAGTTCCCAATATTTATTCCTTTCCGTCATCTTTTACAAATGAATCCGGGTGATCCCAAACGTGAACTACTCTTATTATTATTAACAGAGATGCAAACTCGACAACCTCGTCTTGGTTATCATCTATTATTTTTCCTTAAAATCAGGCAAGTTATTTTTAAGTGCTATTTATGCTAAGTTACATACATTTGATGATGGTATTCAAATTTTTTCTTATCAAGCATCTTTTATGATTGGATCTTGAATAATTAATCGACGAAGTATTTTTGAAATTCGGTTAATAAGAGGTGTGAGAATTCTTTGAATGCAGTTTGACAATAAATAAACTGAATTGTGGAATTCAGTAATGTAGGCTAGGAATTACTGAGATTTACTAGTGTTCGTGTTCTATTCATTTCAATGTTCTGCAATATATCTAGATATCTCTTATAAGACTAACTTTCATTTATTAATGTAAACATATTGCTTATAAACTCTTGTCTTCCAAAGCAGTGATCCTCTTCCGGTAGATATATACGAAGAACCAGCTTCTTTGTAGAATACTGTGCCAAAAGGAGAGTACTAACCTGATGATTGTCTTATATTTGTTTCCTTCATATTATTATCATCACCAATATAACTTTTTTTTTGATTCCTTACAGTAAATTGAATGATGAAAAAATGTCGATTTATCGTAATTTTTGTGCAAGTCAGGAAAATCCTAACTTACGGGATTCTTTATTTAAGGATATGCAAGTAAGCAAAAAAATGAATCATAAATTCTACTTGGTTAACTTTTCATAGTGAATTAATGATTTATTGGTTAAGATGTTCAACTTACAACCACTAAGTTCTAGGTTCTTTAACCCAAATTTGCATACTTTGTTTTAGGCGACTGGGTAGTATGATTAGCCCTCACACTTAGAATGTGGGAAATATCCTTAAGTATTTGGTGACTGAGTTGATTTAAATTGAAAAACATTCTTCGTAGAAGAATACTACCAATCTAATGAAAAGTTTTTATAAACCAGTTTATAAATTTTAATGATTTAATAAATAATAACTTTAAATACAACTTCATACAAAGAAGCTACTGTTTTTTAATGAGTGGATCACATTTATTCTATTAGCTGGAATTTCCTTAATGACTTGTTAAACATCTTTAATATTTATATAATGTTCTGTTTAGCCTTAAGATTTGCGAAATATCTACCTTAGCAGTTTTAGCAGTTAGGTTGACTGAGGTCTTAGGTCGGATCTGGTAATTGGACATAATCCCATCCGACTGGTCTCAATCATCGATTCTTCCAGTTAATGAAAAAGGAAAAAAGTCCTCTGGTGTCAGTCACAGAGGAATCCTTTCGGCTAATGTGGCGTCGAAGATACTAGCTTCAGTAATACTCCGACGCCTAACTAGGGCTTGTGAAGAGCCGACTCCAGAAAATCAGGTTGGTTTCTGACCTCGACGTGGCTGTATAGACCATATATTCACATAACGTCAGATCCTAGTCATATACACATGTTCAGACGTTCTTCAGTAGTATAACTCGACCTTAAGGCGGCATTTGATTGTGTTGATTGTGGGGTTCTATGGCAGTGTTGGTCACCGTAAGGAGTTCCAGAGAAGTGCATTCGACCTATACAAACTCTCTTTTCGAACACTGCTCGCCGAATCAGAGGTTATGATAAACTGTCAATGCAACTGATTACTACTACTGGTTCACTAGTAGTTCACTCCGTTCTACTTATGGTTGTAAAATATGACCAGTAAGAGTAGAGGATATTCGTAGGCTATTAGTATTCGAAGTGTCAAGCTTGTTAGCTTTCTCCATTTTTATTTAACTTTGTCATAGACTTGTTTTAATCGCTTGACTATTCAGAGAGTTGATTATCTACCAGGAGATTCAGTTGATGACCTAAAATCAATCTGAAATAATGATCGGGAGTGAAGTAGTTGAGCGTCTTGACTACTACACTCATCTTAGAAGTTTGTCTCATCAGTCCTGGTGGCCTTATGTCTGACAGAATTTCGGCAACGCCAAAGAAGACTTGACTGGCTTTTGTCAACTCGCATCACTTATGTCGTAGGATAATTATCCGTCTGCTAGCGAAAAGGCGAGTTTAATAGGTAGCAGTTCTCTCTGTTGTACTCTATGGGTATGAAACACAACCACTTAGAATAAAGGATATTCGTAGGTTACTGGTTCTCGATCATAAGAGTATTCGAAGCATTGCTCGTATATCCTGAGACCGTCAAGTAAACAATGCTAGTGTTAGGAAAAGAGTAGTGGGTAAGAGTGGCAAATCATTTGAAGTAGGGAAACTTCATCAGTTGAGGTGGTTGGGATATGTATTACGAATGCCCAGCCACCGGCTGCCTCGACAAGCTATGTTTTGTGGTGTCGGTAGGTGTAGGCTTGAAAAATCTAGGGGCGGCCCAACCAAAACATGGCACCAATCTCTGAAGTCACTGACAAGTGGACTAAGTCATGTTGGTAGATGTATGCTGCCTGGTTGGGGTCCGCGAGAGGATAGTCAATGGTGGTTAGAGATCTTGAACGACATAGCTCAAAATCGTTTTTAATGGCGCAGGTGTATCCATTCTTTGCGTTCTCTCAAATTTTAGTCCTCTGAATTCCTCATTACCTTCATTTTCCTCTTTTTGAGTTTATTTCACTGGATTATACTTCTTGAATAACTTCTTCGGACCTTAGTCTTCTCTTTTACCACTAATACTTCTACTACATCTACCATTATGCGATTTAGATTGCCAATTGCGTTGCTTAGTTTAAATGGACAATTTAGTGCATCGCATACTGCAGTTAGTGGTTTTGATCAACTCATAATCTTTGTTTTATTTGTTAGAAAAATTTTACAGTACATCATATTGTTGTTTATTATTTTTTATCAGAGAAATTAGTTTACAGTCTAAAAATTTTGATTTCAGTTATTATCTGACGATAATCGTCGCCTGTTCGCGTATTTGCTTCCAGACGTATTTACTGTGGTGAGTCTATGATTTCCAAATAACTGAGGTTTTTGAAACAACTTTCAGCAGTGATTTCTCTTTTACAGGCAACTAATGTTATTATTTTCTGTGTTCGACATGGGATATTTAAATTCTTATGTTATGAGTTATTTTCGTGTACATTTTCACATGCTTCATCATATAGGAAAGTATTGTTTTAACGGCTTACTGATAGTGTTGTTGTATGTAGCAATTATGTTACGGAATTTGGCAATCTTTAATCTTATCTCAAATCTGTGTGAGTATTCTCAGTAGTTTTTCCATTTTGTCTGGTATCCATGGGGTTGGAGATTAAATGGCTCATGACTTTTTTTAGTCATATCGAAATTGTATAATTTGGAACTTTTAAAGCTAAAAATCTTGCCTTTTAAACTAAGTCAACTTTGTGGTTGAATCGATTGGGAGTCTTTCAAGATGAATGAATAATAGTGCTTATATATATTCTAACAAAACTTCAGAGCCACTGGTAAACTGTTTCAATTTGATGATGATTCACATTTGACATCGTGTAAACTCCAGAAGGTCTATATTCTAATACTATTATTACAAAAGACCATTTGAAAAAGCTGTGTATTAAGTAAAAAATAAAGTTCATCTATTCTCTTTACGCGGGTTCATTAGTCAGTAGATTTATTTACTGTGATATATATGATATATTTTTACAGAAACTTATTTTAATTACTTTGTTAATAGAGCTCTTTTTATGTAAATATACATATCACATCAGCTCTAATCATTTTCTTTCATGTGATGATTTCAAATCTTAATTAATTAACGACTTATTTTGATAGAATGAGTTCCATTCACTTTGAGATTACAAAATTGCAGACTTCACACTGATCATCACTAAAACACAGCATTAAGTTTAATTTAAATGACACTTCAACATTTCGATCTAATCGTCACATCTAAATTCATTTATAATTAAACATCAAAAATATAATCGATACGATTAAAGTCATTGGTTTTACCATAGTTATTTATAATGTGATGAGTGGGCGTGAATTCATGTTTTTTTTTATTTTTCAACTTTAGAGAATTTCTGATCTTTTTATAAATGCTATCTATGTATAACTAGGAAAAAATGAATGCTTATTAGTAATCTTATATAACCTAATCTGTTAACTCAAAAATACTTATCTTCAGGATCTGGATAGTAGTACCGTTCCAGATCAAGTCAAGTCATTCGTCTATCTTAGATATTTGCTTACGTTTGAGTTAGTAGAGGTTTGTATTTCAAGTAAACGAATTTAGTGAAGTTTTAAATTCCCCTACTTCATTCTGAATGTTTTCGTTAATGATTTTGTCCAGGAGGACATTAAAAGCTTCACAATCAAACTACCTAGCCCATAGAATGAAACTCCATGCTAAGTGGTTAGCTTGGTTAGCAAAAATTTGAACTGTTTGTCGATCAAGAAGTAGAATATTTTCAATCCCAAAATTTGTTATCTAAATTATTGTATTAGGTAATCGATAAAGCCTTTGTTAATCTTAGGTCATGTTAGAAGTTGTTGATTTCTTGCTGTACGTTTGTAAGTTAATCGTAATCTATGGTTCGAGATCTTGAAATAGAGATGAAGCTACAAAAAAAATTGTTCTTTTCCATTGTGTATTGTATATATTTTTCTGTTGGATCATCAATGATTATATGTCCTTATAATTAACAATTTTGCTTGAATACTTTTCAGTTTATTTATTTTATTCACTTTCATAGTTTTCATCAGAACTATCTGATGACACGGAATTTCTTCGACTTATTGTTGCTACCATTGATCCTGGAATGTGTAATTCTCTTATTAGTGAAATAGTTCGTGGACATTTAAATCTCTTTCCAAATAATGATTTGACCAATATATTAAGTAAGCTATATATATATATTGTCGTTTTCTTTTTTAATAATTCAGATACTATTACTTTATGCATACATTATCATCTGTTCACTGTTGATGAAAGTTTAAGTGTGTTTTTATTAAACTAGTCCAATGTATATTTTGACTAAGAGAGATGTCTTATCTGCCTTTGCATACATACTTAATCATTATGTTCGAATTGAACATTCCAGCATTATTATTATTATTATTATTATTATTATTACCATTATTATTGGATAGTTGATAGCGACATTGTCAGTTCATTTGATCTGTTTATATCAATGACATATTTGTTACAAAACATTTCACTTAACAAATATCAATTTCATTTTACCCCCATCATGTCAATTAGTTATAACCGATTTGTAAGTAATATACACATATAAATAACCATAGACAATAATTGTTAATCCGTTTCCAAAATCAAAGAGATATTTTATATTAGCGTATTTGTCGACATTTCTAATTTATAACGGATATCAACAGAGAACTCATCTTATAAAGCTTTTCTGTTCTGTTTAAACATTGAAAGGCTGGGAAATTTTCCAGAGTGTATATCCATCATTTCATACGAGATCAAACTCGAAAAATCTGTATTTTTAGTATTTAATAGCATTGTATAACATCTTAGGCAAATCAATCGTATTTACTGAAATTAGTATTAGTAATTCTGTGTCAGTGATCCTTCAATGTATGTGAACTCAATATCAATTTGTAATTTACATAACTCAGTTTCATAGTTTTCACAACTGAATGAATGGTTTGTTTGTCAATCATAGATTGTATTTCTTTTATAAACTAAAATAATGCTTATTTTTAAAATCACTTGTTCAGGTTATAATTTTGTGATAATTCATTCTATACGTTGAAATCTAAATATATTCTCATAAATTCGAACAATCTTTACTAACCAGTTACACTGAATATTCATAAAATTTTGGCTGTATCACAACCATTTGATATAACAAAAAGTTTTCTATGTATTTTTTTTCTTTTCAATTATTTATTCTACGGCTAAATTCTAAACATTCATTAGCATATCTTTTGAATAGTTGAGTACACAATTACAACAATGTTATTGCTGTATTCTGTGTTTATTCTCTACAAAATTTGATTTTACACATGTGTTTGCTATTATTTCATGTTAATTTAATATTTCTGTATTTTTTAAAAAAAATTTAATTATTTTAAACAACCTTTTCTAATGATCAATAAATAATCAGATGCTAGTCTTGAATGGAATTCTATTGAACAGTTATTCTTTTGGCAGTTGATCAATGCTCATGAAATTCCAACTAGTCGATTCCTACCATTAATTCATTCTGTCGATTCATTCAGTAAGTGTGTTTTTAAATTGATACAATTATAAATATTCTATATTTTCACTCATCTCAAATATGAAGTGTGTCAAACAGGAATTTTAAAAGCAAATTAAAAATCCGTATATCATAGAAAGTTTGTTAGTATAAAGAGTTATTTAGTGAAAAACTTCTAATATTGAGATGACTGTCTGGTTGGTTAGTTCTTGGTCCGTCCAATATGTAAGTAAAATTATTTTTTGAAGAAATTCATGTGATCTTAAGTGCTGTTTATAAAAATAACACATTGAACGAAATGACTCTGCTGGAGGACATCGGGCGTATTCAGTGAAAGGCTTTGAAGACTATGACGACGATGTAAGATCATAACGAATGTTAACCTCCAGTCTTGTTGAATGTATCGAACGTGTACGATCTCTCGTAATTCCCGTTTATTAATTCATTGAGTTTGGAAAACCGAGTCCACCAAAGCTCGTGAATTCTTTTGACCTGCCAGGGATTTTATGGATAACGAAAACAATGATAGGATAAGTGTATCACCACAAATGGTAAGTGTTCGGGACGGACATCAAAATAAGGTTTCCGAAGCTATGTAAACTCAACTTTTTACAACCACTGCTCCCGTCTACATCGAACAAACTATGCATCTTCGTAACTAAAGCTATGGATATCAAAAGTTGTACTTTTCCATTTTGTCGAAAATAAATATCTTTGAATTGTTAGTTACTCTTTTTCTTCATTTCTTAGAGTAATTTGTGTTTTAATTTGGAAGATAATTATTTATATATCTCTCGTCAACTAATTTTTGAGGAATACGGGAGACACAATAATTTTTATTATGAGTCTACACTTGGTAACTTTTTGATTTATATGTTGATTAAGTACGTGTTTTCTTTTTTCCAATTTCACAATCTGAATCAGAGCACCCTGAAGCATGTTCCAATTTGATTCTTCTCCTGAAACTAGAAAAGTAAGTATTTTATTTCGAAATTAACTTTGCCAGTTTATGAATACCTTTTATTGTTTTATTGGGAAAATAAAATCGGTACACTTTTAGTTACGTAAATGACGAATAATGTAGTATTTTAATTTTATTTTATATGCCTGCAAATAATTCTCTGTGGATAATTACGTTGAAGTATTTTATCAGGTTTTGTGGTACATTTCTTAACCGCTTCAGATTTACAATTTGATCAACTGGTGATTCATAATAAATATTAATTGCCAAATGTCTGTTTTATATATTGCCTACTTATTTTGTCTGCCATATATCTTCGAGGCTATTAGAAGATGAATAACCAAAATACCTGCCATTGTTATATATCCTCATGTTAGATGCTATTTTGAGCTGGCTTTATTGTTTAACTCAATAAACTGCGTTTTTAATGTTCATATTTTGGTGACTGCAATGCCTCCTACATTTATACTACTAACTAGACAAGATAATAAACACATTCTGAACTTCTTTTTTTATCCTGGAACTGCATAAAAGTGACGTAAGGTGTCTATTTCTTATAGTTGTTAAAAGGGATTTGCAGATAAAAGTCCCTTCTCAAATTCCCCACCTTCATATAAGAGGACCGCTAGTAATATACTAAGTGATGTACATTGACACATTATGTAGTCTTTATAATCAACTTGTTCAAATGTGCAGTGATCAGGTAGTTAGTTGTATACCACTATTGTTTTTTGTTTAACTAAATCGCTTTTAGTATTCTAATGAAAAGTTATTGCATTCCTTTATTGACCTTTTAGACCTAGCTTCGAACTAGTACGTGCTTTACTATCTCGTCGTAGTTCAAATGATTTATTATCAATGACTGCATTGCACTTTTGGAGCTGTCCAGATAATCAACATGCTGGACGTTTCTCGAGTATTTTGTGTTCTTTTATCAATGCACCTTTATCTGCGACAAATACATTTAGTGCATCTTCATCTGCTGCTAATCAAAATATGAAAGATGTCAAAGAAAGACGCCGTAGTTCTTCAAAGTAAGTGTTAATTGTCCGAAGTTATATGTTAGAAAAAAATGTTGAAGCTGCATCTACAATCATGGTTGTTGATTTTTCAAAATTGACTAAACATATTTTAAGTGATGTTGAACATCATTTTTCGAAAATAGCTGTAGATGTTTGTGCAGTATAATAGATGGGAGTTGTCAAATGCCTATTCTTTTGTGAACCGTGCGTCTCAGAAGTGGGTTCCAAACGTCTAGTTTCCTAAGTACATGATTCCTCTAGAACACTAAGTTTAATTGTAAGGAAATAATTACCGTCAAATTGTTTAAAGACGCTGTACACTTTCTATATAATACTTAATAGTCACATTCTCACTAAAGACTGGCTTAAGGTTGTATTTGGAACCATATGACTTATAAATTCGATCAAGTCAGAAATTAAGATGCAATGACGTAGGATGAATACCGCATCAATTCGTTAATTGATCAACATCGCAAATGTGAATTTGTGCTTTGAAATTGTTATGCTCTCTGTGATGTAGTTGATCTGACATGAGGTCATCTACAAATACTACTACTCAGTCCTTTTTAGTACTTCTAAGTTCCTAGTCGTTCTGCAGCTAACATTTCAGGATAAAAATTTTTAATATATTTCACCAAAAATATCTTTATGGGTATGATCTTCATTTGCAAAGATTTTCAGTATTCACTACTTTTTTGATGTGTGTTCAATCATACTTTTTCAACTTTGTGTTGCATAGACATCAGATATCACCTGAAGATTGTGTGGACTTATCACTCATTCTTACCCACTTGGATTCTATTCGAAGAAATTGTAAAAATATATCATGTAAGTTTGTTGCCTTTAAACTTTTTATTTATTTTGAAGATTATTTTGTATATTAGTGTTTTAATAATTATATACTTTAACTGAACTCTTGTATTAAATTTTTTCCTGTTTTGACTCCATATATTCACTAACTTTTTTCTCCGACTAAAAAAACCCATTTGATAATTGTTCCCTTACTATTTATCGTTTGTATAGTAATAGTTCGATTGTGAGGAGTTATTGATGTTTAAATGAATGAATAATATCTTCTAATCCTTACCTCTCCGATTACTTCTACCTTTACTACCTCTACTACTATTGGATTTGAATTGAAAATTACAACTCTGTGCTAATGTGGTATGGCAACGTGAACTGATGTACTTATGTACGAAGTTCTACTTTGCATCTGACTGACTGACTGACTGAAATGAATGTTTCTGCAAAATATAATTATATATCGATGAACCGTAGAGCTTTTGTCAGAATACTTTGAAGTAGTTGAGAATCTGTACTACTGTTATAATTCTCTCAGTGTCCTATATTTGTTTATGACTCTCAACTACAGTGTTGTAATGAAATCATTGAGGAGGGAAGTTTCCAGCTCTGGCGGATCCACTTAATGGTGTTATGTTTCCTGGACTAGGTCAACACAACACCGTCAAAAACAGTGTTAGAATATTTCAGTTATGCAGTTTCACAACTATGTGAATATTGTTGTGCTTTTCTATATCATGTACAGTTATCTCATGAGAATTTACTACTAATGACCACTGATATAATATAAACTAGTCAAAATATGCGATTGTATATTGTAAGAAGAATCCAACATTTCCATATCCTTTTATATTTGAGCATCAAATTTAAAGTCGATAGAATTGTTATTGAGTTCACAGACTGCCCTAAGTTGGACAACTATTAGAAACCTGCAAGCACTGATTGTCTGTTTCGTCCTAATATGGGCCTCTGTGGAAGTTATCAGCCAGAGGTCGAACCCGCACACTGACACCTAACCATTAGATCAATGATCTGGAGTCTAATTGTAATGGAAGAAGAATGAGGGTTAAACAGTTTATTTGAAGGCAAATAGTTTACTAGCTAAAGTGTAAACATCTTATCACCAAGCATCCATCTGATCGCGCCATGCATCCGGTTCTCGGATCATGGATGCTCATTTTTAAGGAGTTCTATCCTAGATGGAAACAGCTCTCAGTGTTTCTACGTTTTGATCGGTTGTCGAAATAATATTAGTCATTAATGTAAACTATTGAAATGAGACAATCCACACAGCCCACATTCTGACAATTTTTGTTGTATTCATTTATCTTAACAACTCCGTGGTTTCATTCTCATCTACGGATCTTAAAGTTGTGCTTAAAACCAATTCTTGAATAAATTCACTATATATTTTACGTATTTAATAATCGATTTGATTATTAATTCCTGCTTTCGAAATAATTTTCACAGAGGTATATTATTTCATGCTCTTAACTAATTTTTTTCTTTTTCAAGTGTTGCAAGACGATAATATTCAGTCAGCTCTTCAGTCGTTAGCAGTATCACCTAAATTATCTCCGAATCTTAAAGATCATTTCTCTGATTTATTGGCATTAGTTGAAGATCTTCCTTCAACGCCCAGTGATTATCGTTCACAAATACCAGATTCTTTGTCAAGTTGTAATTCTTCCGTTCATATTAATGGTGATATGTATAAAAGTGATGTGAGAAAAGTTTCATCTGATCGAATCAAATCTACTGGTGGTGGTAGTAAAGGTGGACATAGTCTTCGTAATTTGGATTCACGACGAGCAGCTGAAGTAGGTCAATAACATATAGATATTATTTTCTTAGACTCTATTCTCTACTCGCCCACTGTCATTCGATATTTTATTTCTGTTGGATGTATCAATATCATATGATTTAAATTGTTTTGTTATTATTGATTTTAAACTAGATTGTAGTTAGTTCATTGAGTTTCAGTATGCATTATTATCAAAATAATTCATTATTATCATCATAATTCATATTTTGAAGAAACTAATTATAGAATGCATATCAGTTTACAGAGAGGGAATGATCAGCAATGTTAATAAGTTTAAATATACTCCAAGTTAAAGAGACATGATTTCATACTACACCATTCGTAATCTTTCATATTCCATAGAAAGAGATATAGATTCAACAGGCATGGGAATAAATCATTAGGTGTGTTTTAGTATAGAAAATAGTTCTGACTTGTCATGTAAGACACTTGAAGCAACATGGTCATTAAAATTCAGTTTATGTATTCGAATTATTTCTGAAAGCCATTGTTGCCGTTTTAGACAGAGGTAGGTTAAGATGTACTCGGTTACTCGAAAAAAAAGTGTAACTGCTCAGCAGTAACATTAACGAAAGCGCATGTAATACCTTTGCATTTCTGTAGAAAAATGTTGTCTTTGGAAAAACGAGTTTCTTCGCTTTTCTACTCTCATGATTGAGTTACTTACTAAAATAGTAGATAATAATTGTATCCATTTGTTGATCATTCTGTCTATATCGTTTGTAAAACTACAGACTTTTTCTGTCATCAGTGGCACAGTAATCAGTGAACAACATCAAGTAAAACTTTAGTCAAATAAGAAAAGACAGAAAGTAAATAAAACTCATCAAAAATTGATGCATTGTTTCTACTTTACGTATGTCGTTCTTAATTGGTAGACGTGTAATCAGTTAACCTATATACATGCAGGCTAAGTTGTTTTACCATTTTTACATTTGATCTACTTTTCTGATATAAAATTAGAAATAAATTTATTTAGATTAAAGTTTTCTCTAAAATTTGTAATAATCCATTGTCTTTTTTAAATTTTCGTTTTACTAATTTAGGCCGAAAGGCGGCAAGTAGTCTCTTCTAATTTTAGTGGTAGTTCAACATCTTCCAAACGTCATAATCGAAGTGATAGTCAGTTGAATAATTTTGATGGTGATTCTGATGGTAATGAAGTTGGTACTGGGACTAGTGACTCATCATCTTGTTCGTCCGACGAAGAAGAAGAAGAAGAAGAGATAACAATCAGTAGAAAAACTAGAAGTGGCGCAATGCGTTCTGTAGATAAATCTACTAATAAATTAAAAACAAGTGGAGGAAAACGTGTAAATAATGAAGTAGTTGTATCAAAGGATCGTAAATCAACTAATAAACGTTCATCGAGTCGTCAAGAAATAGACGATGAATCGGTTAAAAGCGAAGATGATGAGGATGATGAATATGAAGATCGTGCACTGGAAGTTGTTGTGATTGATGATGAAAGTGGCGATGATTCTAATAGTTCCAAGGCTACTTCTTTGCGAGGTAATAATAACAATAATAATGATAATGATGAGATCGATGATGATTGCAAGATACGTCCACCGAAACGTCGTAAAACAACAATAAAGCGTTTTATGTTAGATGACTGATTTATAGTGTTAAAAATTTCCCATATTGTATATATATAATTAGACTGATATTTTTTAATGTTTTGTTCTCATTGCTAATTCAGAATTAAATATTTTGTCAAAATAATGTTGTACATAAAATTTAATGTTTGACAAATTGTACAGTATTTCAGTACTTTTTTAACTTATGTTTTTGAGCTTCAACTTCTTATTTCTTTTCATCCAATTATGACTGTTAATTGTATTGAATGAAGATTCTTGTTTTTATCAAGTAGTCTTTTGAAAAAATACAGATGTTTTTTTGAGATTATTCTCGATCTGTTTTTCCTCACTAAAATCATATAATATCTACTTGGAAGTAAAATAATCCTGTTTGTCTTCCATCACGATTTGTGTTCACGTAAGTAATAGAAACGTCTATCTTCGGAGCATAATCATCAGTTTTGTTTTTCTCACTTGTTATCCCCTTGCTCCTATACAATGATGTTGAATTAGTCTTTAAAATTAGGAAGGTGTTTTGCATTTACGATTGAGAATGTTTGGGGTTTTTGTGTCCTACATATACTAAATAGTACATTCACACCCATGACTATCTAGACTCAATCGATAACACATCGGCAGCTGAATTGAAGGAATATAGATCCTATTCCTGGTCTGAACATCATTACTCGGATACTAGCTAGTTACTCCCTATAGTTTCAAACAGTAATAGAGTACACGGGATTTCATCCATTCTCTACAAATATAGTTGGTTTGATATCCAGCTATTTCTGACGCTGTTCACCCTCTATGGAGAATAGTACTGACCTTTACTGTTAGAAAACCTTATGCATCATACCACGTTACAAATCTGGAGATAAGACTGATTTGAAAAATTACCGTCCCATAAATATTAGCAGTTATCTATAGAATAATGGAAAATATTGTTGGTGACGAATTTTTCAACTATTTGTTCACTGTGAAATTTATCGCTGATTTCTAACTTGGCTTCCTTGAACCTTATTCTTATAGACCTACCACTTCGACTTCAATTTAGTATTTACTTGACATAATCGAGAATACCTACTTCTAGTGCTATACTTTGAATTTTCTTAAACTTTCGACATGGATAACCATCAGCCTCTTATATGCAAACTTATATCCTACGGGATCAAAAACACTCTGTTTGCTTGGTTCAATTTTTTCTTAAGCCACCGACACCAAATAGTCGAAATAAGCACTTATCAGATGCTGTCCCGATCAAAAGTGTGGTAATCCAAGGTTAGTGTCTTAGGTCTCTGGCTCTTTTTAGCTTACGTAAATAATATTTGATATTTATTCTGTGCAGGTAAGCCTCTTCTATATCTAGATGATCTTAAAGCAGTGTAATCATTCTCCCCTTATAAACTGAACAATATAAAAAACGGCATCATTTTGGAGCCCAATCAAGTAACCCAGTGGTGCTCAAAATGGAAGTTGGAGCTTAACACTGCTAAATTTGGATAAATCTGCTCTGGTAATCCTTTAATCAGCCTAGACCTAACTATAAATGGTTATGTCATCGAAATTTCTTACAGTAGAGGACTTAAGACTCCTATAATTTGATCGCAGAACAGGTGTCTAAACAGACCTCTAAATCTCAACGTTTGTAATTTCCATGACAATTGATCACGTATTCTAATGTATAACTTATATGTTCAACGACTAACTAGAGCTCCTAAAGAGCAGGCTCGAGGAAACCAGGGTTGTTTCAGACCTGGGTGTGAATTTATAGACCAGATATCCACTCTTCGTCAGGTTGTATTCCTTGACCTTGAAGAAGCATTTGACTCTGTTGATGGTGAGCTTCTATGGCAGTGTCTGTCATTGAAAGGTGTACCAAAGGAGTACATTAACCTTAAAAAGGCTCCATTTTCGATTCCTAATGTTTTTAATTATCTCTAATACTGCTGCAACCTCTACTACTATGGGATTTGAATTGACAATTCGATCTCTCTGTGTTACTGTGGTATGGCAACATGAACTGATGTACGTACGTACGAAGTTCTGCGTTGTAGCTGACTGACTGACTCCTAGAATAGTGCACTTTTACTCTTAGTAGTATTTGCATAAAGGAAAAATTGTGAAAAGAATCCGTTCAGAGTTGGTTTACATTCCGCATTCTTAGGATTATAAATTCAGATGTAATGCATTCAGACTCAACAGTTTATGGAAGAAGAGACGTAAACTTAATCTGATCTCTTTCTTTAAAATACTTCATGAGCGATGTTTTAAATCCAATGGAGCCATCCGATATGTAGCTTGCGTAACTCAGTCACTAGTGATACAATCTTATTCTACGAATTAGTTTACTAGTTGATTTTCAAAACCCGAATAATTTATTCTAATATGTCCGTGAAACAGAACCATTCCATGCTTTATTCTCTGTATCAGTGCCTACTACTCCTCAGAAAATGACTTAAATATGCTTGCAGCTGTATATCCCATTCAGCAAGTGAGATTAGAGGAACCCTAAACGTTTGATCGTCTTATTGCTGAGCCTACTAACTAACCTCCTTACATACAGATATTTTATACTAATATTGCGCTTTGTAAATTTAACTAATTTGAATGGTATATAACCCGAACATCAAGTAATACTGCACTTAAACCATGGTAGACTTGATAGACCAGACTGACCTATCGTTGTAATTGTCTTTCGCTGTTCTGTGCTCTTTGTTTCCGTTTTATTTTCCACAGTTGTAGATGATTATAACCAATTCGATATGTCACTGGGAATGACAATTCATACAGCTACGGTTTGTCCTGTTAAGAGGAGTTAACAGTTCCCGACGGACTCCTTGCAATTTTCGAACTAGAACATTCCAAACAATGTAACATGACATATCTATCATCTACATTAAGAATTTCTATCTAATATCTTGCTGCTTATGCCTGTAAACTGACATGAATTCTGTATTTATTATTTTCAGAATATACTATTATTCGACTGATGAGCTCTTAATTGGATGGTTCTACTTCTGGGCACAATCTATTTATACCAAAATAAGCGACGATGTCCTATCACTTTTGTTGACACAGCTGTTTACTGGAAAGATACCCCATTAGTCTGACGTAGCTGTCACGATTTTTTTTGTATTTTAGTCACCTGAAATCTCTACAGTACTGGTAACTTACTATTGTAAGCATTAACGATAATGGATTTGAGAACAGTTATAATCTACATGAGATAAGTTTGATATATTCACCCTTTTCTGTTACCGTTAGTACTACTGTGGTGCGAGCTACTTATAAGTAGTATATGACGTGTGTCAACGTAATGTCTGGCAGCAGAAGATGGGGGAAGACCAAGAAAGGAAGAGTTATAACACAACGGAATTCTTATGAAACGCATGAATAGTGAAAATGGATGGATGTTTTGCAACAGGAACAGTCCAGTTCGATATGATGAACTGATATTTTGCAAATTAACGATTTACGATATGGTTTTCCAATTTTACTGAGTAACTCTGTAATTTTCGTTAAATACAATCCGGTCGCCCCACCTGTGTTCTCGTTCACTACACTACTACTACTTCTGTTACTGTGGTATTTTTCGCTAGTTTTGCTTATGATGTGTGCATCTTGGATCAATGAATTCTCTCCATCTTTCTAATTAGTTGAATACTTCACATAAGTCTTTGATACTCATTCATATATTTTGCTTACAGAGGTAATAAAATTATTTACTGATTATGTGGACGGCTTTCCTAACTTAAGCTGTTAATAAGATGGTTATAGAGAATTCTGTTAAATCAGATATGACGGACGATCATTAGCCCTAATTTCATAAGTTCTTCAATGGTGTAAAAAACCAATTTCCAATAATCACTGTCCAGATAAGAATTGCTTTGCGTCGAAGATTTTGTATGTAGAGTTTCGTTATATGGAACGACTCATGTTTAGCTGAAATTTTCCTGTCTGCCGATATTCGTCCAGAGAGCTTTCTGCATTAATTATTATAATACATCAATCATATCTACTCAAACGATGGATCATAATTTATGCGAATTCAGCTTCATCATAACAAAGCTTTAAACAGCTGAGTACACTAATAAATGAAAGTGAACGCTTATATCAAAGTAGATTTCACAATTGTTCTTAACTCGAAATAATCTTAAGCCATCTCAAAGCAACACGGAATGTGGTTTAAAAGGAAAAAAAATTGTTTGCACAATTCTAAGAAGCATTCATCAACAGAATATCTGAACTCATCAGTAGGTAACGTATCTAGAACAACAACAAGTTATAACCAACCACGTTTTGAAAACATATTTTTTTATTCGTTAATGAGTCGCAGTATTGCAGATCATTTAAAATTCACTATATATTTTTTCCATTTCCTATAAAATACGAACTAGTTAACAAAAAAACCTGTTTGTTTGTAAAAATTATTCATAAAACCAAATTTTTAATTAATTGCAATTCGTTTTTTGTAGATTACATTTTCTAAAGTACCAATCCCAATTATTAACTTTTTAATATTCAACAACGAGAATATTTTTCCTATTTATTATGTATCTTGGATTTCTTATTTATACTGCGAGAAATATCTTTTGACTGCGTTACATGCTCGACTGTATTTAGACCTGGTAGTCATTAAAAATGAGCTTTTCTGTGGAAATTGATTTTGTTTCGTGAAAATCGACCGAAGAAGACAAGATATATCATCGAAGGAATATATTCCCTGAAGTAATTTATAGAAACTAACAAACGCATATTCTTCTACAAGACTAAAAGATATAGTATGAAAGTTTTTCTAAAATACATGTGTTATATTCAGCAGTTATAATTAATTTATCGAATATCATAACAGAAGCACAGATATGTAAATTTTATTTTTTGTTCAGAAAATTTTAGAATTAATATTAAAGTTGAAAGGTTAATCGAAAATGTTACAGAAAGTAGATCGGAATTCATAACTATAAAAGTAAATTCTATTGCATAATTAAATAAATTGGAAGAATCATGAAGACAAGTATAACTCGTTTTAAAGATGACGAAGTAAAAGTCAAGGTAATTAGAACTAAGGATAACTACCAACGTAGGCATTGAATAAATGTTTTTACCTTCTAGTTCGGGATTCTCTGTTTGCCGCAATGACTCCATAGATTCCGAACAAGAAACGAATAGGTGCTCTTATTCATCTTGTGAATATGTATACGGAGGATGGACTTTTTGAAGACAAACGATCAGTGCTCAGAAAGCAGTGTTATTACAATTTGTGTGTAGCTAGTTATATAACTCAAGTGCTATCACTTACTTGTCTGGGTTATCTAGAGCTAAGGAAGAAGAACTTGATTTCTTGTACCAAGATTAATAAGTTGTTAAAGACGGTTTATAAGTTATAAACTCACAATTTTCTTATGCAGTCAGTCTTAGTAAAATTTATTATTTGCAAGTGTTAGGATATCCACCAAAGAAGAATCCTTTGGAAGTCTAATTCTATTGGTCTATTCTTACTGGTCAATATTATGGTCGCCCTACCTATTGTCACGTACTTCAATGCTGTTTCCCATTGGTCGTCCTGACTATTAATGTCGTCGATGAAGTCATCGACGAGTGGACTTAGCCATGTAGTTAATTGTCGACCACGTGGTTGGGGTCCGTGAGTTGATAATAATCGATGGTTAGAGACCTAAAATGACATGGCTCAAAATCGTTCGCAATGGCGCCGGTGCATTTATTCTTTGTGTTCTCTCAAATCTTAATCTTCTGGATTCTTCAACACGTCTAGTTTTGACTTTCTGAACTTTTCTCATTGAATCATACTTCTTGAATAATATCTTCTCATCCTAACCTCTTCGATTACTTCTAATACTTTTACAACCTCTACTACTATTGCATTTGAATTGACAATTACATCTCTGTGCTGATGTGGTATGGCGACATGAACTGATGTACTTACGTACGAAGTTCTACGTCGCATCTGACTGACTGACTAAACTCGTAATGGTTCAAGCATATCAAATTGACATGTTTACATGCATTCGTAACAAACAGTAAATTAGATGGTGTTGCTTTATGTAAAATTAAAAAAAACATTCTGATAACTCTTAAATTTATTTTTGAATCTCAATGCATAAAGTGAAATGATTTTTTGAAATAACGCCCTGATATAAAGTCACCATAGCAAAATACAATAGTTGACAAATCTCATAAAATTATATCAAAGATATTTGTGTAGTAGGGAAAAACAAAATAACTTTGATCAATAAAATAATTTTCTTATTTTGTACAATTTTCGTTTTACATCAGGAAAATAAAAAAGTATGCAACATATGTTTTTTTTTAAAAAATTTTCTCTTCATGTTTTCATTGTCTTCCAACGTTGAATAAACGAACGAATTACTTCTAATCGTACACCTCGAAAGTTGCAACATAAAAAAAGCCATGTAGTTGAATAAAGTGTTATTTCAAAAAAAGAAGAAAACTTACAATGTTCGCAACTGAAAAAAGCTATTCTAGTCTAGTATTAATGTTTAACATTAGATTGTGTGTGTAATTTATGCAACAAAGTTTATGAATTTAATATTTTAAAACATTATCGCTTTTAATGCCATTTTTCATAATTTATTGTATAAATTAACCCTCTATTGTCAAGGACAATTTTACATTGGAGAACCAAAGGTGATTGCTCACGTGTTAGCATTTCGACATGAACAGTTCGGCTCAATCCCGTGGTGCAACTACACAGGTACCTGATACCCTGGGGGACCACCATTCACACCATTTATACACACTAGTACATATATAATGATTATTTCCGATCCATGATCACGTCAATCAATATGTACCGCATGAACAGGCCATTTTGACCCATCGCGCTTACATGACTGTCAAACTCATTATTATTAGCATTGGTGATATGTAATACAGTAACCCCAATGACATTGGTCCTTAGAAATGTTGCAAAACAACCACTAACATCAATGCAGTCGGTTGCTCTGCTAAACAATTTTGTATATGGACTGTTAGCGATGCTTGCCAAAGCAATGCCGAGCCATCCACAATGTTCACAGCGAACCTCTAGTCTCATACGAAACTTTCAGCTCTATATAGCGCTATAGCATATGGTATACATATATATATATGGCGTAGGATAGCAGAAGATGCAGCCCAGTTTGATGAGAATAGGCTCATTTTACTGTTGATTGTTATTTTGTCATCATTTAAAATAAGTAGAAATCCTACACAGAGCTTCAAACCAAGATAAACTATCACAAAACTGTGTATAGTTTGTATAACATAAAAATTAAGATGGCAGTGAGATTTTATAGTGTGTTAGGATATTAAATGTCTTGTTTAGAATTGACTTCTAGTAAAATGTGTTTTAATGGGACTTGATTGCTTTCCGTTAGGGATGTACTACCATTGTTCTAAATCAGCAGAATTAACAGACTCTTCCCTAAGCCTGGTTTTCATGCTTTTTAATCATGTTTTTTGTTATGAAAGGTGGTTGAAGAATAAGATTTTTAGCTCTTACTGTTTGACGTAGCTGGATGTGGGCAAACCGTAATCACGTATGAAGTAGAGTGAGATAAAAATTGTTAAAAGCATTACAAAACAATGTAAATTTTCAAAATGGTTATAAAAACTAATTGATATGCTCCCAATCTCACTTCTTTCTTGTGGCGGGAATGGTGATTACGAAATCGGGAAGATAGAAAGTGAGTTTCTTGCGTTTTAACCGGGTAAGTGGATACGAAGTATCTACACAAGGGAGCCGGAAAACCATGATTCCAAACCAATGGTGCAAATAGGCTTCAGAATCCTGATAGAACGAACCTATTATTGGTCACCGGCTACTATGGGACTGCATTTCCTCATGTCACTTCACTGCCTTACGGATTAGACTTTTAGGTTGAAGGCTCGAGGTGTAGACCCCTAAGGAGTCCGAATGGTATCCTAGTCTACTCACAAATACAATAAATTGGGTGGCACATAAATATTTAAGTGCTCCTTTGTACCAATGTTTATGTTAAGTAATAATAATGTTACCTGTATTATTAAGTTCTGACCAAAAGATAGGATTAATCGTACAAGTATATCGTGTATTGATTTCTATAATATTATAAATTTACAATTCTAGTATGAAACTGTCATTTTTAACTATTTATGTAGTTTTTTACTTATTTTAAATAGTAGACATCATATAAGTTCTATTCTGTCAAAGACAATATTAGTTTTCAAGGAAATTAAGTTCATAAAAGACACTTGTTTTTCTAATTCTAATTGACAAAACAATAAGGAGAATTATTTTAGGTAATTTTAAGAACTTTATAATTTTAAAAATATAAGTATAAATCAAACAGTGATAAGTAAACAATAAACTGATATGTAACATACCATGATTTAATGCAAGTGTTAAAAAGCTTTGAGGAACTGTAGTATCTTCAAGAGATGTATTTCTAAATCCAATTAGAATGGTCACAGGTGCTGTTTTAGTAGTTGACAATTCATTCACTTCATCTGTACTACATCCTTTAGTTAGTAGATCTACATATGGAGGTGAAATATTAAGCAAATTTGAAGGACCGTCGATTTCATGTTCATCTGAACTAGTGGCTTGTTTGGGCAAGCAGTTACTGTTCACAGATGTTGATTCTGATAATTTGTTTGAATCTTTGAGTGTCTTAATCAAGAAAGAAAAAAATCAATTCAAATTATAAACTACATTTGATTTTCTTATGAAAATATATAGAATTTAGATTGTAGTTTATCATGCCAACAGCGCATAATAATGGAATTCTGGATTTACATTTCATAATAATTTGTTATCAAATAACAGATGCAGGTACATGTATTTCAATAATATTGAAATCCAAACTTAGTGTCTACTACATCACGTTAAATCAATATTTACTATTAGTTAGTGTAATATATATATGACAATTACGTTATACAAAAAGTGTAAGATACTACTCTTTACTGCTGATTAATTGTGAGATTGATTACAACTCAACAGTATGCAAAGTAAGCCAAGCGAATTCGAAATTTCAGTGAGAACGTAAACAAACCATGATGAATCTCATTTAAAGCGAGAAGCACACTTTGGATTACACAAATACTCTTGTGACGTAATCTACCAAACAAAAAAACATTCACACAAACTATAATCAAATACTGAAGAGTTCATATAAAAATCTGTTCACCTGTGCAAAATAGGATGCACAGTCCAAAATGTTCACCCATCTTCTTACAACACGAAGATTCAGGTTTTGGCTGGTTGAAGAACTTTTTGATTCATCTTCTTCTACATCAGTTATTAAATCTTGAGCATCGTTATGTACAGCATCTTGACGATGAAGTTGAATAGGCTGATTTGGTTGTTCATCCGGTTTTTGTAATCGTAGATAACTGATAACATGAATTAGAAGAGTGATGGACAATTGCGTCAGTATTTTGCAATAATATAATAATATGATGTCTATTGTTATTTTGGACTCAATTAGTAAAAATAATTTAGAAGAGTTCATCCTATTCACACAAAAAACTACAAAGCATAAAACATTTGTATGATCAGACTGCCGGTTCTTAAATAAAAAAACATTTTACAATTATAAATAAATCACCTAGAAAGTTTTCACTAAACTGGCTGCTTGAAGATCTCCCAGTGTTTTCTAATTTTTAATTATTATCTAAATGATGAAGTACATTAGTTTAAAAATCACTTATCTATTATCATGAGAAATATCGACAGCCTTGGAATTACTATCGAAAGTTAGGTTGATTTGTAGGGATTAATAATGATGGTGGAGAAGATTTGTAGCTCAGGTGGATGATTTGGTGGTGGTGTTTGGTTCTCTCACAACCAAAAACACCCAGCTCAGAGAACCAAACACCACCACCACAATTAATAATAATAATAATCGCAGGGGCATTAAGTGACTGATTTTCAAACGGGTTTCATGAGATCTACAGGGAGAAGTCAAAACTCGTCTGATCAACTAAATCAGGTGTGAGACAGTTATCTATCGACGATATAAGATAATGGTTGTAGTAGGTAGTGAATGCATTGAATTCAGAAAGTGGATATCATTGAATTTTAACTGGCTAGATGAAATCACGGCCTTTCGCCAAATCTGAAGGTTGTGTGGCGTTCGGGTTACACAAATATATAACTGAGATCGGCAGTTGTCGACTGCTTCGTGGTTTTAAATGTATTCTAACTGATGTCAGTATTTGATGAAGACAATAAAAGTACTTGAATATCAAAACCAAGATCTGATTTGATGCTTTCCAGGCAATAAAAAACCGAGTAATTTTGTACAAGCTTACTTTCTTGTATGCAAAGCAGTAGAGGAGTTACTAGAATATAAGAATAGATTTGAGTAAAGCTATTTAATGGTTCACAATGTAAGTGTAAATAAAACCTACCGATTGCCACCGTGAGCTTCATGTTCTAAGTATCGTATCGCTACTCTAGCAGATGCCAATGTTTTCTTTAAATAATCCAAATGAGAAATAACTGGAGAGTTTAAAATTAGAATACAAAACATTACAAGCATGAAAAATTTACATGTTGATGTGATCAAATTCAATTTGAGTATAATTGAAGACATTAATACAGTTCATAATGAATGAATGATAGGAACTCTTAAAATTTTTCTAGTTAAAACTTTTCCTATATTAACAGTCTGTTGTTCTAAGTGATCAACAACTACAAAATGGAATATATAATAGTCAGAAGGTATATGACAAGAATTTAACATCTTAATACATAAACAGTTAGTTACAATGTAAAACTTGGTACATTAGTGTATCAATTCAAGTCACCATACCCTATTAGCACAGAGAGATGAAATTGTCAGGCCAAATTTCAGAGCACTAGAAGTAGTTACAATCTCAGTAAAAATACAAAACATTAGGCGTTATAGATAATATTGAAGAAATTATAACCCAGTGAAAAAAGAAACAAATTATTATGAATTGAAAAAACTTGGAAATTGGAGGAGGGCAAAGGATGGATACACCTGCGCAGTTGCAAGAAATTTTGAGCCATGTCATTCAAAGTCTCTCACTATCGGTAACTATTGTCTTGCAGACCCCAATCAGGTAGTTTATATCTACTAACATGGCTCAGTTGTGTCCAGTGATTTCATGGGCTGCTGCGATGTTTTGGTTTGGTTGCCACCACCTTCCCTCCAGTCTATATGGGCATCAGACAACATCGCTCGAGGCAGTCAGTGGTTAGGCATATGTAAAATATGTCCAAACCACCTGAACTGATGAAGATTCAATACTTCAACTGATCTGCCACCCTACCTACTACTCTTTTCCTAACACCAGCATTGTTCACTCAATGGTCTCAGGATATACGAGCAATGCTTCGAATACATCTATGATCGAGAACCAGTAACCTACGAATATCCTCTATTCTTAGTGGTTGTTTTTCATACCCGTACAGAAAAACAGAGTGTACTGCTACGTAGTAAACTCGCCTTTTGGTTAGCAGACGGATATTTCTCCTGCGTCATAAGTGACGCGAGTTGGCAAAAGCCAGTCAAGTCTTCTTTGTCCTTGTTGAGATTTCGTTAGACACCAGATCATCTGGACTGATAAGACAGATTCCTAAGATAAATGGAGTGGTCACCACACTCAACTACTTCACTCCCTATCATTAGTTCAGATTGATCTTAGTCATCAAGTGAATCTCCTGGTACAAGACCAACTCTCTGAATAGTCAAATGATTAAAGTGTTATGTCTAAAAGCAAGTCTATGACAAAGTTAAGTAAAAATGCAGAAAGCTAACAACTTTGACGAGCATTAATTCCAATAACAGTTCGCCATAAGCTATGACTTGGCCCGACCGTAGCTGCTACCTTGACGTGGTGGTCGGGCTTGCCTATCGTGATAACTCAACCGAGCTATATTGGCTGGAACATAAGTTTCCTTAGGTCCTAACCAAGACAGGCAGGTCGATTAAAAAACGTAAGACTAAAAGCAGCAACTTAAGGGCTGAGGGCGAAGTCGTGCTGTTGACTGTAGAGTGCGATAGAAGTAAGGTGTCTCCTTTGAACAACCAGCATCTGACTTCTCACAAAGGAAGCAGGGGGTTAGAAACGTTTTCTCTGCCTACACTTCGACTGATTGCAGCTCAGATGAGATAAAAGATGAATTTTACAGGAAGCTTTCCAACTTCCTTCAAAAAGCTAAGCGCCCTGATTTAGTAATCGCAGCTAGTGATTTTAATGCTCAAGTAGGTAGAGTAAGTGAAACTGAAAGTTTAATGGTTCAAATTTACTGCTGGGTTGATGCATAGATAACCCTGTTATTGTTATTAAGCTTTAAATGACAAGTGGAGAAGTAATTATCTGTTCACAAATCTAATTCATACGCTGGTGAAATACACATGACAGTGTTTGAACTTATTCTCCAATTCAATGAAATAATTCTACTAAAAAAAAAATGCATATTACAGGGCTAAAAAGTGGATAAAAAGTACTACCAAACAAAAACTGTAGATCCGTAAACATGTTATACTGAGTACAAAAAACTAATCAAAATAAGAGTATTTTCAAATGCCACTAAAGTTAATTGAATTGTATTAGAGTTCAAAGTTTTATTTACATGGTAACCAACAGCCTTAAGATTTGGTTACATTCAAAAGTAACAATTTAAAAGACTTGATGAATCAGTTTAACAAAATTGAATCAAAGTAACATGTGATTCATAAATTAAACTATTATTTTGCATCTTAACAACGGACAAATTCGTTAGTTAATAACCCACAATTTCTTAGAGGTTTCTAATACATCAGTATTAAAAACATATGTCTTTCAATTATTGTTTATATCTATATTATTATAGCTTTGTTATTAACTCAATAAATGTTGTACACAACAGTAATTATAGTGAAAAGAAAAATAATGACATATCCCGGGGTAGAAATTCTCCTAGGCAACTTTTCAAAGAATCCGAGGATTTTTCGACGAATGATTTTTATTTTAAAGCGTCATTTTATTTATTAGGGTTTCTATTTTTATCCACTGTTTATATTATTGACTGAAGTTGATTAATATCTTTTTGGTATATAGGAACTCTGAGAGGATTATCGTGATATTGTCAGTTAGTCATAGGTTTTTATTAAAAAATGGATAATGGCTAGTAGTGGAATCCTAAATATCAATGAAGAAACAAACTATTAAAGATCAAAATTTATATCTATTATACAAGGCAATAATTATCTGGGCTCACTATCACTATGGATAATGCGTTAGGAATTTGAAGCAATAGACACTCGGGTTTAAATCCTAGTTTGAATACCAGTATTAGAATGAGTCTTAAATTAGACCGAATATACGTACTAGATTCCATTGTTAGTTACTATTAGTTAAACGAAAATGTATCGCTAAAATGGTAGTCTATATTGTTTGAAATATGATAGAATACTGAGATGCTAGTACAGAATGATAATTTGAGATGGTGGAGAAAATTTGTAACTCAGGTGGATGATTGTAGCGGAGTTTCGTTCTCTGAAATGGATGTTTCATTGTTCTTCTGAAGAACATCATCAGCACAAACTTCGATGATGAATAAAAATATTGTTTATATAAATAAACCAGTAATAAATGCAGTAGGTTTTTGGATAATAAACCTATTTATAGAGAAACATACGCAGTATATAACATGAAGTATAAGAATAGTTGGGAAATCTACCGTGAAAAACTGAATAATTTAATTTATGCATAGGAAAATTTAGATGATAATACGACACCCTGTTTGAATATCTAAGTTACATGCATCCTAACATCAGAATAGTTCAACAAGTTACTTCTTTTCTTTGAACATGTCAATTATGTCTGTTATTCGCATTAACAATTCAGACACGTATATAGAAATTTTACGACCTATCGCTTCACCATGTACAAAAATTACAATCCAAGACATCATGGTAACGAGGAATATGCAGTGAAAAGGAAACACGTTGAAATATTCTGTGCTGAGAATTCCGGATTGTAGTAAGCATAAAATAGTGACTAAAGCCACTATTATTATGTAATATTTAGTGATAAATTTTAAAACATTTGAATATGTAATGAATGACTATTTGATATACAGCAGTATGAAAAGAAACAGATTTGAACAAATTTTTACTAAAAATCAATATTAAGCAAGTTAACATATGTAGTTTGAATAGATTACAATTAGGAAATAATGTGATTGAGAAAAAAACACCGATCTGAAGAAATCAACACAACTAACCTGCTTGTGGTATGATTAAAATGAAACGATTAGAACTAACTAATTGTTTGACCATAGGTAAATGACTGGTTAAGCAATAAGCGTCTAAGACGAGAAAAGGTGACAGAAAGCTTTTATTTATATCAAATCCTAAATGTTTATCTTGTATAGTTGATTCTGAGTTTCGTATGCAAGATGAAGTACTAGTGCTTCTTTTTGTGGATAAAAGAGGTGACTGATTACGAAATTGACGTTCCAATTGATCTACTTCATTGAGTAACCGAAGACGAGCCATATCTCGCATAGCTTGGTCTCGACGTGATTGATCATTCTCTGTTGAATCCATCTACAAACAAAAATGGACTTAATGATCACATGTCATTGAAATTAATTGAGAATATTTATTCATCCATTTTTAATTATAAATACATGTCCTTAAAGTATTTTTTTTCGATAACATGTTATAAAGTATGGACAATCTTGTAGATTTCTATAGATTCGTATATGATTTCGTATAGCCAAGTGATTACTTGAACTTTTATAAGTTAGTATATTCCTCCCCGAAAAGTATAAGTTCTGTACTAGAAACTTCTGTTAGCGGTATTTGTTATGTATTTATGCATAGATTAATAAAAGTACTTGATTCATATTATTTTAGGTGCTTGAGACCACACATTACTCCACATACATATGAGTGTAAGATATGATGTGCTCCTAGAATCAGTTGTTCACTAGTACTCATAATCCTCGGTAAATTTTACTCAAAAAGAAAGACAAACTGAATGAAAGGCTTTATTTCTGACTAGACGGTATGTATAACTTGCTCTTATACATTGACAGTCAGAATGATCATTACACTATTATCGTGCTGACTTTCAGTTCAGTTGATCATCCATCTTTCTATCTTAGGTTATTATTACACCTACACTTATTTTGGCTGAAGCTGTTGGAATTTGTGGTTTCGCAAACATCTGGTAGATTAGAGACTATTTTTCACATCCCAATATGAAAATCTCGTTTTTGATTGAACTTTTTATTTATGTGTAACATATAAAGTACAATAATGATGTACAGATTGAAATAAAAACCGGTGTTTTTTATTATGACAATTGGGTCAATGACCAATTTTTTAGCATTGACTTTATAAGCGTATTTCGATTTGTGTAAAATCGAGAGTGATATTAAGAATCGTGTTACAAATAGTAGTAAAGTTAAACACACATGTTATTATATGTTTTGAAGAAATGATGTAGGTTAGATGAAGAGATATAATTTGGCTAACAAGCTGAAAGCCCTTATACTAGATTTATAAATAAAACATTTTGTAGTTGGATATATATTCATCATATGCTGAAAATAACAAGCAATAATGATATTATAACTTCGTCTATTAATGTTCTAAGACATTTGTAAACGAACTACGAACGTTAACAGATACGGCAGTCAATGGTCAGTCATCATCAATAATCCAGTGGAGAGTAACATTTAGTTAAGAACAAATGAAATTTCTTTAAGCTCTACCAAAAGAATAAACTCACCTGAGGTTTACTAAATAATTCAGTATCACACTTAACCATTGAAGATGAATCAGATTTTTGTGGACTACTTTTGGAGACAGATTGAAGATTATCAGATTGTGAGGCTGTTAAATGTTGAGCAGACTCTGTTGTATCCCAATCGTCATGATGATTATCTGCTTGTTGTGAAGGTCTATTACGATGTCTAGGATCATAGTGTGATTTGTGTGCCTTAGCTGAGCCTGAATATCTAGCATGTTCCCGATAAGAGTGACCTCTGTGAGGCACACATGTATTACGATTATCAGTTCTACTATATTGAAAATTAGCATTGGGACAGGAAGAACTGTAACGATCACATCTACCGTAGCCTGGATAAAACTTCTGATATCGACGGCCACGACGTTTCCGACGATTCGAATAGGGCCAATTGGAATGATTAGAAGAGGATAGACCGGGAACTTCAGACAATGGTATATCACACTTGAAAGGTCGACGACCATCTCCAGTAGAATTATATGTAACAAACAAACCTAACTGATTGCTGTATGATGCTAAACTGCACCCGTGAAACGCAATGGAGGCGCATCGAAATACGATCTATGGAATGATGACAGAGAAAAGAAACTAATTATTAAGTAACAAGCATTAAATAGAATATTTCTGAAAATTAGTACAGGTGAGATCCACTTTCATGTCAAAACACGAAGAGAATGATTATATGCTTAAGAATTAATGTCCTACAAATCGAACATTACTTAAAGTATGTACGGCAAAGATTCATAGACAAATAGATTTGTCAAGACTAATCCAGACTAGATGAACAGTTAGATTTACTAGCAAATATATATGCATGATGAAAATAAAATAGCAGTGCGACATTCTAGGTTTTAGCTGTTGGTTATTGAACAAAAAGTTTGGAATAACCTCTACCATTTAGGCCTATACAACCTGTTATATTCACTATGTAGTCGTCGTTAACGATACTGAATAACTTTCCAGATAATAGAAGCATCAAACTTTGTCTACAGGCTATAAACCAAGTAGCTGCATTACTAAACTACTTATTTACAATAAGTCCAGAAAGAAAATATAGTTATTTATATGAATATTTGTTACGATTTCATCCAATAAATTAGTAAATTAAAAAAATACATACTTCGTCTATTTCGTTTAACGAAGGTGATATACATGCATGATGAAAATCAATTTTTTCATGGATACAATTCATTGATGGTAAACCAAGCAGTAACCAATCTTCAGGAAGAGGATACATTTGAAATTTCTCCTCATCATGGATTACAGATTGTTGTATAGAATTTTCCTCTACTTCATTTTGTGTTTCAGTAGGAGACTTATTTAAATTTAACACTTGTTGAGAAAACAATCTTTTCATTGTTTGGTAAACATCGGGTGATAAATGATGAACGATGTTGAACTTAGCTTCATCATCAACATCTGTAATAAAAATTCAAGAATTCACTGCATAGTATATGTTTAAAGATTATTTTACAAACTATATACATATATTTGACTGATTAACCACATGTTACATACAACTAATTAATCACTCAACAACTGTGATCAAACTTACTTGATTCGATGAAGTGAGTACAGGAATCCACATTTAATTGTTCGTTCTGATAACAGTGATTAATGTCACATGCTTTTGATGTATTGGTTACATTTTCGCGTGAAATTTCATGAGAAATTTGATCGAATATTGGATAAATACTATTTAATAATGGCATTAGCTGTGATATAAATCTTTCTACAGATACTTGCCAAAGAATACTAGCTCTGCTACGTTTCTGTGATTTATCAGTACTATCATCTGTTAATGTAGAATTGATATCTTGATAGGCGGATAAATTTAAATGTTCAAATTTGGAACTAGAAAGCCAGTCTAAAAATAATTTGACAGCAGAAAATAAATAAAGTTGACTGAATAGACTAAGACGTGTAGTTATATCTGCATTCGCATCATAAGAATCTTTATCAACTTGGACAAGAGGATGATTTGATAAATTCTCTTTAATAGAATCTGAATGAAATTTCGAAGGGTAACATGTATTCTTCTCCTCCGAATCGACAATAGAACTATGAAAGTAAACAGAAGTAAAAAAGAACCACTTTACTTTAAACCAAAAATATCAAGTAGACAACAATGAAATGTGTTTATCATTCAGCCTTATTGATGAAATTTGAGTAGAAATAAGTGTCAAATAATTATCGATCACTATTTTTAGTTTACAGATATTATGAATGATAAGTAACTGGTATGTTTCAAAAAAAGGAACACTACTAAGCAATTAAATAGAGTGAAATGCAAATCAACAATTCAGAACATCTGCGTATACTGGATTACAACACAATGGTTCACAATAACACTTATCTGATGAAACCTACTTAAATAAAAACGACTTCAAACTGATTACCTATCGATAATTTAAAGTGAATATGAAAATGGAACAACGTCAACAACTATTTTGGTGATAATGTTGCAGAGTGTAAGTGTTGTTTAGTTAGCGTAGTTTAAAGTTATAATCAAAAGGAATTTCATAAATGAATTTCGATTTTTACATAAGAGTAATAATGTAGAAGAATTGAGATGAAAATTTGTAAATGAATAATTCAGTCAATTAATCAATTGTTGATCATGAATATGGACAGCGAATCCACGCTTTCATAAAAAAATGAAAAGCATTATATATATGAAGATACTTGAATTGATCACAGAGATTAATAATACAGAAAACCGCAGAATCAAAAAAATCAGTCGGAATATGTCAAGTTAGTTGAACGAAACCTGGAGATAGAAGAAAGCCTATAAAGTATAAGAAGTAGTGAACAAAATAATACGTCTGGAAGAATTAAAGTATTAAAATAAAGATTCCGTACAGAATAACTATGATGATAGATGTATTTGAGAGAAGAAACGAAGTTTGATAAATATGTTCAGTGTTAATTTATACTGGTTTGACTTGTTCATTTGCCCGCATGAAATAAAAAAATAAGTTGAGTGATTAGGCCCAACAGTCAAGTTTTTATGTATTAGATAATGAGTGATTTATAAGCTAATTCCACCCAATCCCCTAACACATTTCATTATGTTTATTTTATATTCATATTTTGTACATAAGAATGTTATTTTATTACACGAAAAATCTAGTTGTCTGACCAGTAGTCTTATGTTTGATTCCTAATCATTCAATGGCCCAAGTCGCTTAAAGGGTCTCGTAAGAAGATATTATTCAATCACATTATATCATTGCGTTCATTCATCGACACGCACTCTATTTGTTCATTCCAATAATCAACAATTTCGTCTGATCGAATCACAAAGAACCTCCTAATATAACATCGATAGAGAGCAAAGCTAAGTTGAGGTTTCCCGTGTTCAGTAAAATTGTTTATCAGTTGCTCAATGAGTAGTACATTAAACTGTTTCATTGTACTGAGTACTGGATAATAATAATAATAATAATAATGGTTACTAGCCAGTGGTCGATCAACTTATAAATACTTGTAAATTTCAGACATGAATCAAGTAGTATTACTTACTCATTATGCACTGATTCTTTATCATTGTTTGAAGAATGAAGAGAGACCGGTGAAGGAACTATAAGGTGAGAAGTTAAAAATATAATATACATTAAGTAAACTGGTTCTTATATATGAAAGTGACCGATTTTGTAAAACTGTAATTAATAAGTTAATGATTGCCTTCAGGAAACAATGAAATTTTTTGATGGAAATGGTACTTTATCTCAAGTATAAAAACCTATGTATTTTTGCATATGCTTCAATTCATAATCATTAACTACAGACTGCGTAAAATAATTTCCACCATCACAGTCGCAATAAGAGTACTGTCTAAATAAAAGCTCTTCTAAATAGTTAATTTTCTCATCAAAATAGGTGCATAAACCAAAAAGACTGAATATAGCCGAATGAATATATCTATTACCTACGGAAAAAACCTTGGAATGTGGAGAGACAAAGAAGAAAGTTTTCATAATACATTTCAAAATGGTATGGATCCAGATTGAAGATGATAGAAGGAGATCAGTACATTATTGTATGCAACGCATATTCTCAAGTTCATGTTGAACAGGACACAATGTGTGGAAAAATGACAATATTACACACATGACAATACACACATATTTCACAAGATATTTTCCGGAATAAGTTGCATCGAATATTTATTTTCATCCATTCTGAATATAAAAAGCTTTCAACAATAATATATAAATAATCATCGCAAAAATTCCTTTTTGTATGTATGAAAAAAACTTTCTGAGAAAAATCAGTGTCAATAATGAATATAACAAAAGTTTGCACTGCAACAATATACTAATACGCAATGAACAATGAACACACACATTGTTGACCAGATTTCTCAAAAAAGGAAAGGATAACTGAACAGATGACGGTGTGTTGAAAATATGCAATTATTTTTTATTGCAATATAATAATAGAATCTACATACAGTGGAATTTCGTCCGAAATTATTAGCATTATTTTGTAATCAGTATGATTTCATCTCCGACTTAATTATTCGTTATAAGCTTAGATATTGGTATTTATTTGAGAAAATAAACAGTGTTTCTCAGGTTGACTGTTTCGATAACATTGTGATTCATTCACACACAAAAACTAGATGAAATTTACTGAAGCTTACCGTCTACTTTTTCTGTCTTGCCTTCTTGCATCGCTTCCTCTTCTGAAATGCAATTCAATGTATTTTTTACATCCTTATTTACTGAATGAGATTCTGATAAATATTTTGATGAATCATTAAACTTTGATTGCTTTACATTTCGTTGGGATCCTAAACGATTCAATTTGGAAGCACGCCTCAATCGATCGTCAGAGAAAACATCAAGATCATCATCTGTAGGTGTACCGGTAGAGTTAATCTCGTCCTAAAAATGAAGACAACGAATAGGATTTTTCGATTAGATATCGCTCGGTCAATTTTATTATAGTGTGTATTTATAGGAGAATTGCAAAATACAGTCCAAAAGTAATGAAGTATATTTTTTTACTTGAACTTTACCTGTTTAGCAATTAGAAATAATATTCCTTAACAGTATAATATTTGTTACTTTTCATTGTAATTAACTTTTAAAAATGTTATAAAAGATTCTTAAGATAAAAAATGATATGGTGATTTAAACTAACTTGGTATTAGATTTTATACTGGAAATAATGTGGTCGAGCAGAATTGTGACTAATACAGAGCCGGTTAAAGTGAAATTAGGTACGTTAGAGGACTAATACAGAACATAAGTTTAAATACAACAAGACAGTACACAAATAAGAGAAAACTAGCCTGTACAAAATGGTTGTCTTAAGAAAACGTAACTATATGGTCAAAGTCGGATTGTATGAGTAGTAATGAGAAAAGCAGCCATCCGACGGCTTCTAAAAAATAAACAACTAACATGGAAGAGGTTCACATTCAAAAAGCAAGTACAGCTATTCTGAAGTACAAAGATATAATCTAAAAATAACATTACCCGTACTAAAGCTTTTAGGGTGGCCCCGTTACTAAAAATTAGCTAATCAGTTTAAAATTAAACAAAACGCCAGAACCTTCGTATTACTAAAAGGATAATGTATGAGAATTAAAAATCTAGTTGAATTTCAAAATTCAAAGAAAGTTAAAATACTAGAAGTAAGGTAGTTATTATTATTATTACAACTGATTTTTTTAGACAGTAATGAGTGATAAGCTAGATAAAAATACTGACCATAATTCAGATACGACTTTGTAAGCATAGAAAAATTACACAAGAAATTTGTATAACAAGTAATTGCCAAAAAATGGGAGAATGAAAGAATTACTAAGCACGAAAGTATTGTTAAAAAACATGTTTAAATAGATGATTAAGAGAAGTTTCCTGAGGTCTTATAGTTCGATTTCTAGTCTGCAACAATATAACTCGTTCTCAAGAGTATGAATATTATATGAAGATCATAAAATTATCAAGTTGAAAATCAAATTTATTTTAGATGGTGGTACTCTGTAAGTACTAAAAATGCATTAAAACTATACGAGTACATAGTACATACTTGTGAATGCAATAAGCTGGAATCATCAGAACCCCAAAAATCTGTATCTGATTCATTATCATTTTCATCAGTTGCCCTTTCTACAAACTCATGTTGTGAATCTTCATCTGACGAGTATCGACGAAACCGTAATCGCGCATGATCATCATCTTCATCGGTATCTGTATTACTGTGGATACTTTCATGTGATTGTGTTCTTGTACATCTAATATCACCAGAATCTTCTAGTTCATCGTCAGGATTACCAAGATCTAGTTATATGAATGAATGATCAGTGATAAAAACATATTTTCGAAGAGATAAACAATTAACATAATCTCCTTGTTTGCTTGTTTGTTTATTAAACACTTACAATAATATTTTACTGCATTTCATTGATGTGAACTCTGTTGCAAGCAATTAATTGTCATATCACAAGATTTTTTGTATACATAGGAAACAGTTGTGAGTTAATCAAAAAAGACAATTAGAATTTTATCGGTATTTTCTTCAAAGGAAGAAGCATAAGTATGCAATTAAACATTCACGAGAAATAATGTTAGAATAGAAAACTATCTGTTATAATCCGAAATGCCATGAGTCCATTTTTTCTTTTCTCTTATACTCAATCCTTCTAACTATCACTAATATACTGTACTGATACTACTCTGGCATATCGCATTGCTGATATGATATGGTAACTTGAACGGAAACATATATGTGACAGGTTCCATATTGATTACAATTGACTAACTGATATAAATAAGATCTCTTCAGAATACAAAATATCATCTTGCTTTTTTGAAAACATTTATTGTCTGAGTAAGAAATACGTACCATACAAAAATTTTGATTGAACTTTTCGGAAATTACTGCAAAGTATGCGAATCACACATTACAAATATCAAATGAAGAATTTTCTCTTTAACAGTAAAGTATTAGTTACCAACAAAATCTATTTTTTTGACAAGAGCTTAGAAAATATTTTAAGATGATACATTCGATTCAAAATTTATTATTTAAAAGTACGAAAATGATCTGTCTATAATGTAGATTTGGAAATATTTGAATCAAACTGTGATAATTTTCTCCAATAAAAATTACTAAGTCATCAGGAGCTGACAAACCATAAGGAGTCATTAAAATGATTAGTTTGCTACTGATATTTTGGAAAAAAGCAAAAGAGTTTTAAGTCATAAGTAATTTGATGAAAACTGGTATTGTCAATGATTACCGACAGTAGTTGGCACGACATGTTGAATACATATCAATAAAATCATATAGATAACACAATTATTTTTATGGAATGCTGGTTTTGAAACAAAAATTGTGTCTAAATAATCCATGATAATCTAATAATTTAAGTAATCGGCTAAAAATGATAAGTTCCGAAGGTCAGTCAGTTAGTTAGCTACAACGTACATATGTACATCAACTCAAGTTGCCATACCACATTAGCACACAGAGATGTAACTGTCAGTTTATGTTCCTTGAAAGTAGAGGTTGTAGTAGTAGACGTAATGGAAAAGATAAGGAATGGAAGATATGGTCTGAGAAGTATGTCCCAGCGAAATAAATTAAGAAAGGGAAAAAACGTCCTGGGGAATTCAGAAGATTAGAATTTGAGGCAAGATAAAAAGTGAATGTATCTGCGCCATTGCAAGCGATTTTGAGCCATGTCATTCAAAGTCTCAAACCACCGATTACGATTGTTCTCCGGACCCCAGACTGGTAATCTACACCTACTAACATGGTTCAGTTCAGTTGAGTGACTTCATGCCATGTTTTGGTTTGGTCACCACTAGCTTTCTTCCAGCCTACCTCTACAACAGACAACATCGTTCATCGAGGTAGTCGGTGGTTGGGAATACGTAACACATGTCCCAAACACATCAACAGCACTACTTACTCCGTGGTCCCAGGATAGAAAGCAGTGCTTCGGAGACACCTCTGATCGAATACTGGTAACCTATGAATATTCCCTATTCTTAGTGGTTGTGCTTTACACTCATAAAGTAGAACAGAGAAAACTGTTGTACAGTAAACTTGTCCTTTGGTTGGCAAATGGGTATCTCACGTACGCCATAAGTGATGCAAGTTGGAAAAGCCAATCCAGCCTTCCATACCCGTGCCGAGATTGCGTCAGACACCAGGTCATCAGGACTGATGATACTCCCAAGGTAATCGAAGCAGTCGATACGCTCAACTAATTCATTCCCTATCACTAGTTCAGGTGTTGATGCGAGCCAATCTTGAAGCAAAATTTTGTTTTTTCGAGGAGAAGGAATCGCATCCCGAACATGCTTGAATTCCGAAGGTATTTTTCATAAATAATAACTGGTTGATATATAGTTTTAAATGAGTATAAACCCATATTCCATTTCGAAAAAATATATTAACATGTAAATTATTTTTTAAGTTGATAGGAAAGCCTACCTGATATAGCTTCAGGGTGTTCGGTTGAGGAAATATTACTGGATGGTCGATGGTCATTTAAAACATGTTTGCAATTAGAATTTCCTGAAGGATTAGATGGATCACAACATGTTGGGCAATCAGTACACAAATTATGAGAAGTTTTAGAGATACCTGAATTTACTGGTTTTCCTTTAGGGTCTTCCATAAACTGACCCAGACGACGGTAGATTTGACTACATACATGAGTTACATAGAGTTCCCCGATGCTTAAAGCAAACGATAACGGTGCGTGAAGATCAGGTATAGTTGTAACTGAAGATGACTCACACTTATTAGTTACTGCAGATGGACAATTATCGGAAGAATCAATCTAAAAGTAATAAAAAACTATAATTAGTCAAAAAGCATTTAATGAAAGATTCAAAACAAGTTGATCAGACATAAGCTTTGATGTTATTCAGACTAAACTAACGTTAAAAAATGCTAGATTATATTTTAGTCCCTTTATTGTGACTAAACACTGTAGTTGGGTAATTTCATAAAGCGATATATTTTTGTTTGCAAGGATTTTAGAATACAGTATGATTTATCGAAACTACTAGGTTAAAACTCTAGTGAAAAAAGTAAACCGATATTTGTGAAAGTATAAATCGTCCACTACGGTACAGCCCATTTAAGGTAGCGTGAAAATCCTAGAAAACGAAAAACCTAATCAAACAGATATATGTAAAGGAAAGCACCTATATATTTAGAAAAAGGAAAAGCAAATTTTGATAAAACTAAAGGTATCCTTCTGAAAGCGCATTGATGACGTAGTTAGGAATAACTAATCGACATTGCACGTGTATTAAAATATTTTTATGACTTGAAAACATTTATTGACAATGATTTTACATGGAAAACAACTGTAAATTATAGAGCATTGAACAGGTAATAAACAGGTTAGATTTAGTTTAGGATTGAACTCAAAATGACAAGATTTATCAACGATAATATTAATGTCAAGTAACTGAACTGGAATATAGCTGCATATATTCCAAAAAATCAATTGATCGAGATTACACGTTTATTATTGTTCAAAAACACCAGCAATCATCTGCCCCCATTACTAAACTATCTGATTCCACAGGTTTTACTGCCTAATTTATTGATACCACTAATATCTCACAAATTTCCGTCTCCAACACTAGAGCTTTTACACTGCCGAGCTAAAACATTTAAAAATAGTCACAAATAGGCTGTGTTTGAAGTGTAATTGTCACTTGAACTATGCGGTCACGCTCTGCAGTCGTAAAGATCATCCTATAACTCAACTTTCACTTCAGATATTTTAAGAACGTTCCTTATAGGAATGGGCAACTGAGAAGTAAAACTGCCCATACAGCTCTAACAGCACAGAAAGTCTATATGGGTGGAGAAAACTATGAATTAAACCCCGCTGTTTTACAGGACTCAAAAATTTGATTAACTAGTACAAATAGTTTGTAACTGTTGTTGTTACTACGGAACACAATACTTGCATTCTTGTGTTGTACAGAAGCCAATCACTGTGTTCTTATACCAAAAACGTAGTCAATTGTTTGGCTGTAGTAGTAAGTGTTTATTACATTCTATACGTCCAAAAAATGCAAATTTAAGATTCTCACATTTCTAACATAAGGTTGCATGTAAGAACAAATTGTTAGAAAAATTAGGTTTGTGGTACCAGCTATTGAAAACTGACTAAAAGAAGTGAAATCGTATTTGGCGATGCTAAACTTATTGAAAACCAGTTATTTCTATTTACTATTAAACAACATGAGATTGTAGACTAGTGAAATTTGCATACCTGAATGGCATTTTCCTCTCCACTAGTATCTGAGCTGGTAGGGACTGTAGTGACTTCACTTTCTTGGGCAGAATGCCCCTGTATATCTAAATTTTCGTCTAATTTTTTTTCTCCTGGTTTATTGCGATCTTGTTCTATTTTAAGCTGGAGTGTGTATTCATAAGTAAGTATAGAAATGAGCAGCATTCTAATAAAAATAGGTCCTGTCAATTGATCTGATGTTTCATCTGTACAATCTGTTTTTTCATGATTAACTTCATTCGTTTTCAGATTCTTGGTACTGGTATGTTTTGAGAATGCAATGGTTTCCGATCTTACAGTTAAATGATCAGTAAGTAATAAAGAAGAATGTAATTCTGCGAGTATATCATGAAAAATAGTTTCCGTTGCCGGATCCCTAGATCTTAAGAGGAAAATATAAAGCAAGAAAGTTAAACATTACAAAAACTAAATTTCTGAATTTTAGTAAAGATTCACCGGCATATAGATGACATTCCGGTTGTGAATGACGAAATGAGTATGTCCAACATTTCTGAAGCGATTATGCATAGAGCTGTTGTGGTAGTACCATGTAATGCTGTTTTGAGTCGAACTCCGGAAGTTTCTGGTTATTACAAACTACAAAGTTCTGGTTAGATATGTAAGAAGTACTATGACTCTTAATATAAGCTAGTGCAGCGTACAATGAGAACTGGGAATTCATGTCACTCGTGTGCACTAAAATTTCCTGTACCAAGATGTATATTTTGATAAAGCATGTACTCTTCATTTATGAATAGTTTATAAGCTATCTTACTTTCATTTCATCAAGTATGTCCATGTTGCTGAAAGTTTTAACCTGAAAAACTTTCATCCATTAAACAACTTCCTCTTAGATATAGCATAAAGTACGACGCTTGACTTAACTACTGGAGAAATAAAGACCGAGTGATATTTTATTCAATGTTTGCACCTTGATGATTGACTGATGACAATTGCATTTCCGACTACGGAGTCTCAAATATTTGCTGTATATCCTACCCAAACGCTTTTCAAATCCAGGATTTTTCAGGGCGCCGTCACTCAATGAAAAGCAATAGTCATCAGTTTATAACTCAGGTCTATAGAATAGGTAATCGATTAGCAAGCGTTGGCACATTTTAGTTCTTTAATAAAGATTTAAAATCTAAGTTAAATCATGATTAACTACTTAAATTAAACGATAAAACAAGCTCAAAAGAAATAAGAGAATATTGTGACAAGCCTTATATAACTGTTTACCTTTCTGATCATCTGATTTCCTAGTTCCTGTTGCTTTCATATTTTATAGAGGTGGTGTATTCCCTTAGCTGAATGGTTTAACTGTGATTCACTATTTTTTGCCAACATCATTAGTTCATACTTGGAAAGTAATAAATACGACAACAAACTCTTATTTCTGGTCAAATCATTAATGAACAAATTGGAGATATTATCGAACTATGACTATACACTCGATGCTAAGACCTAATTTTCTGTTAACACGCGCAACTTTTATATCAAACAAAAATAGTATGAACAATAAAAGTGTAGACCGGGTTACGACGTATAGACCAGTTTTAGTATTTGCCATAAATAATTCAAAACAAATCCTTTTCAAATAACAAAATTTGTGAATACACAATGAAAATTGACACATACTCCACAGGTTTTAGGAACTGCTGAATTAAATAGATGAATTTCATGATAGTCTTCCGGAAATCTTTTGGTCTAAAATGCAAAAGGTTGATTGTAAGAATGATCATAAAAATTACATGTTTTATATGAATGAATTTTTAAGATTATGGGTAAATGAATTCAAGATATTTCAAAGTTTATGACGTGGAGATAGTGATAGACTGTGATTTTGTGACCACCGTAACTCCGGATGGTGATAGAAGGATTATGCTTCTTATTCTCAAAATTCAGAAATTTACTTCAGGATTATTTTTAGTTTTCAACGCAAAAACACAGTCAAGAATATGAATACGGATAATATATCTTAGATATTGCATCAGCTTTGAAAGGTTATTGGCTGATAAGATTTAAAAACAAACACACAAACAATATATGAACCTTTTAAACGTATACTATACTTAGTATAAAGAGGACATCAGGGCGTCAATAACAATGAATTATCTCTAATTTATGAGTGCTTAAAGATAAGTAAAAAAAATTACAGGGTTGGACTACTACTTTTTAGAAACGTCTTTACTGTGCCAAGACCTTCAAGTAGTTGGTCGTTAGGTTATAGGTAGTGGTAAAGAATCTAAGCAAACCGTTGTAAAATTTTACCAACTGGCTGTTGCCTGCACCAAAGTAGGTGTGGTCTGGGGCTTATGAGGACGATCAACTTGCTTAGTGGAATTTATTGCACTGTAACACTTAGTGCGTAACTGCAAAATATGATAACCAAGACAGAGTTGCATATGGGTCATTTGTTATTTCCAGTTTTTACTGATGGCCATCATGAAACATTTTAAAAATAGAAATTACTGAACACAAATAATGAACTTACCTGAAATAAGAGGCATATCGGATGCGCGAACTTCTGGATGGTTTTTCGCGCGTAATCATACCATAACGGAGCTCATTTTTAGCCAATACAGTGATGAGATTTCCCTTAGCACCCTCAAAAGGGAAACGGGATGTCAAACAACGTAAATAATGGAAAACAGCATTTAGGCCGTAGCAGCGTCCAACATCTAAGATACCCAATTGATTGTGGGGCAATCCTTATGAAAAGAGAGTATATTTAAAAGCATGAATAAGACGGTTTGAGGGTAAATATAGGTCAGTGGCTGTAGAAATATGGTGTGAGTGACACTATTTTTACAAACACATTAAAATCACTGATATTAGTCAGTTGTTTTTGTTTATACACCCATGAAATTATCAACGTTTTAAAGTGAAATTTCGCTTGGCTCCAATCATGTAAACAGACAGTAAACATTATCATGATAGAGGGCCCCGGTACATGCACTGAGTAAATCTACTGACGGAGAAAACTATAAACATCTGGTATGATTACTATTCTGCCTGAAGTGGCCATATCTAGTGGTACAATTCGAATATTATCTACCAATAAAGGTCATAACTCTACGTACCATATCGGGAAAATAAGTTGCCTGACTTCCACAATGTAAACACTAATGATAAAGTTTTCAAAACGTCTTTCCACTTTATTGCACAACATGAAACAAAAGTGATGACTGAGTAGAAGTAGTTTTGACTAATGTATTTCCTAGGCCACATGGTTCCAGCAGTTGAATTTTTTAAATCATAACTATTTTGAGAAATCACAGGACTGTTATTAAATGGTTTGCTTAATTACAGGCAAAATGTAGGACAGAAAACAAGCATCCTAGACCAAAGTATTGAGTGAAGCGATTATTGCTATTTTCGTACCTGAAAATATCACAGAAAGGTAAACTGACGAGAGGACAAAAATAATGAAATCACCAGTTAAGAAATGAAAGGGGCAGAGACAATAAATGATAAAAAAAATGCAAAGTGATAGTCTTAGATAATCTAATCAATGTCAGTTCAGTTTGAGAATAAATACTGGGGAAATATGAGGTCCGAGTCCAGAAGAAGACACGGATCCCGGACTGAGGATCCGGGTCCGGGTCCTATATGGATGCGAAACATGGCCGGTAAGAGTAGAAAATAGTCGTAGGTGATTAGTATTCGATTATAGATGTCTTCGGAGCATTGCTCGTATATCCCGGGACAACCGTATAAGCAATGCTGTCGTTAGGAAACGAGTACTAGGTAAGGATGGCAGATCAATTGATGAAGTATTGTAACTTCATCAGTTGAGGTGGTTGGGATACGAATGCCCAACCACCGACTGCTCGACGAGCGATGTTTCGTGGTGTAGGAGTAGGATGGAAGAAAGTTAGGGGCGGCCAGACCAAAACATGGCACAAATCCATAAAGTCACTGACAAGTGGACTGAATCATGTTGGTAGATGTTGGCTACCTGGTTTGGGTCCGCGAGACGAGTCATCGATATTTAGGGACCTTGAATGACATAGCTCAAAACCGTTTGCAATGGCGCACGTATATCCAGTCTTTGTGTTCCCTCAAATCCTAATCTTCTGGATTCGTCAACACCCTATTTTTCTCTTTCTAAATTTATCTCACTGAATTATACTTCTTGAATATTATCTTCAAATCCTAATCTTCTCCATTAGCAGTAATTCTTTTACTATCTCTACCACTATGGGATTTGAATTGACAATTGCGTTTTTGTGCTAATGTGGTATGGCAACTTGAATTGATGTACTTACGTACGAAGTTCTACGTTGCAACTGACTTACTGACTGACTGATTGGAGAAATTTGCCATTTTGATTGAACAGTGAGACGTAATTGATCTGAAAAATGCGATGTATTTGCGCTATACATTTATTAATCATATAAAATGCCTTGACAATTAAATACGTTCGACCAGATTGTTCGAAATGTATAGCGCGAATACATCACATTTTTCAGATCAATTACGTCTTCTCAATGTTCTATCACAATTTGTAAAAGGGACAAATTGTTTTAAATATGACATTGCTTACGTATGTTTTTCAGTGACGAAGCCGTTATTAAAAATGAACAAAAAAAATAATGCAAGTGACCGTATGGGAGGTATAGAATGATTAAACAAGTCGTCTTTTATACTACTACTACTATACTATTACTACTAAATGTGGATTAATGGTCTAACCAGTGGATTTTTAACATTTGGAGACGCGTCATGTTAGCATTCGCCTATACTGTTAAATCACGTAGTCCATCGCCGCTAAGTTTTATAGAGCTTAAACCGGTCATTAGATTACTTCTTTATTTCATTTTAGTCTTGTAAATACATTTGAGCCTATAAATCAACAGATTCGTTGTTATGGTGGGTTTAACAACCGAGCAGGGGCTGCTGATGGTCCCAAGCCCGGGTAAAGGAGGAAGGTTGGTCATAGGGTTAGCGGCCCCACCCCGAAGAAAAATAACTCACTAAAAAGCGCTAACCAGAAAATATAGTTCAAACCATTCCTACTTTGGTAATGTTTCGTTCTACCTGAGCTACAAATTTAATCCACAATCTCGTTTAAACTCAGCCATGGGAGTTTGGTGTTCATTTAGAACAGTTATGACGTCTGGACAAGTGGACTGAGTCATTTCGATAGGTGTCGACTTGGTTGGGGTCCGCGAGATGATAATAACCGATGGTTAGAGACCTTAAATGACATGGCTCAAAACCGTTTGCAATAGCGCAGGTGCATTTACTCTTTGTGTTCTATGAAATTCTAACCTTCTGAATTCCTCATCACCTCTATCTTTCTCTTGCCAAATTTACCTGACTGAATTATACTTCTCGAATATTATCTTCCAACCCTAATCTCTCGATTACTTCCAATACTTTTACTATCTGTACCACTATGGGATTTGAATTGACAACTATATCTCTGTGCTAATGTGGTATAGCAACTTGAACTGATGTACTTATGTACGAAGTTCTGCGTTGTGACTCACTGAGTTATGACGTCTCATGACGAAAGCCGAGTTTCTTAGAAAATCACGAGACCGATGCCCCTTCCGAAAACCATAGCAACCATTAATTCAGGTACATGGAATGTTCGTACAATGTAGGGGACCGAGAGAGTCAGCTAAGTTGCTGCAGAAATGAAAAGGTACAACCTGGTGGTACTTGGAATCTGCGAAACACAATGGACACAAGTTAGACAACAAAGTATAGCTTCAGGAGAATCGCTGTTCTTCTCCAGCCATGAAGAAGAAAATGCTCCACATACACAAGTTGCACTGATGCTATCCATACAAACACACTGACGGATAACCGAGCAAGATTTAAGACTCTTAAAATGAAATGGATGCTAAGCGATAGATGAAGTGCAACGATATCATGCAACTACGTACAAACTGTCCATGAGATCGAATTATAGACAGAAGCTTTAGTGAACTTGTCAGGATAAAAAACATCCGGTCAGTAATTTATATGATAAGGTGTGATGCTGATAAAAAAATCTCGAAAAAATCAAACAAGATGTTTGTCACGAATGGTTGGACAATAAAAACTTATAGGTTGCTCATTTTTATTGAATTGAAACCTAACCGGCGTATTACTTGTTCTATGTATGTTCTGAACGAAATCTGTATGTTTACTTTTCGTGATTGCGTGGTGTAAACCCAGGGCTTCAAAACTGGTCTAGCCTCGCCTAGGAAGCCATATCCACTCACTTAGGGAAAAACATCAATATGAACTTCATATATACACGTAAGTTAGTTTTACGCTGGGTAACAATCTAAGCGTGTCGAGGCAGATGCTTACCTAAACAGAACGAAACACTTGGTAATAACACTATCTACCAACCAAGTTATTCAAGGAGAATAGATTCAAGACAACAAATGTAAACGGAACACCATTGAGATGTTACTGATGCGCATTATACGTTCACAGAAATGATACTTACCCATGAGAGGATCAAAGTAGAAGGCTGCCTTGTAATATCGATAAGCAAGTCGCTTAGCGTTAGAATCACCGAAATCAATTAGATATCGAACTGTATTTGTTATACATGTATAAGCAACGTACAAAGGTCTCCAATATTTGTCAGACATTTATGTATCAACTTGATGGCCGCAGACTTGTTCGCCACAGAGAGTCTAGGCTTTGCGTCAAACTGAAAGAACACTCCTCGCACAAAATTTTAACAAGCAACACGACTTACTACAGTAAAGAGGGATATGCAACGCTATTAGAATCCATGAACAGAAGTCATTAGGTTGTGCGTCACCTAAATCTGATTGGACAGCTAAAATTAGAGACTGGTAGTATCCAACAGCACTGAGAATATGCACAACAAGCATATCCTCAAATAACCTGAGGCGATCTTGCTGATCATTGTTCTGAATGTGTTTAAAACACGCTTGAATATTAAAATACCTTAACATAAGCCTTATAAAGAAAATAAGGCTCATAAAATGCTTTGCGCCAAATCAGCTCCTCAGTTCTTCTGAAATTCGTACCCAAGTCCATGAACATCAGCTTTTGAAGTAGCTCTTTTAATCTGAAGTAGTATAAAAAGGAATTAATTTCAAACCTCAGCCTATGCCCATAAGCCTCATAACTGAAAACAGTCTTAATCGCCTTGCCACCGTGATAAACAGTGTCCAACTTCTTTATTAAAACATAAGCTGCTCTAAAAATTTAAAGGTATTACAATAAGATTCACACCTCCACAGAGATTTCGATTTGTCTGGATTCTCAACTGACGAACTCGTTACTGACATCGTAGCGCACCATTTATAAAGTTCAAGTGCAATATCCAATCTATTCCAATCAGCAACTTAAATTTGTACAGCAGATACAGTGAAATAACAGTTAATGGTAGTTAGTGACTTTACAATCTAAGACCATTATTAGGAAAACTTATTGAGAATCTCAAGCTTGGTCTGTCACGAGATTTGAAGATAAGACTATTCATTCTAAAATTAGAATTTCGAGTCCTACTGCCTGAAGTCATTCATATGGAAGTATATGATGACATTCAAAAACCACAATAAGAGACCTTCTCCTCTGTTTTATTAGTGACACGTATTCAGTATCTATTTTATATAAAAAAATTCCCACAACATTAATCAGAACTATATGTCTGAGCGAATAATACTGTCCTGAAATAGATCTTCATCATAAAACACAATGATATTTACATTTTTGAGTGAAATTTTTAGTCCAATCAAGGTGCTTTATAAGACATTTGAGGACTTTGGTGTTTAATAAGGCCATTGTCCGTAACATCTTAATCCCGAATGGCATAAGTCGGTAATCAAGGAGATTGAATGCGTATTTAAAGGATGTTTGTGATGTTCAGAAGTGATTGACTTAAGCTGACCATTTGTTACGAGTGTATTCTTGGCAGGGCGTACGCACTGGCCATGTGGTGATCAAGCCTTTTCAGCTAAGATGTGCTCACTACAATCAATTAGTCCGAAATCAATGTCTAAAACTGACGGGTTTTTTTTATTTTGAGAAGTTATGTACTATTAAACACTGATAACAGAGAAACGGATAATTTAAATAAACGTTAAGTAAGAATTACTAATAACAGAACTGGTTGTGATGAGAATAGTAAGGACTTGAATTTTTGCTTCAAAATAGAAAGCAGTTAAACTACATTGAAAACGATACGGTAAAATAGCATTCACTGAAATCATAAAACAACATCAAAAGAAGTCTTCAGATAACTGGAAAGTGAAGCGAATATTTGATAAAAGGGATGAAGAAAAGTCGATGAACCAAAGGTTTGGAAGTAATGACAAATAAAACGGCTTTTTGATGCCTATTTGGACAAGGAGGAAATAGAAGTTTCATTGATTTCTGTGTATACAGAGATTTCGATTTTTCGTAAAAGTCTGTATATCTTATTCTGGTGTGAAACCCGATGAAGACTTGAATGTTTTACTATTTATTTTAATCAACTGCGGGCTAACACATTTGATGGACTGATTGATACTTTCGTCAATATTTGTGTCCAAAAAAATTCTATCCATGCTATTCAGTTTTCTGCTTGATAGACCATGTCTTACGACTGAAGATCATTATGGAGTTATGGTATACTTTTAGGCCGTTTAGAATTTATAGGACCATTGGCCTGGATTGTTTATAATAATGCTACATGGTTTACGTTTATTTTCATACTGCTGGTGATAAACATACAGAAGCAAATCTGCTGATGAAGTTAACTCCATTTGTTTTGATTACTCTAGAAAGAGCCTTCAAAAGTCAGTCTAAATAACGGTTATTATATCATTATTTAATCTACAACTTCATCGTTGTGTTACTTTTTACCTTCTTTTTGTCAATACGTGGCCTTTTTGGTTTGTATTATTGATATTTCGCCTAGCATACTATTATTGGATTGCATAACTTATCACCTTGATTACGTCCAGTACTGACATATTAAACGGATGCATCAAGAAAAGATGACACATGGACTCATTGCTTTCTGTGATGGTTATACAACACCTCGTACTACTGATACATGTCATAAGCCAAGTATGTCTGTCATGTGGGATTCTATGGCAACATCAATACGATGAGATTCAGTATCCAGTCACAATAGACTAACAGCTGTCAGCCAAATTTAGGTGAAACAGAGTTATTCAAAAAATTCCATCTACATTGAGGAAATTAATTTATCCAGTCAGCGAAAACCAGATTTCTCCTACTGCAAACATGTTCAAACCTCCTAGTTTAGAATGGTCAAATTCAGAAAACTGATGGTAGGAAAAGTGGCTTCCGAAACCATTAGCAGTTTCGATTCTTCATAAGATCGGGACGTCTTAGGAGTAAATATGACCATTTTCTCTGTTCCTAAATGTCTCGAACCTTACGAGACAATGAGTTGTAACTGGCATTCATCTTATCGAGTCAGGCTTGTTTGTTAAGGTGCGCAAAGATCAGGGTTAATCATTTTTGTAAACTTGTGGTGTGTAACGTTGTAACGAGCCCAAATGGCTTGTCTCAATCATTGAATAAATTATTGAATCCACTCTTTTCGAGTTATTCATAGGCCTCGCGACCTTTTGAAATATTCGCCATACCTTGTGTGGAGTCCTTTTTGGAAGGCTTTGTTTGGGAAAATCTCTCCATGTATGACTTTGTAATATGTCCTTATTGATTCTTCGAGTTCTACATTTTGGTAATCTGTTTAATTCCATTTTGTGATGTTAATATTTGTATTTCATCATAGTTTCTATTTTTTGTTCCATTTTCGAAATTCTATGTTTCCTTCAGAACTGCATTATGTTGTTTAAGTCGATACTTAATTATGGCGGCAGCCATATCGAATTGTCTCTTTGGCGGCAGGAGCACAGACACGGACTGGAAGGGTGCAATTTGGATCGGAAATTGGGGAATACTTCCAGAGTGGGAAACACTGTGTTATTATAGAAGGAATAACAGTTGTAACATCGTTAAGTTAGTGATATGTATATTTATATTTATGATTAATAATAGAACCGTTACTTACCCAGAACATTCTTTTGGGATTTTAACGGGGGAAGACGCGTATCTAAACTTCCTGAACAGTTATTCCTAAATCTCAACCTTTGTTTAAATTCTATATCCTGGTTGTTTTTGCCTTATTGCATATTTGGATTGATTACTTCGCTTGGCACATGTACAGCTAATTTTCTTTCGACTACAATTACCTATTAAGGCCTCATCACATTGAACTAGCCTGCTCGTTTTCGCCGCTTCCATTTACTTCTCATATTGTCTGTCTGATTGCGCAAATGTACAAAATAAATTAATCCCGAATATGCCATGTGTTGCTTCTGATTACCGCCGTGACACATACGGAGTTCGCCTAAGAATGATCAGAAGTGATCTGTCGCAAATCAAACGACAGCATTTTCACCAAATATTGTATTATACATTTCAGAGCCTAAAACATTTACAGTTTTATGTAAAAAATGTTGTCCCTCTGCAAAAATCTACCATTTGTTGTAAAATTTTTATCTAACTAAACAATCGTTTAAAATAAATGTGTTAACCTGGTGTGCCTCATTCAACACATTATCATTTTAGAATAAATTATCAACATAATCTTTGGATGAAAGATATGTTTAATAGCGTATTCAGTTGCTGCTATAAACTGGGGTCAGATTGCACACCAATAAAGTGATGGGTGTGGACAATAATGACATGCAAATACAAACTTTTCATTGCATATCAACGGGTGCTATAATTTCACCACACGAGCTCACACTTTGTCATTATTATCTTATCATACCATTACCATTGTCGTATAAGTGTGGGGAACTGTTGTCCTTGTGCATATTTACATTAAACTTTGTCAGCTATGGGACTCTATCAGTCACTCGTTAGATCATAATACTGTGAACGCTGTATTCACGTGCGACATTTGATTCAGGCTCGGGCCCATAAAACCAAGTGAAAAGGCACCTACAATGATAAGCAGTTTATATTATGATTACTAAGAGGCACTCACTTTGTACGGCAGAGAATGCGTTTCCAGATACAAAATATTAAACTTCTTACATTTAACGTATTATGTCTTCTCCCACTAAATCCTTTTCGACCTCTTCCTGGTGAAACCGACCACAACGGATTTTAAGCCTTCCGGAAATAAGGTGATCCTGTGGAACCAGAAATAATGTGAATCTATTGACCGATAGAGAATATCGCTCACATCCTTAATCATATAATTAGAAACTAATTACCTATTCCTTTCAATCTCCTTAACAGAGTGCAGTAATGCATATAAAGGATGAGGATAGCAAGATAGAATTGCAAAATTATTACATAGCTTCTTTGTTAACCTCTTTAGATTATAGGTTATTCCTTACATATTATATGATGATAATTCTCTGTAGTCACTTAAATATAAAGCTTAAATTGTTTGTTCCCTCATAATGTGGTTCATTTGAGATTGGCAATGTTCATTTTGCCTATTATTTAAAATTTTAACGCTTCTATTGAAATTGCATAAACAGCCACTAGTTGCTTTTATTTTAATTTATTCCATTACCATATTTCGTGTAGCTAGCACTTCTAGTGACCCTACTCTACTACCTTCTCCATTCACCGAACTGAAGGACAGGGAATGCTTCTGAGGTTTGCTCTTAAACGTGCGTTTCTGTCAACAATTTTGAACACTCGTCATCTAATGAAGCTGACAAAAAACCTGTGGTGCGATTCCTGGTTTTTACATAGCTGTTGTCTTGCTGTTGCTATCCATTATGGAGTACACTGTACTTATCTTCTTGTAACAGAACAAATATTGTAAAGGTTGGAACTAGTTTTGGGAACTACAAATTTCAATATTCTTTTTGTATAGTTGTTACCCAGTCAGATCTTTGTATATCGAGATTCCATTCATCATGAAGATATGTTTAAGTTGTATAATATTGCCGAATTATTGCTAGAGGTTTAGCTACAAACCCCTATATTTAGAGCCACTCCAACTTCTTCATGTGTAACGGTATTTTTAATCGAAAAGTTGGAATCAGTCCGCCATGCTTACAAATAAAACACGCCTGTTTAAAATTCAAAATTGTCGGGATAGCCTGTTGATACGGAGATTGCTGATAACGGACCAGATGGGCTTCCACTGTCAGTTCAAGATCAGCAATTCTGGTCGGGCTTCTTCGCGAAATAAAAGAGGATGTTGGGCGAGATGGATCGAATATAACCGAATGTACCTTTCGAGATTATTCCCGACAGATGGAGTTTGAGAGATGGTTATGTAGCTATCTTAAGCTAATTTAAAACAATGGTTAAAGGTTTATTAAAATGAAGAAAGAATGAGTATACAACGATTCATGGAAGCATAGAAATAAAGCAGAAGGTTTTTCGAAACATTGTAAATAGGTAGGAAAACACGACAAACTTAAATTTCAGAATTCACAGTATTAAATTCCATATGATAAACAGTTTAAAATAATATTTTGCTGATAATGAAAGACCATAAAGATGAACTTGTAGTTGAGATATTTTAAGTACCCCAGTTCGGATTGTGGTACTTTCAGGATTATTTATACCTAATACCACAACGAAAATCTTAGAGATGTTACGAGTTGGCATAATAACACATTCGACTTGAGACAGAGACAAATAACTGCCAGCTGACTAGAATTAGTGCTATCGAGTGGCCATACGATACATTAGGAACTAGTATCTGGCACCTTATCGAGAGAACAAGAAACGAGCGCAGAGAAATCAACTGGTTATACTGGCTCGTTGAAAACTTATTGCATGTTGGAAGTCTTGTGATGGAGTTATTTACAGCTCGGCTCATGTAGAAGTAAGACCTCCGAAATAAATGACAATTTTCTGTCGAGATTGATGCCAACGGTCCTGCTTTCTCTGAATACAACACTTACTGCAGGAACTCGCTTAAGCATGCGTACCAAATTAGGTTTCAAGTTGTTGTCAAATGTAATTCCTTTAACCAACTCAGCTATCGTGCTCTACGTTACAGATGGTTTGGTCCCGATGTAACTTTTCGAATTATAGCTTGGTTGTTCTAGTAAAATTGTGATGCGAGAGACAAGTAAACTTGTATTGCAAAATTCTGTCTTATGAGACTCCTCCAAAACTACGAAATGAAACGACAAATTCAGCGAACTGTTAGCAGGGTGACGAGAACTCATTCTTTTATTTTATTTAGGCTTTCATTCTCGCATAACGACACGCTACGTTAAAGTCTTTGGCCTCAAAAATACTGCATAAAATTTCAACTAAGTATTTTAATGTATAAATGCATTCTGATTTCGAAAAGATATTTTTCGTTTAACATATCTAGATTAGGTGCACTCTTTTTTGCGATGTTACAAACGTGAAGGTCGTGTAACGAGAATTCGTAATCAAATGTGTTGGAAAGAGTCGTCCTTAATGTGTGTGAAGTGCGTATTGTTATGCTTGAACATAGTTTTCATACTGATCGGGCTTTCATCTGTCGTGATAGCCTGTTGGGTCTTATTTTGGCCTCAAATATTTTTGAACATAATGGGACCTCACTTATTAAGAATATCGGCATTCTCAATTATATCCATTGGAGGAGTCATTTTATTACTTTCAATTTTAGGATGTGCAGGAGCTGCACTTGAGAATCGCTGCATTTTGGTCACGGTATGAATGGGGTGTTCCTAATTTTATGTTTCAGTTTTTCACGTTGCTTTGTGGCATGTTCATGGCTTGTCTAGTTATTGGAACCCTTACGACTGTCTTCAGAAGAGATGTAAGTATTTTTTGACTTGTTACAGCATTTTTGAAATGATTTTTGAGCAACAAACACTGTCTTAAATGCTTTTAGTTAAAGATGTTCCTTATTTAGTTTGTTAACAAAATGCACTAATAAGGTGAGCAGTGGTCGCATCAAAAACAACTACATTATTGGTCAATGTCGACAAAGAAAACCCCGTTCTTATCTGGAAATATACATATTTTGTATGAAATACTAATATTGACGTTATGTAATATATATATATATATATAACTTCAGAATGCAAAAACTACGGTTTATTTTTTGATAATTTATTTGTTAATTGCAACCAGTGTTTTCTGCTTTATCTTTAATCTCTTCTGATCCTAATTTCATGATGGTATGCGAAATACTGTATATTTTTTGATAGTCGACACATTTGCAAAAGAAGAATACTTTACTTATGTGGTAATTATCGTAATGTTGTGATTCCAAAATTGGAATCATCATTATATTGAAATTTACCGTTACGTTCACAAAGCATTGTGATTTTGACCAATTTGTTCACTGAATACGCTCCGTTGAAGATGGAAAATTAATCAAAGATCAGTTCATTCAGTAGGAAAGTATGATTTCATAAGAGAAATTAGTTATTCACATCCCTTGATCTTCTACACTTTAGATAGGCTCTAATTTTAAATGTCTTTTGGTGTTGTAGCCTGTTACTGAACTAAAGAAAATTGTTTGAAAAATACTACACCTATGAAAATGAACTGAAGTGATATCTGGCGGTGCTTTTTCGTTTCACTCCGTATGTATTTTTGTCCAACATAGGCATATACAGTCGGCTTAAGAAGACAAGGCAAATTATAGTTGAAAATCAGTATTGTACATTACAGCAATCAGAAACTAATAAAGTTTTATTGGGTTTCCCGAAATCAGCCTTAAAGAAGGACCCATCTGTTCAAAAATTGGAAATTGAAATCACTGACACTACTACTTCTGCATACATGATAGAAAAAAATCTACAAATGTTTTTGATGTTCGTTTAAGAAATTAGGAAATATGAAGAATCTAGAACGACTTCTAGTATTCAATAATCTTATTCTGACTATGGTTAATCAGTAATTTCCAAATATTATGCATAAGAAAGTACAAAATATGTAACTTGGGGTAAAATAGTTTACACCAACTGAAATCAACTTATGACCATCTTCAAGCTTGAATAAATGTTTTTATAACAGCTCTACTCGGACGTATACAGAGTAGAATATCTACTAGCAATGAATATAACCATAAATTCCTTCAGTAGGTCTAGTTTGGATGTTACCTAGTCGGTTGGTTCCCTTTTTGATAATAATGACTTGGAAACAATAATCAGATCAGCACAAAGTTGAATCTGTGTCTAAAGTCCTTATTCATTTCTCATTGATGGAAAAATACGAACACTATGCTGATCCTGTTCCCGACCATAATCCTTACGTTGTGAGTTTTATCGCAGGTTTAGTGATTGCATGGTTGATAATTACTCTAGCTACAACGGAAATAGTGTACGAGTTGTTTAACTTTCATATATTCTGAATCATAGATTGGAACATTATGCTGTAAATAGCTTCAAGTTTTAATTTGTAAATAGGTTTAAGTAATGGCATTTTTTGACTTGGTTGATGATGCATAATAAGGCCTTAAAATTATCGCTATTTAGCTGGGAATAAAACTCATGGGATTACTCAGGCCCTTTTAAGAGTCATTAAACAATAATAAAACGATCAATCTAGAATGTTTTCAGCCTCTACTATTCACGAATCGAACGGGATTTGAAGGCTTCTAGTAGGTTGCTATATTTCTAGGTTTTAAAATCTACTTGAAAAAGTCTAGTTTGTATGAGAAGAGGAGCTCACAAATGTATGCAGCCTGACGTCGTTCTTAAAGAAACAGACAGATGAAATTCTTTAATCCAGACGAATTTCACATTTATTTGCTAATTAACTTGTTTATTTTTACCTTTTTTCATGTCCTGCTGGTAGTTTGTTGAAAATATTCCATTTTTACTGAGAGTATTTGTCTAATTTCAGTTAATTATACTAATGGTCAATCGTATGAGCATCGCTGTACAACAAGACTATGGAAATTCAGAGTTTTGGACAGAATTACTGGACCTTCTTCAGTCAAGGGTGAGTTTATATTTTTTCGCTAAAGTGGTTACCTTTTTTATACTCCTCAAGTTTAGTAATACAATATTCTTTTTCGATTGCTAATTGTAAAATGAAGCTTTATTGTTTCATATATGAGATCAGAAAGAAGGTGATTGAGTGTTTCGTAATTTGATTTGATTGAATCAAATTAAATGACCCTTTCATAGTAATTCAGCATCATTATAAGCTGTTTAGACTCTGGTATTACTAATATTACCTTTAATTTCGATGTTAAGCTTTGTGATAAAAAAGTTATCACTAAAAACATTTAATGAGAAAACGTTTTTAAGTAAGTCAATGAACTAAACTATGATAAACAATCTGTTAATAGAGCACTTTTAGCTGAAAATATCGTTTTAAGTCGAAGCCTTATTCTCACTCACTACATTTTAAAAGAACTGCAGCTAGCTTTACGACCATACGTACATATTATTTTAAAGCTATACAAAATACCGGTGAGAAACTAAGTTTTTCAAACTCTGAAAGTTTGCGCAATGTAAAAGATCACAGTTTGACATCTTTTATCAGTAAAATAAAAGAGTAAACTAATAAAGTGGTAGCTCATTAATAACAATATCAAACGGAAACTGTTTGATAATATTGAGATGGATAACGGGAGTACAAGTAAATCCAGAAGTTCATCAAGATTATATTTATTCTTTATAAGAGTTTAATCTTGATTTAAAACCTTATTCCTCAAGCAGGAAATACTGATACGACTACTCTTGTTCTCGTATTTACCAATCTCTTTACTACAATGACGTTATCAAAATTTGTATTTATGTAAGCTGAAGTAAAAATTAAAGATCGTGCATATTCGCTAACACCTGAAGTATTGTAGTGGAGTTGTGTTTCGAACGAAACTCCATTAAAATCATCCACTAGAGCTGTAAAGTTTTTTTCACTTGAAACTTGTTTTTTTGTTTAACAAACAAGTATAAACACTACATAAAGCGCCGATTTCAACAGACATATACTTTTCAGTAGGAATCGAGTCCCACTAAATTGTTTTCACTCTTAAAGGTCTCTGATAAAGCAAATAAATACCCAAATAGTGCTACAAAAATTCGGATATTTATATTATGGTACCAAAGTCATAACCATGGTAGACAACTCGTAACAAGTCCTAATTAGTGTCAACTAATTACAAATATGTTTAACGATATAATTAATCTAAGGATCATTGGACGTTTCAATTGTTGATTATTTATAAACCGGGATATTAAAAATTTTTGATCATTAAAAAGTGGTGCAGAAATAAGTTATACTGATCTAGTCATGGAAAATTGTCTTGAAGTAATTTAAGATTCAACTAAAGTAACATATTTTAACATCACTGGTGTGGCTAATTTTAATTTAAATGTAACAAATAATAAAATGAAAAGGATAACTGTGCCTTCCTTAAGACGTTAAATCATTATATCAAAATTTGGAAATCCGTATAGTTATTTCATGAACATTTGGAATTCACTTTCATAATCATCGATCTATTGTAAATAACAGGGTTGAAGTGAAAACGTGTTATTCTTTATTTGCTACAATATCTCTTCATCTTTGCATTTATAGATGTTCATTTATCTGGTCTTTCATTTCATTATTCTTTCTTTTTGTCGGACAGACAAAATCCCTTCATAAGTAAACTATGATCGTAATATTTGAAATATATTTTATAAGCAAATCCTAGATTACTTACTAGCCTCGCAATCTCAGTAAACTTTTAAATCCTATAAAGTGATAATTATGAAATTGACTGAACAGAATTTCTTATTCGGTATATATTCTATACCACAAAACGTATATTAAATAAGCTTTACTGAAGTATATACAATAGTAAACTCTTTGATTCCGTACGTGAAGTGAAAACCAATGGTGTTTGTTAATTTTTAAGTAGTGAATTCACTTTGTACACCTTATCTTTGAAAATGTTTTTTAAATCTAGCCTAAAAGACATAACAGTTTTCGCGAGATCTAACGTTTTCTAAAGTATAATTAGGATGCAAAACGTTAAGTAAATTTGCAGTAGGTCAAGTAATCGATTAAAAAGTCGTTTACTATTGATCTGAAAAGTTTGTATTCTTGGAACTAGTTGTTCACGAATTCATAATCAATAAAGTCACTAAAGATTAAGTAAAAAGGTATATATCTGCATTACTTATTTTCAGTTACATCATTAAATTTTTTATTGATCATTTATTGTTTTATTCTCTTTCATTTACGACAACCAGGTTCAGTATCATTTCATTTTCGCCAATTTTTTTTTATTTGGTTGATTTATAACTGTACCACTTCCCAACGGAAGCTTTTATTTTCTGTCTGTATGCATAATTGCAATTATTTTGATGTATGATTAGAGAATGAACTAAAAATGTTACATTGAGATCAAACTTGAAGGATTAGTGAAGTTCTAGTCTTATATATATATATATATATATATATATATATATTCATATTTAGTTTGGTTATAACTATGAACAGTCAATTAAATAAGTGTTTCATTGATTTTAATCACTTATAAAATTAATAGTCATGTTTGATATCAAGTTGAACTAAACTTGATTCATCCCCGTAATTATTGCAAAATAAAACAATTAAAAGTAATTATTAGTAATTATTATTCATTATCGACAATATCAATTTGCCCATTGAAAAAAATTGTTTACTGAAAATCATTTATAAAAACAATTTATCTACTATTTATTTTCCAAGAGTATAAAATTAGATTTTATCAGTAAGATAGGTAAGTTATTTTTTTTACTACATTTACAATAAAAAATGAATTAACTAATAATGTCTGAAACTATGTGTATATTATTATATTGTTTTAATAAAAAGAAGCCATTTATTATCGGATAATGTTGATAAGACTCATTATGAATCAATTTGGATACTTTATGGTGACTTGAAGTAAACTAAGCTCGCTTCCCAATCACTTGACAATGTTTTATGTATTAATAAATAATTAGAGCTACTTGAATTGAAGCGGTGTGTCAACCAATTGTTCATGTAACTTTTAATTTTTAAGTTGAAGTTACGAGCTGTATTCTATCCACCTCCTTTTATGTATGTAAACCATCTTGTTAGGTCATACGATGTAGATTATCTCATTCGTTCTAGTCAAATATAGAAGAATTTATAAGAATAAAGTTTGCTATTTCCTGATGTCCTTACTTTACTCAAATTGATGCAAATTAGAGAAGGCATCAGAGGAAAATGTATGGATTCTGAAAGAACTAGGAACAATCAAGTACAGCATTAGCAACACAAGAGTTTGCATGAAATGTACTGATGAAACTGATAACTTCTCAGTTTATCAATTAATGTTAATTGGTTAACAATGAACAAATCTGCTTATTGGGATTCAGTTTCGCACTGAGTATACGGTTGTGCTGAGATTGTTCGATTAAAAAAGATCACTGTTTAAGTATGAAAACTTTCTACTTTCAGTAGTATATTACTTTTATTAACTAAGCTGTTTAAATTAATTATTTTAAATTAAATAAGAGATATAATCTAGAAATGATTAACTTAAAACCCAGTTAACATTCACTTGAAAAATCATTATAACTTTGAACAACATCTCATTTTATTAATAAATATAATATATAACAAATTAGAAAACATCAAAACAAAACTTTGACAAAAATCATATCAGTTAAATGAAAAAATTAACTATTAAATAAATCTGGCTAACACATATAAGCGAACAATATTGTTTTCGATTAGATCGTCATCAGGCTTTATACTCTAATATATAAATGAATATTTAGATGAAAATGTTAAACCAATCAAGGGAATTTGAGTCAATTTCATTACGTTGTGATTATCGACTCGAATTGTCTTGATTGGTTTAACATTTTCATATAAATATATATATATATATATATATATATATATATATATATATATATATATATTCGAGTAAAGCCTGGTGACGATCTAATCGAAAACAACACTATTGTTCACTTATATGTGTTGTTCTAATTTTCACAATCGGAATCTTTAATATTCCTAAATTTGTTTAAATTTGAAAAATATTTTTCATCATTTGAGAACAGACTTAGAATCGAAGCCTAAGTAGTTTTTGATAGATTTCAATTCTCTTTTCTCCAGTTACCTTATTTAAAGTGAATACATTTTTCACCGTTAGATTTGATTTTAGCAGCCGAAACTTTTAAACTAGATCATTATTTGAAAATATAGCATATTATCATTTAATTCATAAAATTGGATTTAATAGTTTGACGAAAAACATCTAATATATATATATATATATATATATATATATATATATATTTAGGAAAATTATCTAATTTCACGATGAGAGTCTTTGATGAGGATTTTTATGTTTGTTAGACAAATATCAAAGTATATTGAAATCTTTTCAGAAACTATAAACCAAATGAATATCATTGACATAAACTATCTTTTTGGCCTAGTATTTGGAAATTAATGATATTCATTGATTTAGTAATTAAACAGACTGTTACAGGAGAAGAAACATTTAAAATGCTGATCTTTGCACATCACTAGCAAGTGTAGTATAATTAGACAGGTGGTTTACAAATTTTTTTTTGACCAAATCTACTTATCTCACAATATGTCGATAATAACTACTAGTTTTAATTCTACAAAATATATTTTATACCATGAACTTTAAAAGAAAAAACACAAACACCACAAAATTATTCCGAATCTGTTGCAACTACATGCAAATAGAAAACTGGTTATATTTGCTTAAATAAAACATGAAATATATGTGTGTGTTATTTGAATTTAAAAAGATTAGCGCCTGATTTGTATGGATGTGCTACAGCTATACAGCATATCTGCTAATCTATCACTAGATAATAATCAGTTTAATATTTATTTCTTTAATGATAATTCTTAACTTGAATATAATCATTTAGATTATCTATTGAATTTCTACATTATTTTACATAAAAATTATCTTATATTGATTTGTGAAATATAGTCACAATACAGAAAATAATAGATTAATGAAATATCTGTTTTTGCATTAGGATAAGGCTTTACACCCTAAACACATAGGTTCGACTTTTTTTCAAGAAGTGAGTATATCCTTCTGGTTAGTGTTATCTAGTTGAAAATCTAGTTATATAACTGATCACTAGTGCTCATTATTATTTTAATATTCATTAATTAAAAATCACTCGAAGCTCTTAAAGTATTTATATTTCTGCAGATTAGTTGAAACACAGTTAACCTACTGTATAATGCTATATTCAGTTTGGAGATAGCTTTTGGTTGTAAACTAAAGCGTTTCGTATATGCTAAATTTAGTTTAAAATCATAAATTATTAAATATATAACTTGGGATATAAAAACGCTTTAGTCACAAGGGAAAATGTTGATATTTCGGTTGTGTATGTTCACTATAAGAATGGCATGTCATAACTCCTTGGTTATTAGTGGCTTCAGGTATTATCAGTACACAATGAAATATTCCACTTACTTAAAACGTATTCGAATATTTTAAAAACAATATTTATAGTTAGTTACCACTGTATAATTTGACACTATCCGGAGAAAACACCTGTTTTGAATCAGTAGGACCGTAATACTATTGAACGATCCTATGGGATTCAAAATGAAGTTTGTGTTTGACATGATGTAGAATTAGTTCATTTAAACCTTTATAACAATGAGTACAATTAATTTCATTTAGAATCGGACTCAAGTATATGAAATCGTATAACAACCACAATATATCCTTCATCCACTTGGTTGAAAATGATTATGTCAACTTTTATCAAACCTCAGTAAATGTTCTCTTCAAATCAACCGATTTCATTCAAATCATATTAGATAAACGTATGTAAATGAAGCTGATTTCATAGTAATTATTTTATTTAACGTTAATTTACTAGATATTTCTGTACATACACCAGTGATTTAATCAACATACAGTGTTTTTTCTTACCCAGTTTGTACACGACATATATATATATATATATATATATATATATATATATATATATATATATATATATATATATATATATATATATACAAAGAAGAGTAAAAAACTCAACAGTTTCTTGATTAATTTGTGTACGACATGTCATACATTATTCAGTGTTGATTATCATAAAGTAACTTAGTTTTTTCCAACACCATCCAACCTAAACATTTTCCTAAATCATTATCTTATGATATTTTGTTAAGATAATAATTCATTATAATTGTATATTTAGTGTTTAATTATTATCACTACAGTTCACTAGAATTTCCAATCAACTAGAAAATCAATTATTATTTTTTAATATTACTAAATAGGTCAGAATTAAAGACAAGTAATTACTTAAAAATTGTATTATAAGAGTAGTATCATCATCCTACTTGATAAACGCTTTAAGTGTACTGACTGATAATCGGTGAAAATTGATTTTATTGAAAAATTTTCAAAACGATTGCAAATTATATTTTCACACTCATTAAACTCCTCATATCATCAAATTAAATTAAAAACTAATTGTATATTAAGTATGAATAATTTACTGATGAAAAAATTATAACTAGATTTGCATCTCGGTAGACTGCATGTTTAGGCAAAAGAATTAAGTGTGTTTACATGCATAAATGGAATGCATAATAATTCTGTAAGCCACCATAGTAAATCCAACTTCTTCTGTCAAGATAATAATTTTAGTCTTTAAAGAAATAGGCCGACCATAAGCTCTATATATTTTTGAGTTACTCTTAATAAAATATTAAACATGAAGCTTGGACTTAAAATTGAAACTATGAAGGGAGAATTTTTATATTGATGAAATCCACTTCTGTTCCAGGTTTCAAACTTAACCACTCTAGTTCGGATGATTAATATGTTCTAACTGAGGTAAGATGGCCGAAATGTTTATTATAGTCTTAATGTGAAAAAGAGTTTGGTCAAGATCCTTGTTGGTCGACTATGATTATTCGATTACAATCCAGTCACATATCAAAAATGTCTAGTTAGTTAGTTGGAACGTAAAACTTCGTACGTATGTACATAAGTTCAGGTTGCCACACCACATTAGCACAGAGACACAAATGTCAAATCAAATCTCATAGTGATAGAGATAGTAAAGGTATTAATGGTAATGAAGAAGATTAGGGCTCGAATATGTTATTCAAGAAGTATAATTCAGTGAGATAAGGTTAGAAAGACAAAGGTAGAGGTGTTGACGAATCCGGAAGATTAGGATTTAAGAGAGCACAACGAATGGATGCACTTGCGCAATTGCAAACGATTTTGAGCCATGTCGTTCAAGGTCTCTAACCATCGGTGACTATCGTCTCGCGGACCCCAACCAGGTAGCCTAAATCTACCAACATGATTCAGTCCACTTGTCAGTGACTTCATGGATTTGTGCCATGTTTTGGTTTGGCCGCTCCTAGCTTTCTTCCAATCTACTCCTACACCACAAAACATAGCTCGTCAAGGTAGTCGGTGGTTAGCCATACGTAACACATGTCCCAACCACCTCAACTGATGAAGTTTCACCACTTCATCTATTGATCTACCATCCTTACCTAGTACTCAAAAATGTCTGACTGCATTCAATGTATCACTTTAAATCTGTCGATTGTAAACAGGTACTAGGACTTTAAAAAGCTTTCAACACAGTAAATGACTAACTGCTATTTTTCTTATGTCATAAAAATCACTCAAATACAATATATATGACAGAAATAAATATGTTTACCATCTTTAACGTATTTAAACATTTGTGATTTAACAGCAAGCAACAGACTTTAACCGATATGGGATTATTAGTTTCGGAATTTACATAGAATACATGATTATATTGCGAAGTTTTTAAAACTATTTGAGTATTAAAGATTCCCATTGTGAAAATAAGGACAACTCATATAGCGAACAATATTGTTTTCGATTAGATCTTCATCAGGCTTTACTCTAATATACATGAATATTTATATGGAAATGTTAAACCAATCAAGGTAATTTGAGTGATAATCACAATGTAATGCAAAAGGCAAAAGTACAAGTGGGTAGTAGGAAGATAGGTGAACAGATAGTAGTAGGAAAATTTATAAAATATGATAACTAAAGTAGGTCAAAGGTGGATGAATAGAATTCAAATAATCATCAAAAAACATTACGTAATAAGCAAATGTGCAAAAATAAAATTATAATAAATAAAAATATATATAATGTCAATTGTTAGTTGCGTCATATCCGGCCACGGAAGAGATAGGGGTGTCACGAATTTCTTCTGAACTCATAAAAATTAGGGTTGAATGTACGTATTCCTATGGCTTCTGCAATGTGTAGGAGACGGGATCGAACTCCGTTGGGAAATGATGGAGGTATACGATAGATCACCCGAAAAGGTCTAGATTTATCTACAATGTGACCACTATCTACCAGGTGTGCTGAGATAGAACTGCGTATTGTTTTTGACTGACCCTTCGTAAACCATGCTGGGAGATGTTCACTCATTCGTTGTGCCAGTTGCCTGTGGAGATAGCTATATCGGGTGTAAGTGTTGAAAATGATTAAAATTATATTCATATGTTTAAATTTGTTCAATTTGTAACTGAAACTTCACTGAATAAACGTTTTACTATGGCTTCAGAAGTTTTCTTTTATAAGTTTTGCGCTTTCATTTTATTAAGAATAAGAAACTTTAACTAATCATAAGTTATTCATGTTAAATGTCAAGTGAGGGATTTTTTTTCATCGCGATTTATACTAGTCTCATGTTTCTGTTCCAGTGGACCAGAAATTCTGATTCATTATTAATTTGAATCAAGCGTTTTCACATCAGTTTCAAGCTGACACTGTTGAATAGATAGTCTGTATCTTTATGGTATTAAACATAATGTCTGATTGATAATACTACCCTATTTGTGAACGTCGTTCAAAAAACTCGGTTTTTATAAAAATCATCTGTGAAAATAAAAAATCTTTTCTCATCATATTGACAGAACTAGAATGAAAACGTTACCTTCTTTCATATACTCAAGGTGTACAGACAATTTTGTTTAACTAACACCGAATCTCAAACAACGGGTTAGATAAAATTTTTAAACTCAAATAGTGCAAAGAACTTACAAACTAAGCGGTTTCTAAAATAAATATTTCAGTCAAAAACTCAAATTTATATGAAAACATTAAAGTAGACTAAAATAAATTTATTCCATATCAACAAATATACAATAATTTAAGTAAAAACTTTTAAATGTGTTTTTATTTCAGTTGAAATGTTGTGCTGTTGAAGATAGTCAAGCAGATTTATACCTTCGTTCTGTTTGGTATTCACGTCAAATACATCAATCATCAGTTTTTGGCACGAACTCGATACGTATATTTTCTGAAGAATTGGATCAGAATAATTTAGGAATACCAAATGTAGCAAATGTTCCTTTATCATGTTGTGTATATTCATTTGAAACTATGGAATTGTCAAATCGTACTGCTTGTCAAACTGGTTCTTTAAAATCTAACCTAAATCCATATCTTAATCCTCATGTAAGTTTATTTTATTCTTAGTTAATTAAAGTTGATTATATTCATTATTGAATTGTATTCATTGCTGAAAAACAATGCTGTATATCAAGCAAAGACAGAAAATTGGTTGTTCAATGAAATCTGATAAAAAATGTGATCATAATCAGTTTTTGTGATTCATTAAGCTAAGAAAATGTTTCAACTTTCTACTGTAGAATGAATCTATAGTCAATGTTTTTAATCGAATTAACCTTGTAGGAAGTATGAGTTCTTTAATTTTATTGTCCTAGTAAGAAACCATTTATTTCCAACTTCTGTCTATCTGGTTGTTGGGGACGCTAAATCCCCAGAACTCGCCTGTTATGGGCAGATCAGTTGAGCTTGAGACCACATTTCCCACCAGGAGAATCCTTGGCTGTCATTGGTTGATGTGTTATTTTAGTGTGCTATTTTTGTGACTCTCCCAAGGACGTTTCTATGATGTCTAATTAAACGCGATTTGTGTGCTTCAGATCATTGAGTTTGCTGGGTGTTTGTAGAATACACTTTGTACGCCAAATCAAGACTTGTTTGTTAGTTCGTTTGGCGTAATGGATCAGAGTAGCCTACCATGTCACCGACTCAATGTCTCGTTCTCGTTTATCGACCAAGGTGAACCCGTAATAGTTCCAAGCATAGCAAGTGATGAGCATAACACAGGTTAACTGTGTAGTTTAAGTAATTTTTTTAAAAAAAGAAACATGGAATCATTTTCGCCCATCGGTTTCAATAGTTAGTTGATCATATTCGCTTTTATAAACAAAAGATGAAATTAACAAATAATAAGAATATTCGTACATTTATGTAAGAATAAATAATCAGTGAATTAAATAATAATAATAAGAAGAATAATACTAGTCTAGACAATTCATGTGATTTACCTTTATGTGGCAATTTCTATATTTGCTGCGAATATTAGAAATCAACAAAAAAATTTAATTGGTTGCGTGATGGCGCCATATGGTAACTAACAAAACCTGTTTGTTTCTGACAGCAGAAGTTGGGAGATTGTTTTTTGTATCATCACGATTACAGATGTCTTTGTTTTTTCTTCATTCCGAATTTGAGTTTTTATTTTCAACTTGTTCAAGCTGAGATTACTGACAATGTGAGTTTCATTGACACTTTAAGCTTCAAACCATAATACACACTAGGATCTATAAATTTAGCTTTAAGTGTTTAAAATCATTCTTAAAAGGCTTTGGCGAAACGGAGGTAATTCAAACAATCTATGCTTTATGTATGGAATAAGATACACGGTATTCTTTGCTACGAGTATATTAGTAATATATTTATTGATACTCAGTCAATAACCAAAAATAAACTGTAATATTGAGATAAAGTAATATCAGTTCAAATAAGAACAAGATTCTACAAAATGTTTTGATAAGTTAATTTTAATTTCAGTGAATATTTTTAAACACTTATTTAGTAAATTGTTTCCTGTAAAGATAAATTTACTGCCTATCCTTTTGTTGTATTGTAAGAAATTATCTTGAAGTTCAGTGCTTTCAAGTTTCGAATGGTAGTCCAACAAGGAGTCATTCATAATCTCACTATTAGAATAAAGTTCCCCATTTGAAAAAAACAAAATAAAATAGTTAATGAGCACTTTAAAACCATCCTACTTTTTAATCTTTAACTTTTAATGAAGTTCGTATACAAAAAATATTTCTAAATACTTATCAATTATAATAGTACTATTTTATATTCACTAACTATGGTATTGTCGGGGTTTCACAAAACTATCTGTTTGAGGCTTTAATTACATTATGTGAACATTAGTATAATCGATAAGTCATGTTTTTTCTTATTCATTTCAAGTGATTAAAGCATTCAGTAAAGAAAATGTAGCAAGAATGAGGACTAAGGGACTTGTCTCTTTCTTATATAAAACCATAATACTAATTTCTGTTAGGTTCAAATAAACTTAAAAGGAATGTATCGAAGGATGTTTTGTTGACTGGATTAAACTGTTCCCAGAATATTCTGTTTGTATTCTTAAGAATAAAAGAATTTCGAAATTTGAATCCATGTTAAGTTTGTATACTCTAATGATACTGATATGATTTTAAATTACTATAAAAACATTTATGTCAAATAACTGTCCAAACTATGATTTGAGTTCACCATATAACTGTTTGAACTTCAAAGACAGCAGATATTTTTCGTAGGCGCTTAATGTACTATCAGAAGATATCAAAGTTTGCAATCCGTAAAAGTGTTTTATGATTATTCATGTATTAATGAGATCAATAGTGTTACTACAGTAACCATACGGATATTGAAAAGTCAGTAGTATTTATTTATTTTAACTGAATTGCTCAAAGTACTTTATTGGAATAATTATTGAATTAGTTAATCTGATGTTTTATTTGACTCTTTGTTTTACAGAAAAAGATACATTCCTTAGTGAATAAGAACTTCTAATTAGGTTATTATGTAATTCTACAATAGCTGTTAACATTCTTATCAAGGAAGATAATGAAAGCTTCATGAATAACCTATCCGTTCAGAAAAGTGCAACATCCATATAATACCTTGTAGTATTTTCTGAACACAAGATGCATTTAGGTGATACCTAATGTGGTTTAATCAAAGAATGTGATAACTATTTTATTGTTGACATTAAACTGATTAATTCATCGAGAATACCATGTATTAAGAAGTCAGTCATTTTACAATTAAGGCCTTGTACACATTTATTCACTGTGGATTAAGTAAAAAAGGCATGCCCTACAAATGAATGTTATTTCGATTTTTATAAACCAGGTGGAAACTAATTCACTAATAGATACATACTAAAATTTTAAAAACATCAATTTGATTGATTTTTGAAAGATGATATTCATGGCAACTTTCAATGACTGTCGCCAATTTTTTTCAATTTAATCGTTTTTCATTCGTAATCGACTTAATTCGTATTATTTAAATAAACCTATTGCTCCTCATATGATAAAGGCCACTGACGAGTAATCCCCAGAAAATTCTGTCCTGGGCTTTCCTTGCTAGTTGTTATCAAGTACTATTCACCTTTCTGATGCCAGCCTCTAATTCTTGGTGTAATGTATTCTTTGTTATTTCTCTTTTCCTTTCGCTCTAAGGATTCCAAGTTAGAGTTTAACTAGTGTCACAGTTTAATAATTTCCACTCCTACAGTCTTATCCTGATTTCTTACTCATTTGCGAGTTGTTGTTATCTTTGCCACGGCAGCTTATTTCCAATGGTCTCTCACCAATAGATTTGAATTATCTTACGTGTGCAAGTGTCTATAAATGTCCGTATCTTTTTCATAATAGTCTTGATTGTTGCCTCAGTTTGTTCATTGCTCTTTTAACGTTAGTTTTGAATATTCAAACTTCCATGTTAGCCGCCTATTTACAAAGCCTTCCAAATAATTACGTTTTTTTTTCATACCGTCTTCAACTACTATCATCACCGTTATTATGATTATTGTGTTTACTATCATCTTTTGGCAATTATTATCAACTTTATCATTTTTTTTCAATCAGTGACGTCATATCCTCTCCCTCTCTCTCTCTCCCGTCTATTCTGTTCATCCATAAAATGAACATGGACGATAAAAGAAAGCGATTATAATTATTATTATTCTTCTTCACTGGTGAGCTGGATGAACTCAAGCGTGTTACACATAAAATTAGATTTGTAAAACATTTGATTCTTGCATAAAAAATCGGTTCACATGTGGAATATTTAAAGTATACCAAAATGAAATGAATTCAATTCGTCATGTAGTATTTTTTTTGTTCTTATTTAAAAAAAAAGTTTATCACGGAAGCTAATCACATGAGATCAACAGAAGGCTAGACACTTATATGTCTACTTAGTAATGGTTCTTCGTGAAATCTGTAGTAAGAAAAAACTGACTTAAAGTTAGCGTTGTTAGTGAAATGTACCATTATAGACTCGTATATGAAAATAATTTATTATTACTTCTTCTTATATATGCGCATACTTGTCATATGATTTACTCCTTTTTTTCTAATTCACTTTATAAAATTTAACATGATCACTGTTAATGTTATACTTTTAAAACTGTCATGATTACTCTTATCACTATTATCATCATCTTGTGTGATATTTATTCCGCTGATCATTTCTCACCTTTCACAAAGATCACTTTATTTTTTTGTGTGCATTGATTAAATCGCATTACATTGTTCGTTGAACTACGTGATCTCTAATCACTAGTTGATCAATTCATATGACATTCATTTTTTGTTTCAACTTTTACCGTGTCATCCAATGATTTCTATATTCATTTAAACTGGATTAACTTGATCACACAATCAAATCATGCTTTTAACGGATGTCACAGCATAATAATCATTTTCGGGCAGAATTTGGGCGGTTTTTGTGTTTTTACACTTTTGAAATCATCAATCATTCATTGTTAGACCACCATTAGAAACGTGGAAGTATTGGACGACCATTTCATCCTGGTATAGGATTGGTTACTATAAAGCTTGGAGCGGGAAACATCTGCCATATGTATTTATTTTAAAATTTCTTTTCTTTTAACATCATATTGCTTGAATTATGCAACTTCAAGTTCTAATGTAATTGGAAAAAAATACCAACAAATTACACTGACATAAATTCAATTCTGTTTTTATTTGTTCTGTTAAATTAATCAAATATTTTGTTCACATATGTTATTTTACAAGTGACATAAGATATAAACATTAACAGATTAAATTAATTTTGCATAATTTTTGATAGAAAGCTAAGTCTATTGAGGACAACATTGTAAAATATTTGGTATTCGTTGGCTGTGTAATTTTACAGATTCAGAAAAATTAAGCTTCAAAATGAAATTCAAGAACATTTTATTTAGCCGTAAATGAGTGAAACCTGGGTCTTTTATATAACGAATAGACATGTTTGACTATGTCTTCCCTTAGAGACTTTATATATTCGATTTTACAAAGGGGATTTAGCCGTTACCAGTGGCTGAGGTAGCCAATACAGAAGCACTTGTGTCCAATTAGAACCTGTTTACTCATTTCAACACTTATGAACTTTCTGTTGACATAACACGTTCGTCTCATTCATTCGACACGTTTGCAAGTTCAATGGACAGAAGTGGGTCGTGTTGTTGGTCAATCACTACCTACTGATCTGTATCTTTTTGACCCTAGAGTTACGCAGACACATCTTCTTGCTACTATCAATAGAGATAAAAAAAAATGGTTGATAAAATAGCCGTTTAATTGGGTGTCTTAAAATCATTGTCTCCTCACATTTGAATCACTCATGGTTAGAACATATTAAAATATATCAGCTGGTTTAAACAGGTCAAAATCTAAGCATAATTCATGAGCTGTTAACTTCTACTCTACTTTCATTTACAAACTATGATCAGTAGATGAAAATTTGAGGTCACACAAAGTGGTTGTAAACCGTGACATAAGTAAGCTCATAAAGTAGTTCAATCAGAGTCAGCTGAAATTTCCAACGTAAGTTAACAATTCTTATCTTTACTTCTCATCACTCAGCTATTTTCAATATATCAATCTCTTTATCCAGCAGAAGTAATACGTCTAAATAACGATGGAAGGTATCGTTTGAAGCCTGAAAATTCTATTTCAGTATTTAGATCAATTCAAGTCATCTCGTGCAAGAAATTATATAGATAAACAAACGGGGTGAAGTAAAATATAGTTTTTATGTTGTAATCATAATCAGGCATAAACAAAAGTTTATCTTAAAGTTTATGTACATACATTAACTTCAATCTGCGTATGAAACAAAGAAATTCAAAAAAAGTGCGAGAAAGTCAAGATGGGTGAGGTCGCGCAAAATTTCCAGATCAATCAGAGTTAGACATTAACACCGTTGGATGCCGGCCAAGTGGTTCAAAGGTTAGGAGTTCATGCACAAGACCGAAGTTCGAGAGTTCGAATCCTGTGAGATGCAGGAGTCGTGGATGCGCACTTCTGATGAGTCCCAATGCTTCTAGGTTTCTAATGATGGTCTAACATGATTGATTGGTGATTTCAAATGTGTTAAAACACTAATCTCCATAACTCTAATTGCAAAACGATCAAATTCTTAATAATGTTACCAAAGAAGTTCATTCGACTGTCCCGTAAAAAGTAAAATTAGGCTTTATTATCAGGTCTCAAGTGGGCTACAATTAACTACACATCAGGATTAATACGTGTGATGAAATATAGTGTATTTTATCTAAAGTAAACTAGTTAACGTATAATGGCACAAATTCACTGCGTGTTACTGTTTAAGATTAAAATCCTACTGAAAACTAATAAATGAAAACAGTCTAACTCTTGATAAATAGTTTGATAAACAGCAATAATTTGTGGCTGAGAAACCAACGAGTTCAGTTAACAATGGAAAACAGATCGCAAACTGTGGAGATTCAAACCTTAGGATTTGTATACCAATAATTTGTGCCATTAATATCAATCTTCATTCCATTTCACAATAATGTTACATGCAATTTAATATATATCCCGATATTTCTATATTATGACATTTTCAACAGGCTACAACAAAATGTTTCACAATCATTTTCATACTCATTTGATGTGTATTCATAAACAGTGTTCTAAACAACAAACCAGTTTTGTTTTTTTTTTCTTAGTTTGTTTCATACATATCTATAGATTACTTACATTGTTTGAAATTTATCTGAACGAATTCCATTATAAATTACCAATCATTATCCACTGATTACATGTAGAATATGGTAAAAAAAAAGAAAACATAACCTTTCTGTTTTGATAAAACTTGAGATTTCAATGTTTGCTATCGATATTTGTTTATACAATGATGATGATGATGATGTTGCGTACTTAACATCTGGATTCATTTATTCATGATGATTAGTTTTTTTTCTTAAAATAGATTACAATCTGGGTTATTATTAACTATTTTTTTATTCTGTTTTATTGATTTCATTTACTAGGGTTGTGCGAATGTGATTATTGCCCTACTGTATCAGTATTTTATCCCATTAATAACTATGGTTGTTATATTGGCTGTATTAATGGTAAGTGTGTGTGTGTGCATAAGATGTGCCTCAATGTTTTTTTGTTTAAAACTTTTTCTCAGAACAGTTTTATGGTTTAGTAACTGTACATGTGTGCGTGTGTGTGTGTATTTTAAACTACTTACTAACGCCTTTGAAATATTCCCATCAGAGTTAAATTGTCTTAATTTTCATAGCTTAATTCCATATTATCTCTCAAATTACGCAATTCAGTTTGTTTTTCCATAGATATTGCAGAATCAGACACAAATATTAACTGAAACGAATTGCTAAACGTTGAATAAGCACTGTAATCAAATAAAAATCAATAAGATGTAGGGCGAGATGCACAAACTAAATCAGTGATGTTTATTTCCCAAAACGAATAGATGATATGTAATAAACAACATTTATTACGAATGAATTTCTGTTAGTGTTTCAAATTTTTAGTAATGTTAATTAAGATTTTCGGCTAGTAATTATGATCAGCTTGTGGATTCTAGTAAGAATGTGTGCACATTTTCAGTATGACTCAGATTAACAGCTAGTGATTTAATGAAATGGCATTATATCATTATGAACTGACTGTTTCTAAATGTTTTTTTTTTCAAATCACAGCTGTGTAAGCTAATGAAACAGAATTAGTTAACAGAGAAGGTAAATAGTCTTGTTCCATGTATTGCTACATATCTAACATGTTTAGAATTCCTTATGTTACACATTTTTGAAACCATGAACCGATCAATGTTAGACCACCATTAGAAACCTGGAAGCACTGGACGGCCGTTTCGTCCTGGTATGGGACTCCTCAGCAGTGTGCATCCACGACTCCTGCACCCCGCAGGATTCGAACCCAGGAGGAGGAGTCCCATACCAGGACGAAACGGCCGTCCAGTGCTTCCAGGTTTCTAATGGTGGTCTAACATTGATCGGTTCATGGTTTCAAAAATGTGTAACTTAACAGTCTTCACAACCTCGTAATGCAAATTACCTGTGCTCACTAGTGACTAGCTTCGTGAGGAATCTTCTCCGAGTTCTTGTGGGAAGACGTGACCAGTGAAGTTCAACCTGTTCGGGTGTAGACAGTAACTACCGAAGACTGTGTACGAGGTTGCGCAACCCCGTGAATTTGATCAAGTTAGACATTAACGCCGTCAGATGCCGTCTCAGTGGTCTATCGGTTGGGCGTTCGCGCACAATACCGAAGGTCCTGGGTTCGAATCCCGCGGGGTGCAGGAGTCGTGGATGCGCACTGCTGAGGAGTCCCACACCAGGACGAAACGGCCGTCCAGTGCTTCCAGGTTCCTAATGGTGGCCTAACGTTGATCGGTTCATGGTTTCAAAAATGTGTAACTTAACAGTCTTCACAACCCCGTAATGCAGATTCCTTATGTATTTAAAGGTTGTTTCTGATTGCTGAGTAAATGAAGAAGTATATTCTTTTTCAATGACAATTGTTATTATTTGACAGTTTGATGTTGGAGGTGAAATAATGTCACGTGAATAACACTTCACAGTGTACACAGAAAATCAAATGATAAAATTATAATTATGCAGGATACGTTTTGTATTTGACACATGGTGTTAAAATGTATTGATAAATATTGTTCAGTCACCTGTTCCTAGATTTCCACCGACTGGAATGTGTGTACACATTAAGAAACTTGGTTTAATGAGGTAGAATTAGAAAAAATATATATATATATATATATAAATTTGCAGCTATAAGTAGAAATTATGTTTATCCTTTTTTGGAACTTGTTAGTGAATATTCAAGCACAGATTGAATGTAAATTTGTTACTAATACTATAATGAAATGTTGGTTGTAGTCTGCCGGAAAAAGAAAGTACAAGGTTTTCAAACTAAAAGAATTCTTTTCGCTATGAACTTTTCCAAGCTGTAACTATATGGTTGTACTTAAGGTTTATTTATAACTTAATACTACCGCAGGGTTTCCTTATATACTTATCCTACTGTATAACTTCAACCGCTTAACGTCAAAAACATGTTTCTCATTAAATATATATTGACTGAAACAGTAATCTGCAAATGGATATTCAGAAGTTGGATGCATATTACGTTAAGAAAATTGGGTGTATTTTCCAAATGTTTAACCTACTCTTACAATCATTACATGTATGATAGTCATATATGGAATCATACTAGGCAAAGGGATTAATTTGTACAACGTAGATTAGTCTACGTAGATGCTCAGCTAAATAAAAGGTTTATTTAAATGATTGAGTAAAGGATTAAGGACGCTAATCAAAATGTGATTTCACGTTGATCATTCAACAAATCAGGAAAGCGGTTTATACGATTACACAAAATGCATCAGTTTGAATCTGTATGAAATTGAGTCGTAGTTAAATAAACAGTTAAAGTTTTCATCTAGATCCATTAATTCACCTAGAATTTGTTCTTTATGCTTTAAAACATTTTCACTAGTTGTTAATAGAATTTTTACATTTTATTCAGTATTCTTCATACACTTTTAATTCATAATATCCAGTTTATAACTAACCGATAATTTCAGACAACTGAATATAATAAATTATCATTGAATAGATTTTTTTTTTGAATTTGAAAGTTTGCATAATAATAATGATAATAGATAATTAATAAATTTATCCATAATTAGCTATGTATAATAATTGTCAGGAAGTGAAATATTATCATTTTGTCTTCATAAGGATTTATCCTAATTCTAAGTTTTCAGCTTAGCATTGGGTAGGAATATCGAAAGATACAGTTTTTATTGTTGATATGAAAAATTAAATTTTAAATTTTCAATAGTTGAAGAATGCAGTTACAAAAGTTTATTTCTTTGAAAATGTATACAATTATGTGGTAAGCGATGAACTGAATGATTATAATGTTTAGGTTCAATAGAAATCACGATAATCTATGAATATTTATAAACATGATAGAAATAGAATCATTTTTTGAAATATTTTATATGAGTTACATCACCATTGTACATTACTAAGTAAAACAAACTTGATATAGTGCTAGAAAATATGAACTGCATACTATGTGATAGATTTTCAGTTGAAAATCACCATCAGTGTTATTTTATTCTAAACATATTCAAAAGTATGAACAGTTATTTTACAATAGTACTGGACTTTTTAAATGAGGTATCGTTAGTCATGGCTAAATAATATGTTTTTATAACTAGTAGTAAGTAGTGTTTACTGAATATCAGTCAACAATTTTTGAAGCAATTTGTGAATTTGCTTTTGATGAATTTTAAAGGCATTAAAAACAATAAAGGAACGTTAACATAGTATGTAGCATATAATTAGTTCATATCACGGCGTATTTATCTCTTTGTTCACTCATGAATGATAATTTAGAAAAGGAACAAAGAAAAATATTTCATTTCAGTCGTTACATTTACACTGGATGTTTGGTCCTCAATAGTGAGTACATTTTTTTCAATCAATATAAGTAACTGAATCTGTGCTCCATTAGATGATGATACAAGATTGAATCACTTTGAAAACATCGTTTCCCCTAACAATACAGATATACTTCAATCAGCATAAAATTTATTTCCTTGTCGTTTTACCAATGACTTTTACTTATTCAATAAGTAAGTGTGTTTATTAAAACTTGAACACTTTCAATCAAAATACTGGAAATTTTAGAAACTTTATCAATTAATCATTAAATGTACGACTCTGAAATGGCTACTTCACACGGTGGCTATTTAAAAGTAAAGCAAAAATATTGAAAGAATTTATTAATTTCAATGACATAATATTCACCTTTCATAAAATTTACCAAGCTTATCAACTATTGTCATGATTACTCGTTGCAATCCAATAAGACAATTAAACACAAGTTCATAATGCTTGTCACTCTTCTTATTTAAATATTCCCATGCTTATTTTATTTTAAAGCACGTAGTTGTCTAATGACTTCTTTAATTGTGGTTTTTTCCTTTTTTTTAAGTCATTTTATATTCATTATTATAGTTTATTGTTATTCTTGTTTTTACTTCAATGAATGACATGATATCGTTTCTTTGGTTTTGCCTGGAACTGGTTATGACAGAGCAGCTTACTTTTTTCTTTCTTAAAATCGAATATATATATATATATATATATATATATATATATATATATTCATTCAAATAAAGAATTATGACAAGCATTAAAAATTTCATAGAATAAGATTGAACATTGAAAAAAAATATGTAACCTAGGCAGATCATTTAGTTAAGTGATTTAAGGTGAATTTTAATGAAATGTGGTTGAGATTAATAATAGATGGAGTATTTTTGTTACATTTTTGTTCGTTATTAGCATGAAGTAATAAAAGTGGTTTTGAAAAGCTTCAAATGAGCACTTGTTCTTGTATACAACCGAATTACCATGAAAACTTTTTCCACTAATTAATTTAAAGAAGTTTTGGAATCACTGAATAAAATTATATTGAGATTAGGTGAAATAAGCACTAGGTCACTAGGTGAAAATGGAAAATTTTAATTGTGCAATGAAAACGTCAAATGTCTATGCGTTCAGTTATTCTGTGATCTGTCACTAGATTGGAGTTTAACGTTTTATTGGATGTAGAAGCTATTAGTTAATTATTTTCCGTGTCATTTTGGTGTCAAACTCTTGAAGCATACGGTCACGTGATATTGGTCAACGGTTAGGAATACAACAATTGGCAGAAGGAAAATAATCAATGACCAGTCTATATCACTTGATGAACTAAAGGAGTCTATTGTACAACAACACGATTTTTATTTTATTTTATTTAAACACAAATGTTGGTACAAAGAGGCACCCAAAAATTTTTACGCCACACAAATATTGAATTAGTAAGTGGGCTGGGATAATGTCTAAACTCCCGAACTTAAGCAGCTGGTTTTCTTAGAGGGCCACACCTCAAGTCTTCTACCTAGGAAGGAGCTCGTCCACAAGGCAGAGGAGCAACGTAAAGTGATGAAGTTCTATGGTAATCTGTGACCAACAGAAGGTTCGTATGCCATTCATTTTATCAGGAT